TAATAGTTTTAAATTGATTAGTATGAAAAACATTTTTATTAGCCAATAATTGTTTCATTGATTGTATAAGTTGATAATTCTAATTGATAGATACTATCCATTGTTACAATTTCTATTGATGAAAGAGTAATAATTTAATCAAACCAAGATCACTGCACTACTTGATTGATTGTTATGAATGCTTTAACAAAGCAATTTTAATGTGATTTAAATGTTGGTAATTGGATGTGCTTTTCTGCTGAAATATTTTCTCCTCATTTATACATTAAGATATTTACTACACAGCATAATGCAGTATGTTGCTCTCATACCCACTTAAAAAAAACGAAAATCCCTCTGAGGGGGATTTTGTCCTAGGTAGCAATTTTATGAAGGGGATTTTGTCCACTTCAAAATTTCACACATGAAGGGGATTATGTCCACCCATGAAGGGGATTATGTCCGGATATACAAAAATACATGAAGGGGATTTTGTCCGAAGGGGATTATGTCCGTACACCGTATGCAATATTTATTTAAAATTTCCTGTTTTTTTTCCCAAAATACATTTAAGACATAGACATCTAAAATTTGTAGCATTTAGTTTCTGAACTGGGAAATGTTAATTTTTTCTATTATAGATTTGACAAATTTGCCTTGTCAGTTTTAACACATTTAGAAGATAATATATTTTAAAGAAAATATTTAAATACATGATTATAAAACTTTTGCAACTTCCTTTTCACTTTAATGCAGATCTGTTTTTTTTTTTTTTTTAATAAAATATCATACATGAGCAGAAAACAGTTACAGAAGATTAAAGTGTCAAAAGTCATGCTGTGTATTGGTGTTTTAATATAGTACCCTGCTGATAAGAGAGCCCCTCAGGGTAAATAACAAAAGGCAGATGATAAATATAAGTAGGCAATGTAAATTCTGTATTCTCTGGATGTTGGTGCAAATAAATTTCATTACAAGTAGTACAAAAAGAAAACTGAAATATTTTTGCATTTTATAATAAACTCATAAAAATAATCGTATTGCATAATTATGTTACAATGCATGAAAAAAGAAAAAAGATTGGTGTTGTCTCAAAAAATGGAATTGAAAGATTTTCTAATCTTTTTGTAAATATCCATGTCAGTTAAAGTATACTAGGTACACACAGGTACATATCAGTACTTAATCCACACATATCCATACTTAACATACCATCATTATATATAAATATTTTCAGAATAATATATATCATTTATATTAATCTTAGGTAAATCTCAGTTTGAGAAGGTAAAAGAGATTATAAATGAGATAAAATTGACAAAATTTAGGCCATATTAATACTTTAATGTATTAAAGGCTACTAATGCTTAAAATCATTACCTTTAATTAAAACAATAAGTTAAGATAAAAAATAACTAATTGGTATAATTTGACCCCCCCCCCCCCCCAAAAAAAAAAAAAAAAAAGAAAAAAAAAGGAAAGGACTGAATTTTGTTTAATTAGCATTTCAATGTTTTATATTTCATTACAAGATTATAAACTAGAAATGACTTGTGTCCATAGGACACGGATGCCCCCACACGCCACTGTTCTGTCAATCTTATGACTCTAGGTCAAATATTTTTTGGACTTCTTGTGCCACAAGTTGAAAAATAAAAATCAACAAAGGGCCATAATTCTGTTAAATTTGGTCGCAGCAAAAATTCCTTCCTTTACTACCATCTACACATTAAGGTTGTTCATCCCTGGAAGTTAAAGCAAAATCTGCCATCTGGTTTAAGAGGAGTTGCGTTCACAAACTTTCTACATAGTATATAGTGAAAAAATCAACAAAGGGCCATATTCCTGTTAAATTTAGTCGCAGCCAAAAATTCCTTACTACCATCTACACATTAAGGTTGTTCATCCCTGGAAGTTTAAGCAAAATCTGCCATCCGGTTTAAGAGGAGTTGCGTTCACAAAATTTCTACATAGTATATAGTGAAAAAATCAACAAAGGGCCATAATTCTGTTAAATTTGGTCGCAGCAAAAATTCCTTCCTTTACTACCATCTACACATTAAGGTTGTTCATCCCTGGAAGTTTAAGCAAAATCTGCCATCCGGTTTAAGAGGAGTTGCGTTCACAAAATTTCTACATAGTATATAGTGAAAAAATCAACAAAGGGCCATAATTCTATTAAATTTGGTCGCAGCAAAAATTCCTTCCTTTACTACCATCTACACATTAAGGTTGTTCATCCCTGGAAGTTTAAGCAAAATCTGCCATCCGGTTTAAGAGGAGTTGCGTTCACAAGATTTCGGGACGTACGGACAGACGGACGGACGTTCTCACAGGACAGTAATTATGTGGCTACTCTATTGTTCTCTCTATTGTTCTTTTTAGCCACACAAAAGAAAATAGCCACATAAAAGCATTACGGAATGAATGACATCAAAGAGAAAGAACAGTTACCTATTGTCCCTATAGCCACATAATTACTCTCCTGTGAGTGGGGACAGACGGACGGACGGACAGACGTACGTACACTCGTACGGACAAGTGCAACGCTATATGCTCTCACTCTGTGGGGGCATAAAAATAGAATCATATTAAATATCAATTAATTTTGTTTTTTATGCACTTATCAACATTAAAGTTATAATTATTTCTAACTATTAAGTTTTAAAATACAAAATTAGTGAAATTAATGACTTTGAAAAATTATTGTTCTAAAATTTTACGCCATATTTTACAAAATCCAATATTCACAACTTCAAATTTATTATGTGAAAAACTATTATACAGATATCTATTTTTATCTATCTTTCTGTAAAAGTCAAATTGCTATTCATTGAAATAGAAAGGTAACTGCTTAATACATATAATAGGCCTGGTGCACTACAAAGTGCACTTATGAAGTGCACTAGTAGTGCACTTTGAAGTGCACTAGTAGTGCACATCTAGTGCACTCCTAGTGCACTTGGTGTAACCTTTAGTGTGAACTCAACTGTAGTGTTGCTATCGTAATTCCGTGTTACTTTCATACGGTGTAACTGTATGACATGTGTTATCATGTTTCCGTGTTAATGTCATGACACGTGTAACCATTATACAGTGCAACTATCATGTATCCGTGTTAATGTCATGACACGTGTAACCATTATACAGTGTAACAATCATGTTTCCGTGTTACTGTCATGACACGTGTAACCATTATACAGTGTAACTATCATGTTTCCGTGTTAATGTCATGACACGTGTAACCATTATACAGTGTAACAATCATGTTTCCGTGGTACTGTCATGACACGTGTTACCATTATACAGTGTAACAATCATGTTTCCATGTTACTGTCATGACATGTGTAACCATTATACAGTGAATAACTATCATGTTTCCATCATGACACGTGTAACCATTATACAGTGTAACTATCATGTTTCCGTGTTACTGTCATGACACGTTATTACATTATATTGTAAAAAAAGACATGTGTTATCATGTTTCCGTGTTAATGTCATGACACGTGTAAACATTATACAGTGCAACTATCATGTTTCTGTGTTAATGTCATGACACGTGTAACCATTATACAGTGTAACAATCATGTTTCCGTGTTACTGTCATGACACGTGTAACCATTATACAGTGTAACAATCATGTTTCCGTGTTACTGTCATGACACGTGTAACCATTATACAGTGTAACAATCATGTTTCCGTGGTACTGTCATGACACGTGTTACCATTATACAGTGTAACAATCATGTTTCCATGTTACTGTCATGACATGTGTAACCATTATACAGTGTATAACTATCATGTTTCCATCATGACACGTGTAACCATTATACAGTGTAACTATCATGTTTCCGTGTTACTGTCATGACACGTGTAACCATTATACAGTGTAACAATCATGTTTCCGTGTTACTGTCATGACACGTGTAACCATTATACAGTGTAACAATCATGTTTCCGTGTTACTGTCATGACACGTGTAACCATTATACAGTGTAACAATCATGTTTCCGTGTTACTGTCATGACACGTGTAACCATTATACAGTGTAACTATCATGTTTCAGTGTTACTGTCATGACACATGTAACCATTATACAGTGTAACTGTCATGTTTCCGTGTTAATGTCATGACACGTGTAACCATTATACAGTGTAACAATCATGTTTCCGTGGTACTGTCATGACACGTGTAACCATTATACAGTGTAACTATCATGTTTCCGTGTTACTGTCATGACACGTGTAACCATTATACAGTGTAACTATCATGTTTCCGTGTTACTGTCATGACACGTGTAACCATTATACAGTGTAACTATCATGTTTGTTTCCGTGGTACTGTCATGACACGTGTAACCATTATACAGTGTAACTATCATGTTTCCGTGTTACTGTCATGACACGTGTAACCATTATACAGTGTAACTATCATGTTTCCGTGTTACTGTCATGACACGTGTAACCATTATACAGTGTAACTATCATGTTTCCGTGTTAATGTCATGACACGTGTAACCATTATACAGTGTAACAATCATGTTTCCGTAGTACTGTCATGACACGTGTAACCATTATACAGTGTAACTATCATGTTTCCGTGGTACTGTCATGACACGTGTAACCATTATACAGTGTAACTATCATGTTTCCGTGTTACTGTCATGACACGTGTTACCATTATACAGTGTAACTATCATGTTTCCCTGGTACTGTCATGACACATGTAACCATTATACAGTGTAACTATCATGTTTCCGTGTTACTGTCATGACACGTGTAACCATTATGCAGTGTAACTATCATGTTTCCGTGTTACTGTCATGACACGTGTAACCATTATACAGTGTAACTATCATGTTTCCGTGTTACTGTCATGACACGTGTAACCATCATACAGTGTTACTATCATGTTTCCGTGTTACTGTCATGACACTTGTTACAATCATGATATCGTGCAAATCCCCTACCATCATCTAACCAATCATTACTTTATAGAACACTAAGAAACACAAAGAAAAGATTTCAATTTTTTATTCAACCAGTTAAACAATATACTTTAATTATTAGTCATTTTAAATATTGTCAAATGAATTTGAACTTTTTCATCATTTATTTAAAAATAGATGTTTAAGCTATATTTAATTATTTTCATTTTTTTTGAATGCACAGCAAACCTTTTTATATAGAGTAAATGTCATTAGAAAAACATACAACATTAATTTATCTGTAAAATGGACGGACAGAAAAATATCACTTTTCACATAAAGTAAACAAATAAATGAAAGTGCCTGTATAGTTAAATAGAAAAAATAAAGTCAGCCAATAGCTTTTCAGAATGTTACAAATCTTTTTTGTATACTAATTATACCAAAGTATATCAGGCACAGACATCTTTGAAAATATACAGGTATATATAAATACCAAAAACATATCACACAAAAGTTAACAGCAAGAAAAGTTAAATGCATGCTTGAACTGCAGATATACTATGTACATGTCAATTCAAAATTAAATTTTATTTTTCACTCAGAATGTTTGTAAACAAGATTTTAATTTGTTAAATATATATCACAATCTTTGTAAATTACACAGAAAACATATAAAAACAGAAAATAACAAATTAAAGTAAAACATGAACGTCAAAAATGTTGATTTTACATCATCACTATGTATATCTCAGATTGTTTTATTAAAGCAATGGATGGACTGCTGATAATAATTAATACATACAGTAAAAATCATTCTCTTAGGCTTACTGAAGGTGCAAATCATTTCAAATATTCAGTTGACAACCTCTTAGCATTATAAATTATCACGTCAAAAACAGTCAAAGTAAAAATTATCATTCTGTACAAACAAATATTATCATATCCTAACTACAAAATAATCACAGTCTTGTAGATTTAAACATATATATTATATATATTAAATTTCTAAGCACTTATACATAATTTAAAATAGAATCTCAATTACATTATAACAGGTGCTTTTTTAAATGGTTAACAATATTGTTGCACTTTTTAAAGTACATGTACTAATACTTTTTTCTTCTTCTAAAGATGGGTATTTTCTTATGAATTCTCAATACAAAATAAAATGTTCACATATAACATTATCATCTCTGGACATATCACTGTCATATACATGAAAATAAAGTTATAACTCTGATATATATTGTCAATAGTAAGCTGTATTTTATACTTGTAATAAAGTCATATTTAATCTATTTGGTATCACAGAGCAAGGCAACACCACGTAATGTCCAGTGATCTGGGTTTTTATTGGTCTTCAGTTGTAACGGGAAGATATAGGTCAGATCAGTACGTCTTGGTTTCTTGTATACAGGGCAATCATATCCTGTCTTGGCCTTCTCAACGTTGACAGCAAACACGTGCACAACAGGGATCAATGTGAAGAGTACCTTAGGTGTTGGTTCTATCAGTTTGGCATTACGCCTGTCCCATCCTGCACCGTCCAAGTACAGACCATAGATATACACACCTGTAAAAAAAAAATATAAAATATTATAACGAGGCAAGAAGCAGAAGAAAAAAACAACACACATACAAATTCATCCTAACTTACAATTTCATAAAGAAATGAAAAAATAGCTGTGCAAATTATTTTTTTGCTATATGTTTTGTTTTCATGATCAGCCAAAACATAGATTCAGTTAAAACAATTTACAGCAAATGAATTTAATACATAAAATATTTTATGGGGAACATAATTTTTCTACTTTTTTATGTTTATCTTCAAATTTTCAGTACTGATGTTTAAATCTTCCTTAAGACGCTAAAACATTGTACGCACACCCAGGAATTTTTCAGAAACAAAGTGTAAATATTTTTTGTCAAAAATTCGAGTGAATATTTACTTATAATATTGTATATATAACTTGAATTTTGTAGTAGAATGCCAATATTTACCTTCTCCTGGTGGACTATGTACATCTTCCTTCATCATTCTCGTAACTTCATTATCTAAGATGACAGAGTCAAGAGCCCAGCCTTTGTGAGCACGTGTGATCTCTTGTCTCATAGCAGTCAGGAAACCCTACAACCAAAACAAACATTTGTTATAGTTCCACTGTGTTTTATTACAATATTGTTAAATCTACAATGTCCAGCTTTCAACAAAAATATCAAAGCTCTTTTGGCACCAGTCACTTCTATTATAAGGTTGAAATGAGCCGCGTCATGACAAAACCAACATAGTGCGTTTGCGACCAGCATGGATCTAGACCAGCCTGCGCATCTGCGCAGTCTGATCAGGATCCATGCTGTTCATTTACAAACCCTATAACAAGTAGAGAAACTGATAGCGAACATCATGGATCCTGATCAGACTGCGCGGATGCGCAGGCTGGTCTGGATCCATGCTGGTCGCAAACCCATTATGTTGGTTTTGTCATGGCGCGGCTCAAATGTTTAATAATATCAAGTGTTTAATAATTAAAGTGTTATAAAACTGCTTTAAAACCCAAAATATAATATTACTATAATTTGTCAGCAAAAACCAAATAAAAAAAGAAATAATCTTCCCTTATAAAAAAATTTCATAGTCAATATCTTTTGCTTTCCTTTCTAATATTTACCTTTGTATGTTTAATTTTTGGTCAAAATATGATTATTATGTACATGTAACTAGTACTTACAGTTGGGTTAAAGAATCCAGTCATCCAGAACGTTGTTGGACGTCCCTCAAATAACCATGAATGGAACTGAGCGTTACGATCTAGCAGGTCAGTGAACCAGAAACCAAGGGTAGAAGACTCCCATGAAATCTAAAATTCAAGATGATTATGTTTTCAAAATTTGTTAAATATTCCAAAAAGATCATTACAGACTTTTCAAAACTCACTCAAAGAATTAAAACCCTTAGAGAGAAAATAGTATGATTTTACGCTGATTTTAACACATATTTGGTCATATCCTGACAGTCAATTTATTTAACAGGTTTTTTCTGGATAACTAACCATTAATTACCAATTTCTTCTTAAATGATAGATTGCACTGGTCATCAATTAACCAATTCGTCACCTTAGTGCAGTAACGGGTTAAGTCTAAATTTAATAGGAGTTAACCAGTTATTGCACTTACATGACAAATTATAAGTTAAATTGTAGGGCTTCTTCTCAAAATTTTATTTACAAATAAACTTATAGGTAGGGAAAGTAACTTCCACATAAATTGTTTTTCAGAAAAGCAATAACTGTATAACAATGAATATATACCTTCTTCCACGATGTTGGGACACGAGCATCAAACATGTTGTCAAGGGCGTCACGTAGGTTCTCACTCATGATGATTGTACCATCAATTGCGAGCTTAAGATCTGTGAGATCGTTACGTACACGTGTGATGACACGCTGCATTCTGTCAATCTCCTGTCTAAGGAAGATATTAATGGGCTGAAGATGTCCCATCTTACGTAGCCTTTCTTTAACCTAAAAGGTAATTATTTACAAATTTAAATATAAAATAGGCCCAAGTTGTTTTCAAGCTAAAGCTTAAAATGTCTAAAATTGTGAAATAAATAAAAAAAATTGATAAAATTCAGAGATTCATACACAAATGTACATGTAACTTAAGTTCAAAGATATCTTGAGTGTAAAAATATGCTAAAATTAAACAACACTGGTCAGCCTAAAAGTGTCTTTAATGTAAAACATGTAGCAAGTTAAAAATGTGAAAGAAGACAGCAGTATTCAATTGAATGCATTTTTATTCGTGATCACAATGTCGCCTTCAGTATATTTTGTAGTAGCTAGTGATTTCGCAGGCTGAATGAGCTTACAGAGAAAAGTGGTTCAGACTGGCCTGGCACTATACTTGGTACTTAGATTATTGTGCCTATGAAAACCACTGATCTTGATTATAGAGAAAACTGGTTCTGACTAGCCTGGCACTATACACGGTACTTTAAGATTAATATGTGCCTACCTCATGAGGAACATAATCAGGTGGTAATTTGTCCAACATGTCGTCAGCAAGTTTGTATACAATGCTTTCACGAGTCTCACCACCTCCACCACCGGAGTCTTTCGGCTGAATGTTCATTATTGTCTCTAACATACTGTTAGATGTGTTCGTGGAATACCTGTAGTTTATATAACACAGCATGTATGGTCAGTTTATCATTGTTACTATTATTTCTGATGGAATATATACAATCATAATATCTGAAAAACACCATTTAAAAAGGGGCATTTGTTAAACAATTTTACATCCAGTATATATTTAATGCTTGGCAGAAATTTATACTGTAGCAGACATTATTTGTGATGAAGTTATATAACTGTTGTTATCTTTTATTTGTGTTTTTTTATGTTAATTTTTTTTGTGTGAAAAATGATAGTTAGGCTTATTTAACTCTATTATGAATAACCTGTCACTAATTTCGTAAATTGTATAAAGAATATACAAAACACTTTCAAAAAATGATTTGAAGGGCTATTACAACATTCATAGGCACATGTGCAAATATTTTTGTAAATGATCCAATAAAACACAAAATCACAGTGATGTTTCGCTCATTGTTTTTTTAAAGCAAAAACAACATTTTTTAGTTGTTTCATAGTCAATATACAACATTTTCAGTGAGTGCCTGACAATACGAGTGTTGGCAATTCTATACAATATCCCAATGCTTACCAGCCACTGTTAAATATATGGTAACCATGATAAAATGGTTATATAAAATTATTACACCAACAAATTTTCACAAACTTTAAATTCATTGCAACAAATATATTAGAAATGAATGCCAAACAGATACAAGAGGGCCATCATGGCCCTGAATTCGCTCACCTGTAAATAGGCCCCCCCTGAGCGGGGCCAGTTTAAACCCCAGGGTTTTTATTTAAACAAACTTGGTAGACACCCATTAGAAGATTATTCATGCTAAACATCTAAGGTCTAGCTTGTTGGGTTTTTTAAAAGAAGATTTTTTAAGTTTTTCTTTACACATACAGTTGACTCTCAATAAGTCAAAATCGCTTTACTCAAAATTCCGCGTAAGTCGAAAAATTTCTAAAGTCCCGTCAAATTTCCTTCTTTATCTTTGTATTTTAACTCCGCTTGGGTCAAATTTTGACTTACCGAGACTCCTGTTTAGTCGAAAAAAAAATTTGGTCCCGTCAATTAAAGTCCAACATATTTTCATCTCAATTAGTCGAAGTGTGAAAACAGCCGACTGATCAAAGGTCGGCGACATCAAGTTGAGATGTTGTCACTCGTGATTCACACGTTTCTTAGTAATTTTAATTGCCGGTCATCATGTATTATTAGCACGTCGTGAAAGTGGCTTTAATCGGTTTCAGGACTTAATTGGTTTTAACAGTTAGATAAGTAAATTAAGATTTAATTAATTTAATTGTGCCAGCCTAGGTATTGATGTGTGTTTAACGTAAATGACATTTTTATAATTAATTTTCCGTCATATTGCATACATTAATATGTACTTCCGGTTCACGATAGTTGCTACTTTCGTTTTCGTCCGATGATCAATTTACTTCAAACATTAGATTAATTGTTGTTGAAATAAATGTGTTATTGTGCTTTCATTGTAATGAATTATCATGAATGCGTATTTAAAGCATGTGCATTACTGACGAATACTGACAAACTTGCATTTATGTCATTGCTACAAATGCTTGTGTTTATATTTCATTATTAATATGCATGTATTTAATTTTGAATAATACATTTTTGTTCATTTATAATTTGTATTTGTAAGTGATTTACAGTCATTTCAACGGTTAAATATTGCAGCATTGCTGCTATCGACAATAACAAACCTACTTCTTTGCACATTCAATCAGGTACGTGTATATACATGTACGAATGTCAACGTAATGGCGGCAGATCCACGTTACTCGAATTCCGTTTCTTTCGAAGTAAAATGCCCAGTCCCTTGGATTTCGAGTTATCGAGAGTCAACTGTATATTTAAAAACAATGACACCCCTGGGGCAGGGCCAGTTTTGACCCCAGGACTTTTATTTGAACAATCTTTGTAGACACTTACTAGAAGATGTTTCATGCTTAATATCTTAACTCTAGCTATTAGGGTTTTTTCAAAGAAGATTTTTAAGTTTTATCTATACACATATAAGGAAAATCATTGTCCCCCCGGGCAGGGCAAAATTTGACCCCAGGGCTCTTATTTGAACAAACTTGATAGACATCCATTAGAACATGTTTCATGCTAAATATCTTAGCTCTATCTCTTTGGGTTCTTTAAAAGAAGATTTTTAAGTTTTATCTATACACATATAAGGAAAATCATTGTCCCCCTGGGGCAGGGCAAATTTTGACCCCAGGGCTCTTATTTGAACAAACTTGGTAGACATCCATTAGAACATGTTTCATGCTAAATATCTTAGCTCTAGCTCTTTGGGTTCTTAAAAAGAAGATTTTTTAAGTTTTTACTTTATTCATATAGGGAAAATCAATGACCCCCTGGGGCGGGGTCAATTTTGACCACAGGGCTTTTATTTGAACAAACTTGTGGAGACTCACTAGAAGATGTTTCATGCCAAATATCTAAGCGCTAGCTCTTTGGGTTTTTTAGAAGAAGACATTTAAAGTTTTTTCTTTTGGTTGCAATGGTAACCAGGGTTCTGCATGGAACTAAATTCTTTGAACAATTTTCAAAGGTGACTTCCTGTGAAGTTTGGATGAAATTGGCTTAGTGGTTTATGAGGAGATGTCATTAAAAGTAAAAGTTTATGGATGCCGGACGGACGCCAGACGAAAAGCAATCACAAAAGCTCACCCTGTCACAAAGCGACAGGTGAGGTAATAAAACTACCCAAAAAGTGTACAGATATGTTTCTGTTTCATAAAAGCCAACTTCACTTAAAACTACCATAAATAAAGTAAAAGGGAATATTTTTTTTAATGATGCATTTTATATAATAAAGAAAAAAATTCATATTCCCAAAAACAAGTATTGAACTTTTCTACCCAAATTTTTTTAAAATATGTCAAATTTGACAACAAGCAGTTTAGTAGTTAAATGAATCTAATGTTTAATTTTTGTTGTATGCTTGTTTGTTTCATTTTACACCTTTTCCCAACAATATTTCAGTCATATAAGCAGGTAGTTTCCTAACCATCGTTCCTGGAGAGTTACACCAGTACTAGACTACCTTCCTCTGCGCTTTTGTTATATGAAACTTACGTGATATCAGCATTGGAGTGCAGACCAAAGCATTCAGGAGTGTCAGACAATGGTAGATCTTCTATATAGGCGACGTATTCAGTCAGATTCTTACACTTTGGAATCTTGTATCCTGAAAATAAAAAAGGCCAATCAACTTTATTCCCTGTAGCTTAATTAATACCTATGATTTAAACCTTTGTTGATTTACCTTCGTTTTAACAATATCACATTATTGTTGTTCTTACCATATTCATTGTAATAATTCAAGAACTGACTTAATACCTTCAAATTTCTAGTTAACAATAAAACTTGCCTTACGAAATGGAAAATTGTCTTATAAAGAACACGTTTATTTTATCATGCTTTTTATAAAAGATAAATAAATAAAATATGTTATGAGTTTGATTTTTAAAAATCAGTAGAGAAAGCATACCTATGTAGAACTGGAATGAGTCGGCAAACATTCCCTCACTAAACCAGACACGAGCGTACGTGTTCAGTAGCCTCTTGTCATAGTCGTCTGTGACACGACCTCCGTATTGTACCTCTCCAATCATGTAACGCACAGTGGTCCATGATACACCCTGTTATATACATCAATATTTTGAAAATCAATTTAAACCTTAACATTTTATTTGTAGTGCTGGGTTTTATATCTCAATCACAATATAAAGGTTATGTACTGACTTTCAAACTTTACTGGTCATTTTGTTGTAACAGATCTTGATACCTTAGTTTAGCTTTGTTTAAACATTTCATTATAGCTTATGCATCAAGTTCTTGCAACTTATATTAATCACTTTAGAGTCCACTTCCTGGAACTAACCAGTACTGCCATATGAGGAAGAATGATCGCGACAAAAGTAGGGTTCAAACTCATGATCCCTAGGTTGAATGGCAGTCATCTTAACCATTAGGCAACAACTCTCCTCAACAGATCTTGAAAGAAGTTAAAGACCTTAGTATATGCCAAGTTAGTAAGCAGGAGCATCTAATGTAACAAGCAATTATCATAGTATTGCAAGCAATCCATAAGTCCCCTACCGGTTAGAACCCCATCAACATTCTGAAGGGCCATTGGCCATTCACTTATGTTTCAATTTTTCTCTATTTTAAGTAAACTTGTTGGAAAAGTTCTTTTAAAGTGATCACAGGAAACAGTTTTTATGAACAGACAGACAGACGGACTGAAGGACACTCTAAAGTTAATATTTGAAACATCCCTGTTACCAAAATATAACATTTTAAAAGCAGAATTCTTAAAGAGGAGATAACTCTTGAATTAAAGATGCAATTTCATAAAAATTTTCAGCTCTTTTTGACTTATCACAAATATTGTTATATTTGCCATGTTTTAAGCCTATTTGTTGCCAAGGCAACTGATATTTTTTCAAAATAGGAGGAACAGATAAGACATGCATAATCTCAACACTGCTATCTACCCATATGTCAAGTTTCATAAAAATATTTCCAGTACTTTTTGAGTTATCACGGGATTCAGTTTATGTGTAAAATTTGCCATATTTTCAGTCTATGTGTTGCCATAGCAACCAGAATTTTCAACATAGGAAGAAAAGAAAAAGACGTGCATAATCTCAAGACTGCCATCTACCCATATGTCAAGTTTCATAAAAATATTTCCAGTACTTTTTGCTTTATCACTGGATCCAGTTTATGTGTAAAATTTGCCATATTTTCAGCCTATTTGTTGTCATAGCAACCAGAATTTTCAACATAGGAAGAAAAGAAAAAGACGCGCATAATTCCAAGACTGCCATCTACCCATATGTCAAGTTTCATAAAAATATTTCCAGTACTTTTTGCTTTATCACTGGATCCAGTTTATGTGTAAAATTTGCCATATTTACAGCCTATTTGTTGCCATAGCAACCAGAATTTTAAACATAGGAAGAAAAGAAAAAGACGTGCATAATTCCAAGACTGCCATCTACCCATATGTCAAGTTTCATAAAAATATTTTCAGTACTTTTTGTGTATCACTGGATCCAGTTTATGTGTAAAATTTGCCATATTTTTAGCCTATTTGTTGCCATAGCAACCAGAATTTTCACCATAGGAAGAAAAGAAAAAGACGTGCATAATCTCCATACTGCCATCTATCCATATACCAAGTTTCATAAAAATATTTTCAGTACTTTTCAAGTTATCGCGGGATCCAGTTTTGTGGACGGACGGACTGACGGACGGACGGACGGACGGAAGGACAGACAGACGGGCGGAGGGTAAACCTAAAGTCCCCTCCGGTAAACCGGTAGGGGACTAATAAGCTTATCTAATTGCGTAGTTATATTTTATACATACCTTCTTTGGATCTATGTCATCCAGATGGTTCTGTACAAACTGTACAGTGGCTGTGAAATCAGACTGGTTGAATTCATATGGAATGTTCCATCCAATAGGTCCAAACTTCCTTCTCTCTTGTACAGTGGTGTGAAGGAAAGCAACTCCATACAACATTGGCTTCCATTGAGGTAAATTACTGTACTCCAATTGTTCCTGGAAATCGAACAGAAATTTTCTTTCAAGTATGGTCAAATATAGTGATATCAATACTAAATGTTTAGTTTCAATACTCAATACATCATCAAATTCAGTTAATATAATGTCCACATAAACGTTTTATCTCATTTATCATTTAAAACATAAAACATACAGTGGGTTTAATTAGACATGAACCCCTTTTACAAAAACAGTTATGCTTCCTTGATCCAGACAATCTCATCTAAATTTTAAAAATTTGATGAAATCACATGTAATGTTGACATAGTTACATCTCTTTACTAAGCATGTATTATAGGACCATATCATCTTTTTATTCAATTATTCTAAAGTAATGCACCTTGAATGGCTGCTATATTCTAAAACGTGAAATTTTTTTACCTGTGTAACAAGAGCATAGGTTCTCTTGAGACCGGCTTTGACTCCCATAGGAGGTTCATTGGTGAACTTGATGGAAGTTTGGAGCAGATTGATAGGGAACTTTGGATGTTCCTCTGATGTCAACCAACAACGGAAGTCATCGTGAACATTTTCTGTCGATACGATCTGTATTAATAAGATAAAAGTTATATTATGATAATGAGTAATGTTTCTACATCATTATACATATAGTTTTACTGTACGGAAATATATTCTGAAAGTAATAAGAAAAACATATAAGTTACTGATCTTGATTTGTTTCTATCGTAGATTTAATTCTAACCAAAAAATACCATAAAACTAAATTTTCAAGAAAGGTTAACATATAGAAGAAGAATTAGACTTACAGTGTCTAAAAGTTCATCCATGAAATCTAGACCAAGATGGCAGTTCTGGAGCAGTACCCATTTACCTTCAGCCATAGAAACAGAAAGCAATCGACGGGCATGTACATCTTGACCTTGACCCATAGAGATTGCGCTGCACGAGAAGTTAAGTTTCTTAGCCAGTAACATGATGTTTTCTGTTGGATCAGAACCCATGCTGAGGAAACAGGTAAGTGGAGTTCTCTTTGTTGATTCTTGGTGCATGGTCTCCATGTTCAAAATGACAGCTTCAGCGTATCGTTTTCCCATAGCTTCAGCAATGAATTTTCTGGCCATCGGTATGATTCTATCTGGGCACCAAGCTCTGATAAGAAGGAGTTTACGCCATGTATCAAGTGTGGTAGAATAACCGTCAGGTATTGGGCTCTCTTCTGGTGCATCCTCATCAAACCAGGCTTTCCATACCTGGTAAGTAAAAAAGGGACAATAAAATTTTAAGTTTGGGAAATAATTAAACAACAATAAATAAAAGTGATCACCTTAAAATATAAAAATATCATGAACATAAAACTCCAGTGTGAGCAATCAGTATACCTTTGTACCTCAGATCCTTGATGCCAAAAAATTGAATCTTAAAAATGGCAGTTGTGCAACAATTTTTGCCTTTTTTTCATCACAAATCAATCTATTGTGTTTCTTTTCTCTAACATGGAAGATTTAAAATCTTAAGTTTACCTTGTCATTTCTAGCTACTTGAGCTAAAATTTGTGTAAACTGTGGAAGTTTACTCAGTTCAACTAAGTTAAGCCAAGTCATATCAAGGATCCACTTCTTTGGCTTAGGTTCTACAGCATTCAAGTCAAGGGCGGCACCACCTGAAATAATACATATTCAATAATAAATGATATATATGACTATGTTCAGATAATGATTTTTCTAATCCAAATAATCTATTAAAACATTCATCAATCCTGAAATATTACTTAATAAAAAACAAGAGCGATCAGTAATCACATGTGTCGCCTCATAACGGCCAATTTCATGTTGGGACAAATTTTGTGACAGACGGACAGACAGACGGACAGTGCACAACTAGACTTGGTACTGATCAATCATGTAAAGTTTGGATAAAATTGCACCAGTAGCTTATGAGGAGTAGTCCGGACAAGCTTTTGCGTATCTGGCAACACACAGAAAAAAACACCTTTTTATCAAAGGGCCATAACTCAGCCAAAAATCATTCAACCGGAAAACCCGTGCAATATGCGCAAGGACTTGAGCTACAGATCAATCCTGTAAAGTTTCATTGAAATTGCATAAGTGGTATAAGAGAACTAGTCCGGACAAACATTAAAAATAAAAATTATTAAAGGGCCATAACTCTGACAAAAATCATTGAACCGGAAAATGCTGACAATATGCACAACTAGACTTGGTACTGATCGTTCCTGTAAAGTTTGGATGAAATTGCACCAGTAGTTTATGAAAAGTAGTCCGGACAAGCTATAGTGTATCTGGCAACACACAGAAAAAAAACACCTTTTTATCAAAGGGCCATAACTCGGCCAAAAATCATTCAACCGGAAAACCCTTGCAATATGCGCAAGGACTTGAGCTACAGATCAATCCTGTAAAGTTTCATTGAAATTGCATTAGTGGTATAAGAGAAGTAGTCCGGACAAACTTTAAAATTAAAAATTATTAAAGGGCCATAACTCTGACAAAAATCATTGAACCGGAAAATGCTGACAATATGCACAACTAGACTTGATACTGATCATTCCTGTAAAGTTTGGATGAAATTGCAAAAGTAGTTTATGAGGGGTAGTCCGGACAAGTTTTGTGACGGACGGACGGACAGACAGACGACGGAGAAGTGATCCCTATATGTCGCCACTACTCCGTAGAGGCGACAAAAAAAACACAGAAATGAGTGGCTTTCTCTAAGGTCATAATTTGAGCCACGTCACGACAAAACCAACATAATGGGTTTGCAACCAGCATGGATCCAGACCAGTCTGTTCATTCGCGCAGTCTGCTCAGGATCCATGCTGTTTGCTTACAAACCCTATTACAAGTAGAGAAACTAATAGCAACAGCATTAGTCCTGATCAGACAGCGCGGATGCGCAGACTGGTCTGGATCATTGCTGGTCGCAAACGCATTATATTGGTTTTGTTGTGACGCCGCTCATATATTAACAGAAGTTCATAAGAAAGATCATATTTTATTTCACAGCATTCACTGGAGTATTTTGAATAACCATACTGTAACATACCTTTAATGAAGCTCTGGAATTCACTATTTGGAATTCTGCCGCTGTTCATCTCGATCTTCAGTGTGACCAAGATGGTGAAAGTGAACTTGTCTCTCTCGTATAGACCTCTAGCTGTGTATACAAACGACTCATATGTAAGATATTCAATAATGTTTCCAATTCTCTTCGCTGTGATTGGGGATTTCTGTGACTTTGCCATTGAGAGGTCGAAGATTCCAAGGAACTGACGCAGTGAAGTCTGGTACATGACGTTTACCATTGCCATTTCAACGATCAAGAAATACATAATACTTCCTCTTGCAGCCACTGAAATGATGAAATGATGATAGCAAAATGGATTATAACATATGACAAGTTTAGTAGTTTATCTTAGTTACTTAAACATTCTAAAATCAAATATTTCATTTTCATACTGGAAGTTAATCTCAAATTATGATAACTTTAGTAGTTCAGTGTTCTTTTTAAATTTTGAAAAAATAAATGTATGTACCTGGTCTGAACTCTTCACGAGCCGTGTTGATTTTGATCTCAGTCTCAGCAGCGATCTTCAGTTTCTCACTGACCTCCTCAGCTGTACGTTTTGTAATACTTAGTACTTCAATCAGTGACTCATCCTCTACTAGCGAACCTTCTGTAGATGTAAGACGGTACAGTAGATTGTCCTCAAGTTCTTGCATCTTACGTTTATTTGCTGTTACTTCCTCTAACAAGCTTGTCCTTTCTTGTTCAAGTTCCTGTTCAAATCAATGAGGTAGAAAATAATTAATTGCTATTCAATGAAGCATGTTGATGCTTTACATAAAACTGCACCTTTTGTAATAGTTATAATTTATTTGTTCTGAAATATTGCTGTTTTGATAATACAATAATCATGCTTAAGGTTGAAAAATGTGCATTATTAGTATAAGTAATACAATACAAAATTATCACAAAAAAAACTTTTGAAATTTTTTCATTAAAATCTTTCTTCCTCATTCTTCAAAAAGAACTGCGATGGTCACAGATTTTGGAAACTATTTTGTACATAAATGTTTGTAATTATAATGAAACTAGAACTCCGCGAGTTGGATGTGTCGCCTTGTGAACAAGTTAATTTTGGGGAAATGGCCAGGACAAAAATGAAATATGAAAAATAACAAAGGGCAATAACTAAAAAAATAAAAAGTGCAGAGCAGCAGTTTCTGTACACTGCACTTCTTATCAATAAGATCTATCATTCTATGATGTTTCAAGTCCATAGCTTTCATACTTGAGGAAAAATGACCAGGACAAAAATAAAGTAAGAAAAGCAACAAAGGGCAATAACTCAAAAATAGGAAATGCTGAGTATCAGTTCTTATGCACTGCACTTCTTTTTAATGAGATCTATCATCTTATGAAGTTTCAAGTCCATATTTTTTATATTTTCAGAGAAATGGCCTGGACAAAAATTTAGTATGAAAATAAACAAAGGGCAATAACTCAAAAAATAAGAAATGCAGAGTACCAGTTCTTGTGCACTGCACTTCTTCTAAATGAGACCTATCATCCAATGAAGTTTCAAGTCCATGGCTTTTATACATTAGGAGAAATGGCCCGGACAAAAATAAAGTATGAAAATTAACAAAGGGCAATAACTCAAAAATTAGGTAGTGCAGAGTACTGGTTCTTGTGCACTGCATTTCTTCTTAATGAGATCTATCATCCTATGAAGTTTCAAGTCCATAGCTTTTTTAGTTGAAGAGAAATGGCCCGGACAAAATTAAAGTATGAAAATTAACAAAGGGCAATAACTCAAAAATAAGAACTGCAGAGTACCGGTCCTTGTGCACTGCACTTCGGGTTATTGAAAGAAGCATGCATACCAAGTTTGAAGTCAATCAGACTTATAGTGACTGAGTTATGCTCCGGACAAGCTTTAGCGGACGCCGACAACGACGCCGACACAGACGCCGCCGCCGACACCGCCGACAAAAGTAACCCCAATATGTCACCTTTTCAAGGCGACACAAAAAAAGATACAATTATGGAAATAAATAAACTAAAAGCAAACTCATAAAAATCTTACATTTTTCTCTGTCAAGATGACAATACCCAGTAACTGATCTTCTAGACCCTTCATTGTTACAGTAAAGTCTACTATAGATGTTCTAGCAGTGATCTCAGGTGTGTATGTTGGGTTACCAAGCTTAGTTGTGATGTACAGCCTAAAACCTTTCATAATGTCAACTTCCTTGTCTCCAACCTTCACCTATAAAACACAAGAACAGTTGTTATTGTATATAAGTATCTATATAACTTTTCCCGAGTCCCATCAACACTTTTGAATGTTAGGTCATGAGCAAATTTTTTGCTATACTGATGGGAGGAAAATGACAAATGCACTTCCATGCAATGTATCAGACATTACTTCCATTTTTAAAGGGTGCAACAATAATCAAATCTAACACCGGCTAAATTATAAAATATCTTTGACTTTATAGGGCTCTATACTTTCTGTATACATCAATTTGTATGGAATTTAGTATCTGCCACATCTGATTCATTTTCTATTAAAGTAAAAGCAAACTTACTTTGAATGTGGAGCCGCTCTTGATGAAATTTTTCTCAAGGACATTATCCAGGGCTGGATCAAGCTCTTCCCCTACATCTTCAATGATCAGAGGACGTCCCAGGGATAAACTGTCCTCTAGATGTGATCGGAAGTATTTGTGGTTCAGTGATGTCAGCTGAAATTATACAGTAATGACGTTAATACATACTGACAACTGTGGCTTTTATAAGAGAAATTCATAGTGAGATGTAAAATTTAATAAAATTATATTTCTAAAAAAGCATTATAATGCAGAAAGTATATCATTGAATTTGTTTTTAACATATTCTGTGAATATAAAGGCCTACAACATTGCAATAGGACTAAAGCAAACCTACCTGTAATTCATTCTGGGACTCTCTATTTTTAATCCAGATCTTGCCTTGACCTTGTGGATCTATAAGGAGAGGATAACGTGCTGCCTTGGTAACAATTAGACCATTCTGTATAGACAGATCATCATTGGGTAAACCTTCCAGATTCCATTCACTCACTGTTGCATTGTCTACCAACGTGTTCACTATATTCAGATCCTGAAATTCAGAAAATATTATTAAATCATTTAATATCATTAAAAAAACAACACTAAAACTAAAATAATGGCAGATTTTGTTCTTATCCAATTCACCTGCATATATAGGAGAACAAAACTCGTGAAAAAAGGTGAAATGAACATAAATTAAAGAAATTTTTTGAAAACACATATTTTATCCAATGCTATAAGTTTTGGTCTAAATTCCCACCTGTGATAACTGTGTACTAAATAAAGGTGGTTTTTAACAACTTTTTTTCTACTAAAACTGTCTGACACCCAATTTATTTAAGTAGTAAATCCTATATATTACATCTGTGAAAGGAATCTTGGCTGCTATCATTTCTTTCTTCCATGCTTTATTCAAAAGAGTTCTGAATTCTTGGTTAAAGGGTCCGCAGTATGACAAAAATCCTGTACACAGAAGTACGTCACCAACAAGACGTTGAATCTGGGCCTCAAACCCTTTACTGGCAGCTGTCCATCTGACCCTCTCACCTCCGAGACCGTCAATCAGAGCCGTGGCATTGTTCATCTTCCTTCTACAAGCTTCAGCATCATCCAGTAACGCCTGAAACAACATAATAATTTATTCTCACTGCCGGGATATATATCCAGTATACATATAAATATTGATTTAAATCTTGCTTATCTAATCTTGCTTGTCTAATCAGATATAATATAGGTCCCACTTTTGGTCATCTTTGATCATTTACAATATCAGCTAGGTCATTTTATTCTGAATCACTACCAAAGTTTGATATACCATGTACTCAAGAATTATAAGTCAAAGTTTAATTAATAACTTGCCTAAGAAAATTCTTTAAGGTTAACTTTTCTAAATCATCATAGAGCTTAATGAGTTAAATCAAATACTTTAATCTGTCATACATTTTGCAAACTTTCAATTTGCTCTAGTGATTTATAATCTCAACAGAAAAATAAAGAAAGACATTGACCTGTTTTTCTGACATTGCAGCATCATACATGGCCATGACCTCAGCAAGTTCCCGATTCTTCTCGTCAAGTTGAGCTTGAGCGTCATTCAAATCTGACATAGCAACTGCCAATTTTGCTTCTTGTACAGCCAAGTTTGCCTAGAAATATGTATCAAATATACATGAGAAAATTTGTAAATAACAACAGAAGTTTTTAACTATGCTTATAATGAAACTTTATAATAAAATAATACACATGAATTGTACTGGTTACATATGGGCCAAATAGTCCAGGTGTTTTTCTTGTTCTTTCTTGTTATGTCATTGTTATATACTCATAAACAATATATCTTATTATATCTTACCATATGATAGCTATTCAATAAAAAATATTTCCATTCAAAATACGGCACTATATATTTCATGTATACCTTTATTTTAAAATTATTCTGAAAGGAGACTTTTTTAATAGTGCGAAAAAGATACAAAGTGCCTGTCCATGCATATTTCAGACAGCAAGAATAGACATTTCATACATCTGTAAGCTGGGCGGAAAGAGTTAAATGTCTGTAGTCAATCCATTATATAAATCTAGCAGAGAATATGTTGAGATATTAAAATTGCTGTTTCATACCTTCAGGGGCAACACTTCTTTGTTGATACTGTAGAAGAAACTCATAGCTTGAGTCCAGGATGCTAGACCGGCTACGTCTCCACACACTTTCCTTGCACTGTCAATGTTGTAATCCTCCATTGTTAGGTAAGGGGCAAGTAACTCCACTGTTTCTCCATTGATGGTGTCCTATAAATGTATGACAATTTGTTTTTACAAATATTGGCTGTTGTTTAATAGTAATTTTTTCTTCTTGAGAATTAAGTATTCATGTTTTATTGGATAGTTTTGGTAATGTTTTTTTTACAAGCACCAGAATTTTATTGTAACAGATGCAAATAAGTCATTGTTCACTAAATGATGAATCATTCAAGTTTTGATTGATTTTAACACAATAATTTGTCCATTAAATATGAAATAATTCTTTTGATAAGGTATTTTTTTCTACAGCACTTAATACTTTGGAAAAAATTTCCCCCTTTTTACCTTAGGGAAGTTCATAAGACCCTGTAGGAAACCACCACTAGACATGAGCTTCAAAGCTTCACTCCAAGACGGCTTGACACAAGGTCTCTCCGGATCCTGTTGTACAGCATCTAGTCTTTTCTGGAAGAGCAGCAGTGCACAGTCCATAATTCTCATAATCAGATGTGGTGGTTTAGCCAACTTACGCACTGAAATTGTATAATAACATCACAATATAGTTACTATAGCAACAGAATAACATAAAAACAAATTATTTTACTCATTATTTGATATATAGATTTTGAAATGTAATTGTATTAATTAAAAATGTTTGACCAAGATGAATGATCAGATCAAACCTATATATCAACTTGTATAATATATCATAATATAATATTATTATATATAGTAATATCCGGTTTTCAATCTTTGCAATGTAACACATAAACAAATCAAGGGCTAGGTGATAAAAAGTTGTTATGTCATGACATAAAGAAGGAGTTACAACAGTTTTTCACTAAGCTCTCAAAATTTGGTAAATATATTCTTTTTCTTTGACTTAACCAACAATTTGAACCACTTTAATCATTATTTGAAAAAAAAACACAACATACCAGTAGCAATATGTGCTGGTTTGATGGTCTGGAGGGCAGCCTCCGCTTCCTCTAGAGCTGGACGAGCAGCCTCCAACTTGGCTTCAGCCACAGACTTGTCAGCCTGTAAAAATAAAATAAGTAATTATAAACCTTCTTAATTCTTAAAAAGCATATATATAAAATCTACTACATAAATTGTCCCACACTTAACCAAGGTACAAATATGAGCATGGTTTCCATTTAAGTCCAATACAAACTAAGATTAATGAAAACATTTCTTTTTAAAATATTAAAATAATATGAACAACAAAAATTTGTGGCAGCACAAAAGCAGACTTAGATGCCATGAACAATATCATACTGAACAAAAAGAAAACTCACATCTTTATCAATCTTCTGCTTGTCATAATAAATAGTTGTATTTACATTGTATATACATGTACCTTTTTTACATAGAAAAAACAGCAAATCATAGTGTTTTTTGGGGAAGGGTTTTGTTGTAATTTTGTTATTGTTGGGATAACATAAGCAAATTTTATGAATTAAAACATGATCACAATCAATCACCAAGAATCAGATCTACAAAATCATTTTCCTAGAAAGTTAATTAATTTTATCAATCTGAGATGATGAATTGAGAAACAAACTTACAGAAATGACGTCTACAATGCCCTGAGCCTTGTCCTTTACCACCTGTACTTGAGCCTTCACCTTCTCTGCAGCTGTTGCCTTCACTGTCACCTCGGCTAATACAGCATCAGCCTTCTTTGAGGCTACAGCCAATTCCTTCTCCTTTACAGCAAGTTCCTTGGATAGCTCATTTACTGATTCTGTGGCCTCTACAAGCTTCTTCAAACCTGGAGTAAAAAATAAAAACATTCATTTTTGACATTTTTTCAAGTATAAATATATGCGGGCCTCCCTATCAAGCCTTGAATAATATGAAGGATTGACTTCAACAACACATCTGATTCTATAAATCACCTAATCACATTATTAGCTGTTTAAGGAAGAATTATTATAGGTGAAAATAATTTTCCGATAAACATTTGTACCAAAACATTACATTTTACCCACTGTTCCAACTTGCATGACATATTTGGCCCCTAAAAAGGTGAACATAACATAATTATATATAAATCTCTACAGTAACACATATAAGTCAGCTAACCAAAGAATCACTTTGGTTCCTGACAGCAAATTGTTATGTTTCATGATATATATATTACTTACAAAATTAGGAAAAATTCATTTATAAATAAATATTACACTGGTAACTACTAGTACCTGTATTCATTCTCTCAGCCAAAATACCAATCTCTCCTCGTTTCTGTGAATAAATGTCCTTGTAACCAGCAATAAAAGAAAGGTAAGACTTTGGTGTGACGTATGTTTGACGACGGTACCTCTGGAAATACTCTATACACTGTTCTGCTACCAAATCCTACAGTGATAAAATAAATAAACTAGAAATGTGTCCATAGGACACTGATGCCCCCACACGCCACTGTTCTGTCAATTTTATGACTCTAGGTCAAATATTTTTTGGACAACATGTGCCACAAGTTGAAAACTAAAAATCAACAAAGGGCCATAATTCTGTTAAATTTGGTTGCAGCAAAAATTCCTTCCTTTACTGCCATCAACACATTAAGATTGTTCATCCCTGGAAGTTTAAGCAAAATCTGCCATCCGGTTTAAAAGGAGTTGCATTCACAAAATTTCTACATACATGTAGTATATAGTGAAAAAATCAACAAAGAGCCATTATTCTATTAAATTTGGTCGCAGCAAAAATCCCTTCCTTTACTACCATCTACACCGTAAGGTTGTTCATCCCTGTAAGTTAAAGCAAAATCTGCCATCCGGTTTAAGAGGAGTTGCGTTCACAAAATTTCTACATAGTATATAGTGAAAAAATCAACAAAGGGCCATAATTCTGTTAAATTTGGTCGCAGCAAAAATTCCTTCCTTTACTACCATCTACACATTAAGGTTGTTCATCCCTGTAAGTTTAAGCAAAATCTGCCATCCTGTTTAAGAGGAGTTGCGTTCACAAAATTTCTACATAGTAGCTAGTGAAAAAATCAACAAAGGGCCATAATTCTGTTAAATTTGGTCGCAGCGAAAATCCCTTCCTTTACTACCATCTACACATTAAGGTTGTTCATCCCTGTAAGTTTAAGCAAAATCTGCCATCCGGTTTAAGAGGAGTTGCGTTCACAAAATTTCTACATAGTAGCTAGTGAAAAAATCAACAAAGGGCCATAATTCTATTAAATTTGGTCGCAGCAAAAATTCCTTCCTTTACTACCATCTACACATTAAGGTTGTTCATCCCTGTAAGTTTAAGCAAAATCTGCCATCCGGTTTAAGAGGAGTTGCGTTCACAAGATTTCGGGACGTACGGACGGACGGACTGACGGACTGACAGACGGACGGACGGACGGACAAGTGCAACGCTATATGCTCCCACATTGTGGGGGCATAAAAATTTGTTTTAAATAATTTCAAAACATGTTTTCATAAATTTTTCAAGATGTAATGGAAGTTTTATACTTTACCAACAGAACTTGTGACTACATGCAGCTTAACGTAACAACACGTTTTTTTAATTTTTAAATCTCAGGTACTATTCATATTTTGATTACTTTCCATTTAATAGTGGAGAACTCCAATTACCCATATACATGTATGCAGATTTTTCAAGATAAGCAAGCTTTGTAAAGAACAACCAAACAGAAAAAAACATTAAAATTGTTTCAGTAACCTTTACGCAAAATTTTATATGAACAAAATCTAAAACTAACAATAAAAGCTAAGACTTTACCTGGAAAACACCCATGGTATTTTGTACAGCATTTTTAACTGCGGGAGTGGCTACAATATCATAGCTTGACAAGAAGTGATTGGATACAGCAATCAAAGCATCTTTTGGCCAACGCTGGAACCAGTTCATTGTGCAACCAGAAATCAAACCAGGGAACTTCAATGAACGTGATCTGAATTTCTCTCCAACCTGTGAAAGGGATTAAATAAAACAATTATAGTTTATATCATTCTTACTCTGACCAAAATATAAAAAATACATGCATGCTATAACTATGGAATATGCTAAATAGACCTCAGCATAATTGAAGAAAATACTAAAATAAGAAGAGAAGTAATTCCTTCTTTAAAGCTCTCTGTCATGAAAATTCTACTAAAATACTTATGTAGTTTTCAATTTTTTGACTGAAGACCAAACTTTCTGCTACTTTTTAACTCTTTATTCTACAGTCTAACATTTGCTAGAATTCCTATGTACAGATATTATCAGTCTTCAAAGACCTTTACTTTTCATTCCATTTTTTGTTGCATGTGAATGCATTTCAACTTAAGACAAAAAGCCCTTTTCCAACAAGACTGTCTTGAGTTTCTAAATCACTCTCTTGAGATCCCAAGTATGGTCTTTAAAGACAAGTCTGACTGTAAACTGTTTAGCATTATTAATACTTACAGGTGAGAAGCAGAGACACAGATGTAGGTTCTGCCGACAACGAGATAGGTAATACTCGTTCAAGTTCTCCAGAGTTGGGACACGTCTTGGGAACTCTTTCTTCATTGCAGGTATCAACTCATTGAGAATTTCATCCATTTCATCACGGGCAAACAAACCAGATACCTAGCAAATTAATAATAAACTTTTGACATGATATATCATACAGAGAAGAGTGTTTGTTTTTGTATGTCTATGCCATTATATGACAATTTATTCTTAAAAATCATGTCTTTGTAAAATTCATTGCTATAGTGAAACTTCTAAAAAATTAAGTTACACTAATTAAGTAACTAATTGAAAGCATTTACAAATGAGACAAGTTTCTCACCTCTCCTGAAGACAGGATATTGTTCATGTATTCAAGGAAAGCTTCGTCCTTGATCTCCTGGTCAGTAAAGAGGAAAGTTATACCCTGTCCTTGTTGACCTGCTGTGCGATATAGGCCCTTCAAATCCTCCATCAGGTTACTCACATTGTATGATCTACAAGTACATAATAACAATTATTTATCTACATAATCTACATTACTGATGTTTTGAGCAAAGAGTACATAAATAGCATTTACATAATAACATACATATATGGCATTTACATAACATACAAATATGGCATTTACATAATTACATACATAAATGGCATTTACATAACATACAAATATGGCATTTACATAATTACATACATATATGGCATTTACATAACATACAAATATGGCATTTACATAACATACAAATATGGCATTTACATAATTACATACATATATGGCATTTACATAACATACATATATGGCATTTACATAACATACAAATATGGCATTTACATAATTACATACATATATGGCATTTACATAACATACAAATATGGCATTTACATAACATACAAATATGGCATTTACATAATTACATACATAAATGGCATTTACATAACATACATATATGGCATTTACATAACATACAAATATGGCATTTACATAATTACATACATATATGGCATTTACATAACATACAAATATGGCATTTACATAACATAAAATATTGGCATTTACATAATTACATACATATATGGCATTTACATAACATACATATATGGCATTTACATAACATACATTATATGGCATTTACATAACATACAAATATTGGCATTTACATAATTTACATACATATATGGCATTTACATTAACATACATATAGCATTTACATTATAAACATACATATATGGCATTTACATAACATACAAATATGGCATTTACATAATTACATACATATATGGCATTTACATAACATACAAATATATGGATTTACATATACATACATATTATGCATTTAAAAACATAACAAAAATATGGCATTTACATTAACATACAAATATGGCATTTACATAATTACATACATATATGGCATTTACATAACATACAAATATGGCATTTACATAACATACAAATATGGCATTTACATAATTACATACATATATGGCATTTTACATAACATACAATAGTATATGGCATTTACATAAACATACATATATGGCATTTACATAACATACATATATGGCATTTAACATAATTACATACATATATGGCATTTACATAACATACAAATATGGCATTTACATAACATACAAATATGGCATTTTTACATTACATACAGTATATGGCATTTACATAACATACAAATATGGCATTTACATAAAACATTACATATATGGCATTTACATAACATACAAATATGGCATTTACATAACATACAAATATGGCATTTACATTACATACAAATATGGCATTTACATAACATACAAATATGGCATTTACATAACATACAAATATGGCATTTACATAACATACAAATATGGCCATTTACATAACATACAAATATGGCATTTACATTACATACATATATGGCATTTACATAACATACAAATATGGCATTTACATAACATAACAAATATGGCATTTACATTACATACAAATTATGGCATTTTACATAACATACAAATATGGCATTTACATTACATACAAGATGGCATTTACATAAATACAAATATGGCATTTACATAACATACAAATATGGCATTTACATAACATACAATATATGGCGATTTACATTACATCAAATATTGGCATTTACATAGTGACATACTGCTCTAAAATATGGCATTTACATAAAACATACAAATATGGCATTTACATAACATACAAATATGGCATTTACATTACATACATATATGGCATTTACATAACATACATATATGGCATTTACATAACATACAAATATGGTATTTACATAATTACATACATATATGGCATTTACATAACATACAAATATGGCATTTACATAACATACAAATATGGTATTTACATAATTACATACATATATGGCATTTACATAACATACAAATATGGCATTTACATAACATACAAATATGGCATTTACATAATTACATACATATATGGCATTTACATAACATACAAATATGGCATTTACATAACATACAAATATGGCATTTACATAATTACATACATATATGGCATTTACATAACATACAAATATGGCATTTACATAATTACATACATATATGGCATTTACATAACATACAAATATGGCATTTACATAACATACAAATATGCATTTTAACATAACATTACAAATATGGCATTTAACATTACATACAAAATATGGCATTTACATAACATACAAATTATGGCATTTACATAACATACAAATATGGCATTTACATAACATACAAAAATATGGCATTTACATTACATACAAATATGGCATTTACATAACATACAAATATGGCATTTACATAACATACAAATATGGCATTTACATAACATACAAATATGGCATTTACATTACATACATATATGGCATTTACATAACATACATATATGGCATTTACATAACATACAAATATGGTATTTACATAATTACATACATATATGGCATTTACATAACATACAAATATGGCATTTACATAACATACAAATATGGTATTTACATAATTACATACATATATGGCATTTACATAACATACAAATATGGCATTTACATAACATACAAATATGGCATTTACATAATTACATACATATATGGCATTTACATAACATACAAATATGGCATTTACATAACATACAAATATGGCATTTACATAATTACATACATATATGGCATTTACATAACATACAAATATGGCATTTACATAATTACATACATATATGGCATTTACATAACATACAAATATGGCATTTACATAACATACAAATATGGCATTTACATAATTACATACATATATGGCATTTACATTAACATACAAAGATTGTACAATGCTCACCTTGATAATGTTATCTGGAAGGTCTTGTATGTAGCTATAAATGATGCAAGTCTTGTTAACGACTGTTTACCTGACCCACCAACACCAACAAGAAGGGCGTGACCTCTTGGGGTACGAATAACACGAGAAATCTTTACCAAGTTTGTCATGGCATCCTAAAAATTCAAAACAACATTACATTCTAACGTTTTCATTCCATATGCAGTTACTGAAATTATTTTTAGTACATTAAATATTCTTTTCAAACAATTAATCATTTTTTAAGTAATTTGATTCCTTTAAATGCTGCAGATTATCTTCTTATTGTAAGAAAAGAAACCGTTGCTAACCTTGAAGAATACAAGGTCCATTTTCCCGCCACGAACTGTTTCATTGTACTGCTCCATGTAGCCATTCAGTTTTTCCGCAAGCTCGTCTAGTGAAGGAATTGGCTCGTAAATCTTCGGTGCATCAAGGTCAGCATCATCTGGCTCATCTCCTGTTACCATGGTAACAAAAAAAATGTGTCAGCAAATATAAGCTTTTTTATAAAAAAATCCATGCTTTGCTAAATCTACCAATGTTCTCTTTCTTATAATTATCTTTTTCTTTTCTTAAAAAACCGGGGTGCCAATAAAAAACACATTAAGTTTAAAAAATTTTCGGGTTAAAAAACAAAAACACGTACACCTCCTTAGTATATTATTTTCAATTCATTTACTCTTTAAATTGAAACTTTTTAAAAGATACTTTATACAGACAATAAAGTTAGGAGGGTAAAATAACAAACTCTTGTTATCTGTCTTGAAAAAATGAAGTTATCATGACAACCATTTTTTATCAATCATTATAAGTTATATATATCTTTGCTGTAACAAAATGTAGCAAATACATACACAAAAATAAAACTTAAATGAAATTTTGTGAAGAAAAAATAAAACATACAAATGCAATAATTCTCATACTGTACAGTGAAATACATGCAAAAAAATAGTTCCTCATGCAAATACATTTTTGGTTGTAATAGCTGCTTTAATATAGCATTTACAATCCCTATTCATGCAATACATAACACAGTGATTCATCACGACATCTCTATATTACCTCGTTGTTTTAATTGGTCTGGATCTTTAATTGGTTAGAATAATTCATGATTTCAAAAATAACGTAACAAATATTTAATTTTTGCACAAAACTGCTGTCGATATAGAAATATTCAATTACAAGAATTATGAGCAAAGTTCTACACTAACTATTTTATCTGATAATTCCCTTTAACCACTAACTTTGCTTAATCTAAACTAAAATAGCATTAAAATGCAATTAGCAAATTTCAAGCAGCTAATGTACAAGTACGGTGTTATTACAATCTATGTATTCAACACTCAAGTTGTAGTCCTTTCTTATGCATTCTTTTACATTTCATAAAACAATAGCCATAAACCTTTGGTTTAGTATATACCTCTGTTTTCCTGTCTTAAAGTTTCCAATTACTTTCATATCCATAGTTTTGGGAACAAAAGAGTTTTAACTTCCAGATATCATTTATTCCAGATGCAAAGCATCATCTGCTTACAATTTCGATGAACACTTTTCTTGTGTACTCACTTTATCATCATAATTTTTTCAAATACTTGAGTAATGAGCTGCATATTTTCATATTTCATTTGAAAACCATGCCTGATCTTGGTTACTCTTATCTTTTAATAATTATACTAATGTATACAGCTCCAGTCAGAAATGCTTATGATAAAAATAATAATACATAATATTATATATATATGCCATCATATATAAGCTACAAATCTTATGTCTAATGCTTTGATAGAGAAATAAGCCCCGATGAACCGAAACTAGATTATATATATGACTTTTTAAAAGGTAAATAAGAGACTTCCCTAATTGCTATCATCTAAGTTTATATGATATGTAATTTTTGTCTCTATAACTTTCTACATTATGTTGCAATATCCCATACCTTAACAACATGAACACTTGGAAGACTCCTGCTGTAGTGAGAAACACTATCTTTTATCAACAGTTAGCAACAGAATATTTACCCCTACCATGCTAAATACATATAATGGACTAGTCCATCTTTCAATATGGATTAAACCATTCATCATTTAGAGGGAATATTTACAAAATAAGTAACATTTAGGGGAAAAAAATGACAAAATATGCTCTGACTGAATAGCAAACAGTGCAGACCATGATTAGATGGCACAGATGTCCCTGCTGATCTTGGTCTGCACTGGTTGCTTGGGTAAAATCATTTGTTGCTAGCAGGCTAAAAGTTAATTTATCTACCTAAATCACTCCTTTCTTTTGTTATTGTGAAATAATAGCAACAAATAACTAATACATTATGAGCTGTAAAAAATGTTCCATGAAGTATTAAGTGGTATAAAGCTAGGCTGTTTGTTACTGGTGACAGTAAAGTCAGTAATGGCAGAACTCTTTAACAGACGAATCTTTTAAGAATTAAGACCAATGTTACATTATATCACTTATCTTAATAAAAGGGGGCATTTCAATGAAAACACAAGGCATCTTCAAAATTTGAGCCGTGTCACGACAAAACCAACATAATGGGTTTGCAATCAGCATGGATCCAGACCAGCCTGCGCCTCCGTGCTGTCTGATCAGGATCCATGCTGTTTGCTATTAGTTTCTCTACTTGTTATAGGGTTTGTAAGCGAACAGCATGGATCCTGATTAGACTGCGCGGATGCACAGGCTGGTCTGGATCCATGCTGGTAGCAAACCCGTTATGTTGGTTTTGTCGTGACACAGCTCAAATGTTGCCAGTATTCATGTTTTATGTTTTTCTATTCAGTCAATATCATTTTTCGCTGACATCAGAAGATACAGAAAAGAAAGACATGAAATTAGTTATTTAAAATAAGTTTAAAAGCATTAAAAACAGATCAGTAAAGCTGAAGTGAAAAAAGCTAAATGACAAAAAAATGCAAAAGAAAAATCTCTGTCAATAGCAAACATAATTTATTGAATATTTTTCAGTAAACAAAACTTACTTTTATTGCATATTTGTGTTGTAATCATGAGGATGAAAAACTTACACCACAAAAAAATGGAAGTTGTGACAAAAATATGGACAGATGATAGTCAAAAGAGTGCTAAATTTCTCTATTTTCATAAATAAAAAAACTGAAATACAATTATAATAATGTCTATGTTACCTGTAATCTCAGGGGCGTCTCTCATAAAATCTACAAAATATGGCTCTTGGGCCATCTCATTTGTCGCTGCTACACCACACTCTTCTTCTGCCACCTAACAATATCAATTTATTTTTAATATACATGTATAATCATCAGTAGAGTTTTATCACTAAAACACAATACAAACAACTTTATCAACTTATGATTAGGCATAATTCTGCCAAATATTTAATATCAGTTTGCGAGTAAAAACAAATATGTCATGGAGAATTTCTTTCTTTTTTTTTGTAAAATAATAAAGACAAAAGACTAGCATGTTAAAGTATATTTAAATTTATTTATTTATTTATATGTACATATTAATGTTTTAATATAACAAATACTTAAACTGAACAGAAAAAAACCTGTTCCTAATGAAACCCATATAGTAAATCTCTCTTAAATAAGTTTTATCAAAGGTAAGCAATGTAAAAAAAGTCTTTTCATTCAATGAGTGAACTTCACTTCTTTTTAAGAACTTGTAGAGTGTATGAAGCATTGGTTTAGTGCTATTGGAAGATTATATATACCTGTTTAATAGTCTTCTCAAACCAGTCTTTGTCAGCATATGTTGTAAATCTGTCAGCTATGACACGGTAACATTCATGTTTCCATAGAGACATCAGAAGCCCAACATTTGATATGATGTCTTCTGTACAGTTCAACATTCCCTGTTGGAAATTATTGAAATATGAAAACCATTGAATACTCAATAAACGCACAATGCAATTCACTTGGGCATTATCTATTGTTGTTTTAACATTATTACTTAAATTTTTATTATGTTAAATATTGAAAGTATAATGTCTTTTTAGGCCTTGTTTTTTTATTAACTAGTTTTAACAATATTATTTTTTATAAAATAAAAATATAATGTGGCACTTGAAATAAATGATCATTAAGTTAAGCAGATGATCAAGTATGGTGTATAAAATCATAGTTTAATCCTCCAGATAATCTTATTTGGTGTATTGAATCATATTCTATTCCTGCCGATGATTACATCTGGTTTAATTACAGCATTTGATAATTTAATATAGATGACACCAGGAGTCGTACCTGCCAGATTCTGCTAAGATCTCTCAAGTTGAAGACATAGTGGAAATTTGCTGGAGTTGGCAACATCTTCACCTTTGTCTTTTGCCAGAGTTTACGTGTGGCCAACACAAGGTTCTCAATCATCTCACATACCTCCTCGGCAAATCCACGTTTCTGAAATATTAAATGAAAAAATTTTCGTCTATCTTCATATGTATAATTATTGGTATATAGCTAACACAAAATGGACCAAGCAACAACATAATACTTTCAAATTAAACAAAGAAAAGTCAAAAACAAGAATGAATTTAATATACTTAATATATGTTTATGTCATTTATTGAATTTGTTTTCATGCATTTCATCTTAAATTTAGAATATTCTGGTTTTGTAAGTGATACAAAGTCCACAACATATATAGAATACTTTTATTGCACTAAGTAATGTCAGGGTTTTCATTATTAACAGATTGGCAATCAACATCATTTGTTAAAATGCTGTTAAAATTGGTTGCAATTTCGGCCTGTATTATAGTATGGCCAAATCGGCCGTTTTCATTGGCACATCTGTTCCCTCAGATAATAATGAAACCCCTGAATGTAAATTGTAGTCTCTAAACTGTCCATGCTTACCTTGATATAGTATCCTTTACCAATAGTTCTGAAAACCTTGTCAATGGAAGTGTTGGATGGCAAGGTACAGTTGAAGATATTAAAGTGGCGTTTGAGACGCTGCGGAATGTCGTTACGTCCTCCACCGGGATGGATCATAGCAGCCATCATTTGTATATCAACAATGTTGATGAAATCACCAGGCTTCTCCAAGTTGTAGAAACCCTTCGCTTCAATCATCTGTCGTGTAATCTCATTGGTGATCTATAAATAACAATAAAGATATATAAGTGTGCTGGTATAGTTATAAAAAAATTGTGATACATGTACAAATTTGTCATAACTTGAAACAAATAAAACTGTTTCCAACTTAAAAACAAAAACAAAAGTAAAACAAAATTTTTTACATATCCAAGGATGACCAATTTATACATTTGAACATAATTACAAACTGGAGCATAAAATAGTATGTATGAAATTAAAACCTCATATAAATCACCAAAGGAACTGTCCGTTCTGGATATATTTTGAATATATTTTTTCTTACAGCATATCAAATGAAACCATCATGCACAAATCAGCCGAACAAAAATGTACCTGATCTCCCCAGTTGTTTATTACAGGCATGTTGATGTCATCAACAAACACTGTCATCTTCTTGCCAGCTGGTGGACCATATGTTGTACCCATACGTTTGTCTACAAGACCCTCAATGGTGCGCTGGAACATGAGCGGAGTTGTGGCACTGGAGAAGTTGAAACTCTTGAACATGTGCAGTTCAGGATCATACTTGCCACAGAATCCCTGGATCATCACAGTCTTGGCTGTACCCTAAGATGGTAAGAAAGTTGCTAAGGTCATACATTGTTTTTCATTTACCAGTATATATTTTATATACTCCACGAATGTATTTTTAATTCAATATGATACAGGAGGGAATAATTTATAACTAAGGTTGAGAAACAAAATATGAATGTAATGATAATCTTCATCATCTAAAAGTAATTGGAACTGGGACTTGTATAGATTTGTACAGATTTTTTTGCCAAAAAAAGAATAAAAATTACTTGTAACTTTTTCCTTATTCAAAAAATTTCTAAGCTATTCTATCTATCAACAGTAAGAAAAGGAACTGAATAAATACATATAATTTTTTATTTATGTTCATTATGATAAAATTAAATCCCTTCTTTAAACAATAATCATGATAGAATTTACCTGTTCACCAATAAGTAGGACACATTTGCCTTGTTTGGAGATGGTATCAATCAAGAAATCTGTTCTGACATTATCCACATTGGGTACCAGAATACTGGTGTATTCTGGGATTTCATTGTCAGGGTAAATGTATGTAGGTACCTGTAAAAATAATATATCATTTAGTTCTGGCTATTCTTTAAAGTAACGAATAAACTAACATTTTGATAATCTATGTTTTACAATTATTTCTAGTAAATAATTATTCATAACAAGGTTTAGTGCTTAAAATTAATTTTTCGTTTAAGAATAAAGCTTAAGTAATTGGCAGACATGACCTAGAAGTTTAGGCTCCTGTCTTTCAACTACATAATCAACAGTGTGTGTTCTACAATTGCCAAATCAGCACGGCTTAGTCAAGGAGTTTGGCACAAAATGCGGTTCAAGTCAAGTAAGTCCCAAGCTTTCTACACAACTGTTTTTAAATGAATATCCTAACTAAACTTACTCTGCTAGACCAATGCTCCCACTGTCCTGTTTCCCCAACAACAAACTCAAATATCGAGTCTTCACCCTCACATTTAGGAAGCTCTACTGAACTGCTTGTTCTGATCAGTTCTTCAACCTAAATCAACCCAAAAAATAATTCATTTATATTAATAATAAATATATATTGCAATCCTTTGAATTCTGCGGACTGAGTATTTTTACCATAAGCAAACAATTTAAATATTGCAATTATCCCTCAAATAAATGCAATACTTTAAAGTAATGTCAGAGGCACTATCAACTGTTGTTCCTATAGCATTTTTCCCCAATATAACTCCTTCTTCAGCATAAATATTCATTAAATGTTTTAGGGCTAATTAATTGGTCACTTTAATGCTATAAGGCCATCAATGAAGTGTACTATTTCTAAGTACTGTAGTCAATTCAATAAATACAAGATAGATAATAAGTGAGCCCAACAATATTTGCTGGTGCTTCTCATTATATGACACATCTAATATACAATATTACAACATGCAAAATATTTTTATAATCTTTAAAACACATGTAGATATTGAATGAGATCATAATCTGCTGTAAAACAACATAATTATATAGTAAGTACAATATAATATAATTACTTTAACTATTGAAACAATAATAACAGGCACACACAAACAATAATTACAAGAATATCATATTAATAGCTCATATAAATCTAACATATTTTGCATAAAGATCAAATAGTTATATCATCATAAGCAGCAATATATTTGTAATAAAAACTATGCTTTTATAACTCTGATTCAAAAGCCAATAATAATTTGTCTATACAAGGCCAACATGCACATTTGTGCAATCTGATCAACGTTCTTATATCTTTTATACTGAATCCCCTTAAAAATAACAGTTGACAGTTCCATATCCAAAGTAAGACTAGTTAATTACACAAATTCAGCATAGAAATGGATAAAAAATTTCAACGAACCAAAGTTGACAGAGAATTTATATGAGCTATTAATATTAAAAGATTTCAAAAATTAGATATATAAATAAACATTGTGAAAATATGGTATTTAAATAATCATAACATGCAGTGTATAGAGATAGTTAGTTTTCATGCAAGTTCAGTTAATATAATTTAAAAAAAATCATTTAAATTAGAGGGAATTCAACAGACAATATCTATAACAGTATATCAATCAAGATCTATACATTATCACATTTAAGAATATAAATGCATTTACTATGATATTGTTTGCACGGAGGTTTTATACTCGTTGGAGCTAGTCAATGTGCTGATGCCAGCATTTGTGCCCTTGACAGTAATCTTGTGTACTGAGTGTGCCAATTCCTGTACAGGTCTATTTTTAAAATGGTACCGGTCTTGGTGCCAGTGTCATATTTTTTACATTTTTTTCTTTAAGAACTGTGCCCAGTTGGCAATGTCATCGAAACCTGAGCTACACTCTAAAAAGTAGATCAGCACCATAATTGGTACACTAAGTACCAGTTACCGAAAATTACTGGCACCCGCACAAATACTGTTATTATAAACAACCAGCACAGTGGCAGCAATAAATATATAAGCTCCATGCAAACAATAAGCTGCACTCATGAAATCAGGCTTTTGACAACACTGCTGAATTTGAAAAGATCACAACTGCTGAACAAAAACTGGTCAGAGATGTTCGGTCAACAAAGGGGCCTGTCTGAAGGCTCCCTGACCCATTCATTTCACATTCCATGTCCCTTTTGGAACTTAGGGGTGAGCTCCACATCAACTATCAATGCAAATCGCACATAAACTTAAGCAAAAGCTAACTTACTCTTGCTATATCTATATCAGTGAAGACGGTAGTTATTACGGACTACAGCAGCAAACTCCTCGGAATTGAGAGTAAAACAAAGCAGGCATCAACTCTCAAAATAAGGGAGACCAGTGACAAATCCAACACAATAAAACCACAAGAAGCGAGAAAAATCATTGCAAAAACTAATATTAAAGCACATGGCCTCAGTGACTACCTTACTGCCTGCAAATAAAGCAACCTCAACCCTAGAGGTTTTCGTGTCTACTTCATGATGCACTATGGCAATAGGAACATATTTTTAGACTCTCCATCTAGGAGGGATCTATAATTTTCGTAGAATTGAAACTAACCCCCTACCCAACTCCCTTAATACTAATTTGAAACAACCCCCCCCCCACCCCTTTACACTAGTTTTATCTATATTTTAACTTTCTTTTTCAGCAATAAAATAAATTAGATCTATGTGACTTAACTATAGTAAAACTTATGTGATCAGTTGAAATTCCAGAAATAAAGCTGTCAAAATGGCAGAAATGTTTAACTAGGTGCAATACACATTAATCATGTTTACAACAACACTAATTACAACAACAGTAAAAAATTTATTCTCAACATTTTGAGTAAATATATGTCTGGAATTCCATATCTGTAACAACATAATTTACAGTGAACATATAAAAAGTACATTATAAAATATATTGTACATTGTGAAATCAAAATAAAAGTGAAAAATTAATTGGCGGGTGATAAACATCCTAAACACTTACCAAACTAGAGAACTGTTAAACACATAATACATATATATAATATAAAACAATGTATACAAGAAATACGCACATGCCATACAGTTTATCAACAGTCACTTCCCGTTACTCTAAAAATTGCTACAATCCTAATCGTCTCGCAGAAAACAAACACTGTTCATTCTAATTTCTTTTGCAAAATAGATCACATTCTTAGTTATTATCAATTTTATGGACATATTTACCAGATATATTTAAAAGGAAAATCATCATTTACTAAAATATAACAGAATTTAAGTTGGAATATACCTTCTTTCTGTCCACTTGTTCAAGCAATGCTCCAAGAGACCACATGATCGCAAACACAATCAGTTTCTCTAAATGGTCTCTAGGTATATCCTTGTTGTCGTCACGACGTGGAATCAACCCTTCAAGCAGGTCAATAGCTTGACGCACATAATTACATTGCAACACCTGTGTCGAAATGAAACCAAAATCTTAACTTCATTCAAGATAATTATAACAATAATTGAATACATCTATGGTCTTTAGTCCATAAAGTCTGCATTTCTTCTGTGACTAAGAAAAGTTACATGGACATTTTTCTATTGGAAGTATCTATGAGCAAGAAAAAAGTCAATGGCACCTTTTGAAATTATTTACATATTACCATATTAAATAATTTAGTCACTCTATTAGACCAAAGTTTCAACAAGAAGAATCAGAAACATATTCATTTCATCTAGTCAATGAAAGATGGCAATTTGTAATGGCCTAATGGTTAAGGTGTTAGCCTCTCTAACCAGTATTTGTGGGTTTGAGCCCTACATTAAGCTTTTTGTCAAATGATATCAAAACTGCTTTCCAAAAGGAAGCCAACAAGAGGCAAAATTCAAATAATCTCAATATTTAATTCAAGCTAAAAACAATATGCTGCAACAAAACTAAATCTGTAAATTGAGCTTCATCATCATACTTTTTGCAAGGAGCTTTTTTTTCAGCATATAATGCATACATGTATTTTATGAATTCATTAAAACTGTCTTGATTGCGACATTTTTTGACTGTCAAATTTATAATAAAAGAGGTCTAAAGCTGCATGGCAACCAGAAAAAAAATCTGTTTTTTTAAAAAATTTTTTTTTTTTACTTTTTTTTTTTTTCCATTTTTTTGGGGAATTGTTTCAATTTTTGGGGTAGAGTGTAGAGAAGAGTTGGTCAAATACGGTGAAGATCACATCTTGCTGACCAGGAGGTCGAGTCAACAACCAACCTGTAATTTGGAAAATAATTCTTTTCATATAATTCTTAGTTCATTTACTAATCTTTTTTCACAGGTTTTAATTTTTTTACGTATTGTTTTACTTTTTGAACTGTGCTTTTATCTCTAACAATTAACACTCTGCAATCTGCAATATCCCAATTTAACAATTTAGATATGAGCTTAATAAGCATCCAGTTAATGTCTATGTAAATGAGCATTATATTATAAGGGAAGTTCTTAACATTAATTATACAAAAATAAATGTATTTAAAATTCAATTTTATATGTTTCTGACTATAAGAAGACTATTATACAAACCTTTGAGGATTGGATCCCAGTCCAGGATGGAGCTACTCATGAACACCATACCATTTCTGGATACAGTGGCAGGGGAGGCATTGTCAATGTTGTGCACCTCAAAGATGATCTTACAGTTGGGTGCCATGGGGATACGATCTCCATTAGCCAAGGTCAAGGTCTTGTTGTCATCAAGTACAGAGTTCAAGTTTTCAATCCAGATAGCATCTACTGGTCCATCAAGTAAGAGCCAAACGTGGTCACCCTGAGTATAAATAAAGAAGCTTGTTAATTTGTGTGATAAATTATATTTTCATTTCATATGAACATAAGTAAATACAAGACAAAAATTAAATGCTTTCTAATCATCATTATAAATTTGTCAATCAAATAAAGTCAAATAAACTTATTCAGTTTCAATATTACATACATGTGAACTTTTTCTGATGATCAAGTGGGAGATTTTTCTTCAAAAAAGAGGTTGATTTTAGAATTTGCAATAAACGAAGAAGATTCTGAATTCAAAAAGAGGGAGACTTCTTTAATTTGTGAAAATACCCCTTATTTTAAGAAAAATCTTTGAAAATATGGCTGAAGAAAGTGGGAGTCTCTCGCTAAAAGTGGGAGAGTTCACATGTATGATATTAAAAGCTTTATCTTTGTATCTTTTTTATTTTTGGTCTATAATCTCACTTGCATATAATGAATATTAAAGTAAAATTATTAGAATATTAATATTTACCTTCTTGGTTTTGTGTGTCCTTCTCCATAGTGTGGAGAAAATACCATCAGTCCAGTCATTTGTTGCTACGTCCAGACGCCCGAACATCTGAGGAGCTGTGATAGCTTTTGGGTTCATTCTCATTTCTTTATGGGGCTCGCCGCATTCTGTCATAGCTTTCATCAGAGTATGGATACATTTTGTCTTGCCAGCACCGCTGGGTCCCAGTGTCATCATACCGTGACGTACACGCTGGGTCTCGAACAGCTGAATCAGTTTGAGGATCCATGGCGCATGGTTGATCAAACCTGCCTCAGTGACCTAAATATATAGAAATATTTTATGTATAGTACACAACCTTAATCTAGCCCTTTGTATGAGTAGTAAGTGTTTGTTAACATGTAATCTGTATCTATTCATGATCCATTATACACAAGTTATTTTCAAATATCCGAGCAAAATCTTTTTATATTTTCTAAAATAACCCAAAATAATAAGCTAAGCAAATGTAACCTTATTATAAAGAAATGCAAAAGTAATAGGATATAATGATGATATGATTCTGTTAAATACAGCATTGTAAAGAACTATATAATTATTATAGCTGGAAAAAAAATACACGTGGTATCAAATAAAAAAAAGTTTCATAGTTCATAATCATAGCAATACCATCTATATTATAATAGAGAATATGTGATACATAAATATATTTGAAAGATAGATTAAAAGAAGAAGAAAAAACTGAATGAAAGTATGAAGGTATCCATGGACAGTAGACCTTTAGAATACACCTACTTGTACATTGATAAAATTCACATTCTAGAATAATATATTTAATTCACTATAAATATTTTTTCAACAAATTTCACAGGGCATGGTGGGAAACTGTTGTAACTATTTCAGTATTTCATATTTGGTTACAACATGTTCACTACAAGTCTGTCATCATCATAAACCACTTTGCCATCAAATTAAATCATAGATTTTTAAAACAGAAAAAAGTGTATATATTTATGTCTATATTTTCTGTGAAGCTAGTCAACTAAATTGATGTGAATGCCTACAAGTCTAAAGTCAATAAAATGTTCTAAAATGCATTCAAATAGTGATAAATATTTATCAAAAGACAGACCTACTCACACTGTGAAAGTCTTGCATATCACTAATTCCTTAACATCACTTTATTCCTTAACATTGCGATAATTTTCTGTTATTAAATAGCAGTTAAAAAGTGATAACCATCATGATTTCTTAAGTACCAAAATTAAAAAAAAAACTTTTTCATTCAGCATCATTACTACCTTGCAATCAAAATAGAAGAAATCAGATTTAACCAAGCAATTGTTAATTCTCTTTTTCTCTTTTTGTGCACTACTTGCAACTTTTTTTATTTGAAGAAATTGGTGAATAAGATATTTAATGCTATCCATTCTTCACATGGCAATACAAAACTTTGATCAACACAGCTGCCGCACTGACATTATTCATGACATGAAAACAATAACTACCAAACAGGGAAGGGTATAGTGAACATAACAATAATATAACCATAAAAAACCACAACTCTGACATCAACTAAGGTAGATAATGTATTGAAAAATAACAACTAAATGTTCATACTGAAATGTTTTACCCTTGTATCCTTGTTATTTTGTGTTTCCTTAATCTACAAGTTATATACATAACAACTTTACAAAAGTTTTTTAATATAATTGTTACAACATTGATTACCTCCCTTTTATCACAACATTTATAACCCCCCTTCAAATAAGTATCGAGTCTTTACTTTTAAAAATTTGTAACAACACTGATTATCTCCCTTTCAACACAAGAAATAGTTTCTTCTTTTGTACACAATTGCAATGAATCATTATGAATTACCTCCCTTACTTTAAATACATATCGTGCCTCAGACACTATTTGAATCATCTCAGACTACTGTTTGATAAACTAAAATATTTTCTTACTTTTTGTAAAGAAGAACTTGTTAAATATGGGACTTTTATTTCTATACTAGGAAATAAGTCAGCATTTCTATTTAACAGTCTATCTCTTCAAAATTCATATCACATCACCTTATTTAAATTTAATCTGTAATATATTTGTATTCAGGGTGCATGTAGCATCGACTGAGGGTAAAAATGTAATCTTAGACTAAGAAATGAATTTACAACAATAAAGAAAAGCTCAAATGATTACACATTTTGTTTACACAGTTATAGAATCAGACTGGGTGCAATATTACAAGAATAATGTCAATATTAATTTCTACTCAGTGCATGAACAACAAAAAGAGAGACAAATATGGTAGGGAACAAAATCAAAGATAAATTCATGGTAAATTTCTAAACGAAACTGCTACATTTAGTATTAATACCCTAAAAACATTGAATGTTAATTCTAAACTCCATAAAAACAATTATGGCCATAAAATACTTGGGGTATTTTTTTCTATAAAATATATGTAGGTATTGATAAAAGATTCAAAAATCTGATCATTATACCTTCTTCTCAATGGCTGCCTCCATCTCTGGGTACCCGGCCTTATCCAGGACAATTCCAGGGAATAAGTCATCAATAAGGGACATAAACAAGGGCTCATCTTCATCAACCTAAACAACACAAAAAAATTATATGAAATTAGGCATAACCAATGAACGCCAACTTAGAAATGACACTGAAAATATCTCTGATAGGTATGGGCATCTATTTATTTTCTAATTGTTTTTTTAAACTAAATTTTCTTTTGTATATACACATGTAGTCTATAGCTGGGCAAGCCAAAGCACGGGCCCACAAACTTTTATGTTAACACATTTTAGATAAAATTTCTTTAAGTTTCATGTGTGTATTCATGTGTGTATTCCAACACTTTAGGTCGAGTCTAATATTTCATTTAAGGAAAGCAACATCTGAAATTACATACAAGTTTTGAAAGGTTCATGTCTCGAAGAACTCTCATCACACACACAGTCTCGGGATCATCAGGGTTGGCACGTTTGAATGCTCCCAAAGTACGCAACACAGACAAAATGTTACGCAATCCAAAATCGTAGTGCACCTACAATAAGAGTAACATTTATTAGCATCCATTTAAACATTCAGCCTGTTCCATCATCAGTAATGATTTTGTGTTATCAGGTATCAATTGAGAATAGAAAAATCAACAACCATACATATGTATATAACTAAATTGTTTTTACTTATCAACATTTTGGCTAACGCCTTCAACAGGTCTCAAAATTAATGTCACCTTAATGCACCTCTATTAAATTATCATCTGTTTTACATCTTAGATCTATCTTAAACTTGCATAAAAATACCACACTTAATTTGATTTTATATCTTGCAACTTCCAGCTTTAAAGAAAAGAAACATTTGAAGACCTAGAAAATCTTATATGAAAAAAAAATGTGTTCTTCTTCTTAATTTTCCGCATTTTTAATAATTTTCTTAAGGTGCAAAACAACATAATTATACTTCTGTTCTCACGTACATACAATAACAACAATTTTCATATATATTTTGTGATAATATTACGGGTTTCATACTCATTGTACACCAACATGTGTGCCCATACATGTATATCACTTACTATCAAACCTGTAGTTGAATCCTTTAGTTAGCATGAAGTGTTTTTCAAAATGATTTTTATAAATAATACTATAAATGCTGAAAATAATACCATTTATATTACCATGTAAAGTTATATGCATTGTAACTGGAACTCAAACTAGATAATGATAAGCAGAATATTTCTTAACAATGCTTTTGGTATCTTTGCACAACATATAGAAGTATTTAAAAGCCATAATACCAATTAAAGACATACATGTAACTGCCAATTTTTTTTTTTCCTCAAATTTAAAAACACTTGGTAATGAAACTAAAAGCCCTAAAAATATTTAAATATTTATACTTGTTTTGTGAGCTGTTCCTCACAGAGTTTGTACAGGGTGAAGAATTTCTTGGCAAGGGCAATGTTCTGTTGGAAACCGCAGGAAGCGAGCTTCACACGTATAATGATAGCTCTGTCAGGCACCATCATAGCTACTGTACGGAAATTGATCTTCAAGTTCTCTGGCAACTCCTGTCTACCAGCATAACCAGGGTTCTGAAATTCAAGACAATTTGGAATTAGTACATAGCTTGCTAAAATGAGCATTTATTTTGTGTCTGAGATACATTGCCTTGTTATGCAGCCAAATATTATTATATGATATTACATTTTCAAGAGAAATGTGTGAAAAATAGTTCAATATCATAGTGAAAAATATCAATCCTGAATTCATTCATTTTAGTAAATTTATATCACAAGTTTTAAGATCATAATGTATATCTTTATTTGGTATATTCTTCTTTCCAGCTTATCTGGTGTTCATAAATCCAATGTGCCCCCAAAGGTAACAACATTTCAGACATGAACAGACACCTAAGTGCAACCACTGAGTTTTCAGTGCCAGCTAGACTGATACTGTGAAACACACAAAGTACAATTTAATTTTATAAGTTATGTATAACTCTGCTCTCAAATTTTTTTATGCATTGTCTATTTCAAACAGTTTTTAATCACCATGGTCAAGAAGATTCCGAACTCTGTGTCCATGTCAACATTGTCACCGTCAGTGAATATGAAAGAAGACTTGCGTTCCTTCTTACACTGAAGTACGATAGCAATCTGCTGGGCAGCCACAGACAATACGGGCAACTCAATACGGTTAAACTCATCAAAACATCCCCATGAACCAGACTGGGCCAATCCTGAAAAAAAAAATGATAATGATATACAAAACCTAAAACTTTGTTTCCTCTTGATAATAGATATAAATATATCAGCTAATTCATAAAATTAATTAAAGTTTATTGATAATTCACAATGATATGAAGCCTCTAAATTTATATTATAAAACGTAACATACATAGGTAAGATGTTTTAAGAGGAAAGAGGAGAATATATATTACAAACATAAAACTCACCCTTGTAAATACGGCCAAGTCCTCTAAAGTCCATCTGATCAGAGCAGTTGAAGACGACAACATATTTGCCGAGACAACGACCCATGTCCTTGGTTGTCTCTGTTTTACCTGTACCAGCAGGTCCAGCTGGGGCTCCACCAAGACTCATACCCAGAGCCTGAGCCAGTGTGATGTAACATCTAAAAACATAAACAATCAGCAAAACATGTCAACTATTGTGTCTTAATACATCAAATGCTTCAAATTAATTAAGTGTTCACCCCCAGACATTTTAAAAACTTACATAATTATATGCTTTAGGGATCTACTCGACCAATCACATAAGTTAGTAAAAACAAATAAAGGACTGGTAAAAGAGAATGTTTTTGCAATACTTGTTATATATTACTAAAATCGTAAGAATCATAGGATTTTTCATAAACAAGTTTTCTTCAAGAAGGAAAACTTTTATTAACATAAAACTTGTGTTAAGCTGATGCCAGTGTGAGTAGGATACCCACACTACCTTTCCGACAGTCAAGTTGAAAATAACTTATGATACAGACAATTACTAGTATTACATTTATGACAAAAACACATTACCTGTCAGTCAACGGTGTGATGACAAGACGTTCTGTACAACCCAAGAATTCATTCTGGTATATAAAGTCAACATCAGTGATGGAGATTTGACATTTGTCCAAGTCTTCAACAAAGTAGAATCGAGACTGTTTCAACCATTCAAAGTCACCTGGTGATTTGATGTGCATTTTCACCTGGAATTATAAACCAAAAGCTTTTGTAATCAAAATCAGGCTAAATTTATTTCACCTTGCAACAAATTATTTCCTCTTTATAGAAATTGATCTTGGGTTAACATGAAATGTAATTGCACTGATAAGCTCCATTCTTGATGCAATGAATCATAAAGGCATTCATGGGAAATTAATTCTTTAAGTGTTAACAATAATAATGATAGGCTTACTTCAATCTTAATATTTTTATAAAAAAAACCTTAAAAGACTGTTTTTGGTTCAGGGCAGCACAACTTATCCAACATGATCAGATAAACGGTTACAAAGACGGACATATTATAAATGTACAAACCATATCGTCAAAGATATCTTTCTGATGCACGTGAATTGTGATCAAAGTCTCGTATTTTGTTCTCTCGATTTTCTTCAGATCTGTTGTTGTCATGTTAATCAGCTCGTTCAACATGTCCAAGAATTTCTGATTTGTGTTTGCCATCACTTTTTTATCGACGCGCGCGTTCGTCAATGCCTCCTCGGCATCACGCGTCCATATCATCTGGATACCTAACAAGCCAATCTATAAACAAGAAAACAAAATGTTATCAATATTAAACTTGATTACTTTCAGCAGCATTTTATAATGGTATAAATACAAGAATAGGCAAAGAATAAGATATTTCTATAACCTATAATATTATGATTAATTATTTAACTATGTTCCATTTCAGCACTAAAATTAGGTCTTCAAACATTGTAGAAATATATCAAATAAATTTATTACATTACTTAATGATAATAATCAATTTGAAAAGTTAAGTGAATGAATTTGTGTTGTACTGTATATAACAAGCAATATAAAAAGATGAAAAGTAAATTTTTATGAAAAAGAAATTACCTGAGCTGGATAGCCGTTTTCAAACTCAATCATGTTGAAAGATGGATCTCCAATTTGAACGCTGGCCATTCTGATGACACTGTGTACAGATTTTTTGGACATGTTCAAAAGTTCTCCCAGCCATATCTCAACATTACCCTATTTGAATACCAATAAGATACAATTAACAATAATTGATAAATAAGCAATAAAAATGCACTTAATAATTAACATTTTAATATTAAACAAGGGTGCCATAGTCACAAAATACGCCCGTTTACGAAAGCTTTAGATGGAGATGGGGGCATTATGGATAAGTGTTATCTAGCAAGCAAGTTTTTATTCTTGGCACTGTGTTGTTAAATGAACCTTAAAACAAATCAGTAGGGAAGATATGCACTGGATGTGTGACCTTGACCTTGGTCGCAGGGACCTGAATTTAATGCACGGCACTCAGCCTCACAATGATGAACATTTGTGCCAAATTATATTGAAATCCCTCTATGCATGTAGAAGTTTTGCTCCAGACAAGCGTTTTTCTATGAGCTCTAACTGTGACCTTCACCTTTGACCTAGTGACTTGGTTCATGTGCAGGGCACTATGTCTCATGGTGGTGAACAATTCTATAAAGTAACATTAAAATTCCTCCATGCATGTAGAAAATATGCTCCGGACAACATCTGGATATTTAATCATCTCCAGTGACCTTGACCTTGCAAATATTAACCTAAATTAAATGTGTCACACCCGTAGTCATGATAGTTACCATTTATGCTACAATCCATCAATAAATGATGACTAAATGGTCCCTATACACATCTTCAAATTTTTATCTGAACTTTGACCTCTATGTGTAACCTTGACTTTGGTCGCAGGGATCTGAATTTTGCGTGCGACACTCAGCCTCACAATGGTGAACATTTGTGCCAAGTTATATTGAAATCCCCCTATGAATGTAGAAGTTTTGCTCCGGACAAGCGTTTTTCAATGAGCTCTAAGTGTGACTTTGACCTTTGACCTGGATCATGCATGGAGTAATACATATCATGGTGGTGAACATTTCCATAAAGTATTATGAAAATTCTTCCATACATGTAGGAGATATGCTCCAGACAAAATCTGGATATTTCACCATCTTTAGTGACCTTGACCTTGCATATATTGACCTAAAGTACATGTGTCACAGCCGTAGTCATGATAATGACCATTTGTGTTACAATCCCTCATTAAATGATGATTAAATCGTCCCTATACACATCTTCATATTTTGATCTAAACTTTGACCTCTATGTGTGACCTTGACCTTGGCTGCAGGGACCTGAATTTTGTGCGCGACACTCCGCCTCACAATGGTGAACATTTGTGCCAAGTTATATTGAAATCCCTCTATGCATGTGGAAGTTTTGCTCCGGACAAGCGTTTTTCAATGAGCTCTAAGTGTGACCTTGACCTTTGACCTAGAGACCTGGTTCATGTGCACGACACATCTCCTCATAGTGGTGAACATTTCTATGAAGTTTCATTAAAATCCCTCCATACATGTAGGAGATATGCTACGGACAAAATTGGACGCCGCCCGCCCGACCGCCAGGGGCGTTCCCATAATACGTCCCGTTTTTCAAACGGGCGTATAAAAACACTGTTAATGTATTTCACAAGTTTGCTTTTCTTCATAAATATCCACTGAATAAAAAATGAAAAAGTTAGAAATTTTTGTATGAAGTCCTAGCAAAGTGTCTATAAATGAAATAGACACCAATTTTTGCATATAAAGTCAAAAACTCTAACCTGAGGCCGTAAACTACGATTCTTGCAATTAAGTATAAAAATTTCTAACAATTTGGTAGTTCCAAAATTAAGGGGAGACAACTGTGTTATCAAAGATGAATAAGATGGAGGTTTTTACCTGAGCCATTACAGGTGCTTCTAGCTGTACAGTTTCTCCTTCCTGTGAGTTTATCTCCAGAATCTTATCATAAATTTTCTCATCAAATGTAACAAGTCTAGTATTGTCAAATACACTCAACAAATGATTCTGAATGGTGTGAGAGTCACTGGCCTGACCCAGAATCTCAAGAAGAGCGGGGTCAGACACAAAGAAGAATCGTGGAAAGACAAGACGTTTCTTTTCCAGGTATCCAGTCAGGGACTTCTGACAGATTTCAAGTTGTTCAAGGAGATGGGGCAGTAACTGCATCATGGTATCGTCACCTACACAACAGTTGACAACGTTTGGCTGCTCGTGGGCACGCTGCATGATCTTCAACCAGGATTTGTCAATGTTGCTGAACCTCTTTGCTTCCTGTGATCATGATAGAACAAATTAGATAGGTACAAAAAAATGCTTACTGGTATAGTAAAAGTTTTTAAATTATTTGTCATTTAAGTCATGCCTATAAACGGGTAGTTATAATATATTGGTTTAAAAAATGTTATTAAGTATATTAAAACACGAAAACTCTTAACTCAATTTTTATAAAGATGAGATATATGTAACTGCATTTGCAATGTAACTCTTTGTATAAAAATACAAAATTTATCCACAAATCTGATATATTTGGATAAAATAAAATGGAGACAATCTTTACATCAAACTGCTGGAGTTATAAAAAAAATGTTCTTCTGAAACTTAAAAATCAAAAAGCTGAATTACAAATGATTGAAATAATAAGTTACCTGTGGCAATTGTTTAGCAATGTCACCACCAACAAATACAGCCTCCAGGTAGATCCAGAGATTCTGTACAATCAACCAGTTCTCTATAATCTCAGTGGTACCAGTCAGTTTGTGAACCCATTCCTGAATCTTAGGCTTGAATGGTGCATTGTATCTGTAAAAAAAATATTTTATATGTTAAACCAGGCTTTTATATTTGTGAACCCATTCATGAATCTTTGGTTTGAATGGTGCATTGTATCTGTATAAAAATATTTAAGCCGCTTGACAAAACCAACATAGTGCGTTTTTTCTTTAAATATGATATGATTACAAAAACTTTTTTTATAGTCTGCAACAAAAATATATTATACATTACCTGTTGCTAAGGAGACCACCAAGAACCATCAAGCTGTCTTCCATCAGTGCCACTGTATCATTTGTTGTGTCACCTGTTGAATACAGCAAAAACAAAATAAAAAAAATTCTTTTACTAAAACAAATATCAAAGATGTTAACTTAAACCTATTTCTGTACTGAAACCAGTATTGAAGATATCAAACCTATTACGTAACTGAATCAATTTTTGAACATACATTCTGAAAGAAGTATTATAAGATATCAAACCTATTACCTAACTAAGACAAATATTAAAGATATCAAGACATTTTCCTTACTGAAATAAGTATTAACGATATCACACCTATTTCCTTTAAATTAAGATATAAAACCTATTTCCTTACTGTAGATCAAACCTATTTCATTACAGAAACAAGTATTAAAGATAACAAACCTATTTTCTTACAGAAACAAGTATTAAAGATAACAAACCTATTTTCTTACAGAAACAAGTATTAAATTAAGATATAAAACCTATTTCCTTACTGTAGATCAAACCTATTTCATTACAGAAACAAGTATTTAAGATATCAAACTTATTTCCTTACTGAAACAAGTATTAAATTAAGATATAAAACCTATTTCCTTCCTGAAACAAAATTTTACCTTTAAGTAAGAGTTCTCCTCTTGTCTTGAAGTTAGAGAACTGGAATGCTTGTGTGCTCCAGTCATTGACAACTTGTTTCAATTTGGCTTCAATATCCTTCTCCTTAACAGCTGAGATACATACATCCTGGGGTTCACAATAACATAATTAACAATATATTGATATAAAGTTTATGATTGGGTTTTAAATATATTACTTGTCAGTATCATCAATAATAATATAAAATTCAAGATTCCTTTGCTCTGTTGTACTTAGCTAATGATTACATGCTTTTTCCCAATTAACATAGCAATCAAAATTTCAAAATGGAATTAATTTATGATTTTTTTTCCAATTAGCAAATGTGCAGCTGAAATGAATAAAGTGCTTCTGATATAACTCAAAGAGGCAACATTTCTATTACTGTTGCATGTTGTGGCTTGGTAAATAAACTTATGTTACAGAAAGATTAAATTGTAATTCAGGAAAAGGAAAAAATATTCAATTTTTATACATATTAATGAGTGAAATAGATTCATATGTATGATTTTTATGTTTTAATTCACCAAACTTACTTCAATATCCTCCTTGTTTGGCAGCAATGGGGCCTCCATAAGGTTACGGAGGAGGAAGCTGTCGGCCTCAACATCAAACGTGTGTCCAGTGATCTGTGCAAGTCTCTCCCAGTGACGGGGCATCATCGCTTTGTTGGCCATCATCTCAAGCAGTGGACAAGTCTCGTTAAAGTCATCAATTGTCTTCTTCAACTCTTCATAGGCCTGCCATTCCTTCAAGGCTTTTGGCAATTTACGACATCTAAAAAGAGATTACAATTAATTCATTCACACAAAGGATTTAATTGCTTATTTACAGTATTAGAATATGCTTAAAAGAAATTCTTATAAAATATTTACAAATATTAAATTCAAGAAAATTGAAACAATTTTTAAATCACATGCACCCACAAATCAAGATTTTTTTTTTTTTGCTTGAATACTGATGGGCATGAATATATTGTGTTTAAAATTAGGCACACTGCTTAGCACAGGTAACTTTTTTTTTTCTTTTTTCCGGGTAATACATTAAAACACTCACTTGTTTTGGAAGTCAAGAAGTTCATTATTGATTTTCTCAATGTCAATATCTGACCATGGAATGTCTTGGTAACCATTCACATTCTCCAGTACAATATTGTACAATTGATACAGTTTCTGTAACAAGTTCAACTCTTTTTTGATTCTCTGAAGCTCTGGGTATGGTGTAACAGGGAGACCAAACAACTCCTCGCCACCTGAGTACGTGATAAACTTGCGCCAAAGCTCGTCAAATCTCGACTGGTATATATTGAGACGATCTGAAGCTTCACGAGGCTCAATACCATCAACCATGGGTCCCCTGTGAGCAAAAACCATATGTATAAGATAATGATATGAAAAAGAACAACACCATATCGGACAAACATGTGTTCAAACAATTTAAAATGCAACATAATGGCCAACAAGAGGATGACACCCCCCCCAATCAAACTTTGTAGGGTTACAATTACAGTGTTTCTAACCTCTATGTTTTCTCTTCAATAAGAATTTCCTAGACACTTATCAAAAAATTTAATTTATAAAATTCAAAGTTCCCTGTTTCCCTGTTTCAACATCATCATATAATAAAATAATAGGACTTACAATTTAAGCTACAAAAATGCTTTTGTATACAATTATTTGTAGGGAAAAACTTATAAGAAAAAGAGAACACTTCATACTTGGTGTCATAGTCTCCAACAAATTCGGTTTGGTCCTGAATAAACTGTTCTACACCAGCTAACAAGTTTGATTTAAATTGAGGCTGTATCTCCAACAAATGGTCTTGTACTTCTTGTGACTGAAAAGTTAGATAATTACAAATGAGGTTAATCTCAAACAAGGGAAGTAATATCATTCAACATTAATCTGATGTTACAGGTTTCTCCTAAACAATCGGGGGTGAAAAAAGAGATGAAAATATTACAATGATTAAATATAACAATGAGTAAATGAGACTATTTGAAATTAAAATGTTAAAACATAGTTACAGACCTTTGCAAATTTGAGTAACTTGTACAACAGTCAAAACTTTAAATAATGTAAAATATTATGTAAAAGGTTACCTGGGTTGAAAGTTTCTTCCAGCTGTATGACAGTGAGTCAACTCTCTCTGCATTACCATCATTAAAGAAGATGTTGTATCTATTCAACATGGCGTATGCCTCTTCTATTGGCTGGATTGTCATATCAATACGAATAGATGACTGTCTAATCTCCGCTAGCGAGGCCATGTGCGATCTCACATCGTCCAAATCTTTGACAGGTCGGGACAACTTCTTCATCTGGTTTTCCATGAACTCAAGCATTTCGTCCATGTCCTGGGCACATTTCTCATTAAGAGCCTTGGAGAATGCAAGTTTCCAGTTTCTGGTTTCAGTAACAAGGGCAAGTTTAAGGGGATCTGTCATGAAGGTCACAGAGCCTACACGGTATGAGGGCACTATCTCCTCAAGTTCTCCTTCAAGACGCTATAATACATAAAATAAGAAATCAATTACAAATAACTCAGAAGAATCTTTCAAAATATTTTACGTTTAAAGAAAATGATAAAAGAATTAAATGGCGTCTTAACTATTTCAGTTTATCAGATATACCATTCCAATAAAACATCTTTTACTCTTCTTCTTCTTTGTCAACTCAAGTCTTGTTTAGGTACAAGATCCTTACTACATTCAAACCAAAAATCACTACATTTTAGAAAAAGAAAATTCAGGGGAAGTAACTCTATAGATATATTTGTCATGTAAATACCTGGTAGTATTTGATCTGCTGTTCAATCTCAGACAGAATTGGTTTCTGTTCTATAAACTCCTTCACTGCTTCCTCTGGGTTCTACAATACACATAAATACATTTAATTTGTAAGGTCAGATTCATAATTTTTTATGCCAGATAACAATGTAACAAGCTTAAAATAACAGAAACAATCAAAGTGCTCTGTAAATATTATGAGTACCAAAAAGATTTGTATTTTGGATGAGACGGTTATGTAGTTCAATAGCTTGGTAAAAATTTACGTGTTGGTGGAATATATAAGGAGTCTGTGGTCATGTACATCCAGATTTGTTTGGCTCTGGGAATTGTTGGAGGTCAATTTTGGCATATATATTTTGTACAATTAATATATAATTATTAAATATTCAGGTAAACATATTAATTTTTTTCGTCACTTTGTGACCTACACATCCTATAGAAAGCTATGCAAATGGTATGTAAAAGTAAATTGAAATAAGCAAACTTTAAACAAAATTCTGTTAATGGACTAAGATTATGAGTATGTTTAAATTAATGAAAGTTGCTATGCACTGGATATAATTTAATGACTTCTGCATATAAACCTTTTTTTTCTTGCTTGAACATTTTTAAGATTAGCAAGAGGCATACCTTAGCCCATAGATGAGAATACTGGGAGAAATTATCCACAACTTCCTGTACGTCTGCTTTAAATGTGCTGATAATGGAGTTCAGCTGAATGACTATCTTCACAACATCTTTATGCTCACTGATGATCTTGTGGAGGGGTTTGATCACCGACGCAGGTTTCATGATCGTACCTTCTTCTGCTTGATCATTGGCAGCAACTTCCATCTCCTGATTAGTAGAATATATATTAAGTTAGACACAACATGAACATTACTACAGCATTTATATAGATTTAGACATTTGCGTATATGACATGTAAATTGTGTATGTGATACTAGTATACGTTATAATAAAAGTACAATGTATTAGTAAGTATCTACAAGTTGCTAGAGTATTTCTTGTATTTAATGTACCTAAATGCTGTGATTATCACACAATGTCAATATGTACATGTATAATGTGCCTTTGGTTGGAACAAAAAAAAACATAAAAATTTCATATTTATTTAACAAACAAAAATTCAATCAGTGAGTCTTTATCAGTTTCTATGTATTAAGAACATCTGATATATAAAAACAATTCCAGACGATTTTATGAAGATGCAATATCAATAAAATTAAAAATAATTTGAAATTGCCTAGTCGATGCAAATTGTTATGAAGTTTTCAAAATGAAAAACTTGAATATATAATGATTTATTATACAGACACGAAATCATTAGCTAATTCTCTAACAAGTAAATGGTAATGAAATTATTAAATTAAAAAAATTCCAGTTTTTTTTTTATAGTCCATGTAATATCACAAACATTTACATTGTCTGGAATATCTGAAACATAAACTGGCATGTTTTGTCATACATGATCATATTTTCAACCCTCATATTCAAACATAGTAATAATGAGCAAGATGAAATATTTAAAAACATTTGATTTCTTCCTTTCCTGTAAAAACAGCTTCAAATAATGTATAAATACTTGTACATGTAGAGAGATTAAAAAAACATTTTGCCAAAGTGGCTGGCTCTGTAAGGAAAAGTAACATAACATAATTTATGTCTTTGTTTTGAGTTACGTACATGTAAGAACAAAACATTAACACATCAAGATGTAAAATTACTTTTAATTTTTTTAATGACAAAAACACTGAAGTAATCTAAAAAAGACGCACACAAATTCCCCAATAAACCAAAGCAAGCATAAGATTTTCAAGCATGCATATGTAACCCTGGTCGATAGGACTTTTGTTTGGTATAATTTCTTTGCATTTTTTTAAATATTGAAAATTTAAAATTGCCAAAAATATGTTTTTTTTTGGGTATTATAAATAACAATATGTTACAGAATTAAATTTATTTACCATCTGACATTTAACTAGCAAGTGTCCAAGATTTTAAACCAGTACTAAACTGTTGTTGTTTTTATTTTAATTTTTGTGATTTTAGGGGGTAAAGGTTCGGTGGGGAAGGGGGGGTTAGGTTTTTCCCCCCACAAGTAACTGCCAAATTCCCCACATGATCTCCACTTATTTTAACCCATAAAAAGTTGAAATAAATACTGCAAAGCCTTATTAATGCAACTATTATAGGGCAATGCTAGCCAGGCTGCACATCCATACGGTCAGAGGAGACATCAATATAACACTACTGGCCAACCAACTTTATAATGTACATTGTGAAACCATAAAATTTATATGGGGTCATTTCAAATAGGAAAATCACTTACTTGACCAAGTCAAGGGTTTATATTATTTTAAAATGTGATATTATTTTTTTCTCAACCAAGGTTACTACATAAGCAATACACAAAATCTCTACATATACATGTATTTAGGATTATATAACTTCAGAATTAACTCCACAACTTTAATTTGACCACAACTTAAAGAGAGAAAGAGATAAGTATAGTAAATTAAAAAAGAAAAGTTATTTTTTTATATACATATAAGCCCAACAACTCCACTGTTACCTTGTTTGCCATAGACATTGCCCTCTGAATATATGTCAAATAAAGCGTAAAGTACCAGTAATTTGATAATCAAAACACTGATTACATACAGTTATTATTGTAGTAAAATATTTGGTGATTATCATAAAATAAACAAAAAGAATAAAATAAGGGTAAAAAAGATTCTTTGAGAAACAATAAATAACAATATCTACAACCCCTAAAGCCTTTCAACTAAGAAGCACTTAAACCATTTTAATATTTAGGATAGTATTTGTTGAATAATGATCTAATGCTATCTGATGTTAAGTTTTAATGACTGTGTTGAAAAGATGGCCTTTTTTCTTTAGAGTACATAATTAATTGAGTTAAAGTTATAATCCTACTTTCTCATTGAATTGTTCTTGCAACACATTTGTTATAATATTGTCTTTATTCTACATTCATTCCACACAGACTGAAAAAAATTTACCACCTGCTGTGTGGTCTGAAAAAAATCAGATGAAAAAAATTCTATTCTCATTTATTGCATTTCAAAAAACATCAATTTAAATTTCATCCAGAAAATTATAGACAAACCTGCATTTTAAAGTTAACAGATAAGTTGTGACTGAATCAAAATATTATGGATAGAATGCTTAACAAAGTAAAGTATTTTGGGTTTTTTTTTTCTCTACATTAGGCCCCTATTATGTTTTTTTTTATACTATTCAGTAGATTTAAACATAGGGTACTTTTCATTCTGTTTAAACATGATGACATGCTAAGATATACATGTGCATAAAGTCATGAAAAGCTGTAACATTTAATTCCGATAAAAAAATGAAAAAATGCTGAAAACATGATGGTAAAGTCTGACATAACTTGTAAATAATAAATGCTGAGTCATCCTTACATTGATGCGGGTTCAAAATTCAAGATTATTTGAAGTAACTTAATCATGATTTATTCTTTTATTTATTTATAGATTCAACAACTTATAGTTTATGTGCATCTTTTTAGCAGCATCAAGGGTTGAACTATATTGCAAAATGCAAAATACTTGGGAATAAAAAGGGGTTATAACTCTAAACATAAAAAGTATTTGGCGTTTTCAAAATAAAACCCAAGACTTACTTTACGCTGATTCCATGGAAAATGATCCTAAATTTTACATTTATTTCATTAAGGTCATTGTTAATCTATTCCATGTATTTTTGTTATTGGAATATCTATAATTTGTCAGTAAAGTTTATGACAGAGACGTATCTATAGAGCTAAAAATATTCATTACTTAATTATAATTGTGCAAAGAGAAGCTATTCACTACTAGAGTTTATATGTATAAGTGTGCATGCAATATCCAGTACTATTTCAAATCCTTTATGCAATGGACTCAAATCAGTAAAATGCAATAACATTGACTTTAGCAAGCTGATGGAACAAAGCAATTACCTGGAACAAAACAAATATTGCTCTAGTTTTAAATTTTCAATCTTATTTTGGTAAATAAAATGATTAATAAATTTTCAAAAGAATCATTGTCACTTAAATATCTTCTACCCTACTTGATTAAAGGTCAAAAATAAGGACATGTTACCTTCTGTTGCTGTCTCTGGTGAATAATCAAGTGCTCCCATTGTGGAATATCCTGGGATGCTTTCAAGATAACTTGAACAGCCTTGTTCAGGGAAGACTGTAAATCATCAAGGCTTGGTTTCATAACTACATTAGGAATTTGTAGCACAATGTCAGCACTGAAGAGGGGAACTTTCTGGTCCTCTTTCATTTCATCCTTAGTGTACTTGTTTGACGTCTGCAGACGACGCTTGATAGCATCAAGAGAAAGACGGGTACCTGTTAATGCAATGAAACAAGGTGAATTACCTAATAACAATAAGAGCAATATAACTTGGGGAACAAGATCAAATTAAACAAAAAAAGGGGGAAAAATCTTCAAATTCCGAATCTTAAATTAATTTTGATAGATGTAAAAAATTGAGCTAACCTTTGACAAGGGCCTCTGTGTTTCTCTGTGTGAAGTAGTTTAACAGAGAATAAAAGCTACATGCGATACATTCCTGGCATCTGCTCTTCTTATTTTTGGTGTCTGGCGTATAACACTGGTACCCTTCTTCTGCTGTCAGATTCTTCTTGTCTTCCTCTGGTAGGCCTGATTGTAACTGCTTTACAAGGTCATAAACAGCAGTCTCCACCAGATGGCTCTGGCTGTAAAAAACACAAATGTAAAAATTCAAAAAAGTTATCAATATATTTTATATAAAGTTAATATGATTTCTTTAAAAATCAAGAGCCATGTCAACATGGCCATCCCCCGCCGAATGTGTTTGCTCATTGGAAGAATGTATATGTAGTAGAGCGGAATAATTCCATTTTAAGAGGTCTTTGGTGAAAACTGATGGCTATAGTGATTACAGATTTGAAACCTATGTGAATACTGATGGCTGAAAATAACAAAGGGCAATTACTGAAAAATAATGCAGGGTAGGTTATCATTCTTGTGTGCTGCATCCCTCCTCAGTAAAATCTATCCACCTATGAAGTTTCAAGTTGATACCTCAAATACTTTTTGAGAAAAAAATTGAATTGAAAAAAAATTAAGTATGAAAAAGAACAAAGGGCAATAACACAACAATTATAAAAGGTAGAGTTATCATTCTTGTGCAGTGCACACCTCCTGAGTGAGATCTATGCACCTATGAAGTTTCATTTTGATATCTCAAAGGCTTTTTGAGTTATGCTCTGGACAAAAATTAATTTTGAAAAATAACAAAGGACAATAACTCAAAAATAATGCAGGGTAGAGTTATCATTCTTAAGCACTGCACTCCTCCTCAATGAGATCCATCCACCTTTGAAGTTTCAAGTTGATACTTTAAATACTTTTTGAGATAAGCTCTGGACAAAATAGCATGAAAAAAAACAAAGGGCAATAACTCAAAAATTGTATAGGGAAGAGTTATCATTCTTGCGCACAACATTCCTCCTCAATAAGATCTATCCACCTATGACATTTCATGTTGATATCTCAAACACTTTTTGAGTTATGCTCCACTCAGGTGAAAAATTAGGTATGAAAAATAACAAAGGGCAATAACTCAAAAATTATGAAAGGTAGAGTTATCATTCTTGTGCACTGCACACCTCCTGAGTGAGATCTATGCACCTATGAAGTTTCATGTTAATATCTCATAGGCTTTTGGAGTTATGCTCTGGACAAAAATCAATTTTGAAAAATAACAAAGGGCAATAACTCAAAAATCATGCACGGTAGAGTTATCATTCTTGTGCACTGCACTCCTCCTCAATGAGGTCTATCCACCTATGAAGTTTCAAGTTGATAACTCAAATACTTTTAGAGATATGCTCCGGACAAAAATGTCGGACGGAAGGACGGACGGACGGAAGGACGGAAGGAGACTATTTCTATATCCTCCTCCGAAATTTTTCGGCGGGGGATAAAAAAGCCTGTCCAAAAATAGTCTCAAAGTCCCATTAGGTATCTAAAAAAATGGCCTCTAAAGTCCAAATGATTATTTTAAAAATGTATTTGTTCAATATTTCACACATATAAAACAATAACACATACTTTGCCAGATATTTGGAAGCATTGGCAACAACATCTGATGTGATTTCCAAGAATTTCTCCATGGTTACTGCCTCATCCTCTGGTAGTTCACAGAGGGCTGTTGCTGACATGTCCTCGAGGACTGCCTCAATACGACACTCCAATATGTCATTCACAGTCTTAGCTAGTTTGTCAAGTTCTCCCATAACCTTGTAGTTCTTTTCAATATCTTTATTATAAAACAGAAAAAGTAATTATATTAGTAAAAGGGACAATTTAGCAAATTGACATCCTATTATAGAGATTCAATCGATAAAAATATGTTGAAACTACTTTGAGCGGTTTGGTCTATTGATGTCACATTTGATATCATATAGCCTGTAAACAGTCTTTGCTATTTAATGCATTATATTGTGAAATAATGCACAATTGCACAGTCTATTTGATAAGTGAGTAGTGTGAATCCTGTTAGAATATAAATTTTACTTTCCCTATTTTTAATTTTACTTAACTATATCTTTTTTTCTCACAATTATATAGCAATACTATCTGCCTAAATTTCAGGAATAAGCTAGCACCTGGTTACAGTATATTGACAGATTTCATATAGGAAATATATCATACCCAGAGCAATATATAACTAATTTAAGGAAGAAATCGATTTTTTTTCCAGAATCTAAGTATGTTAATAAGTTACAGAATACTTACATTCCTGCACATTGAGAGATGTCCAGGTAAGGGCCACAACTCCTGGCTGAAGTTCTTCCTCTACCTTGTCCTTGTATGGTTTCATCAGTGGCATCAAAATTGGTGAAATGTGGGACAGGATGTTCCTGTACTCTTGTAACATCTCAGTAAGGCTAAAATAATACATTTAACACTGATTTTATAACATTAAACACTGATTCTATAACATTAAACACGGATTTTATAACATTAAACACTGATTCTATAAAATTAAACAAGGATTTTATAACTCAACACAAATATGTGTCAGTTTCATATTCAGTCTTACATTTTTTGAAAACTTATTAAACATTTTTGTAAAATACGACTTACTAATGTCAATCAATTGCTTTTCAATCTGAATTTTACCCATATATCTAAAAAGTAATAGCAAAACATCTTTGTTCTGGTACTTCAATGACTTGGAAATTAAATTTATGACTTACTCAACATTTGCAGTCTTGATTTCCTCTTCTTTAGTCTGTAAAGCTTTCACTGTCTCTGGGACCTCTAGGTTGAGGGCTTGCAAACACTTGGCTTCCTGGATCAATTCAACTACCTGTATGTCAAAGTTCACATACAGCTCACCAGTCTCTGGGTGCCTCACTAACAGAGAGGCATTCAATCCCGATTTGGCTGCTTCAATGGCCCGAATCCATCCACGATGGTACAACATCTGAAAAACAACCACAGCAAACACTGAATAAAAAACAACAAAAAAAAACAGCTCTCTGAATATAGTAATAAAGGTTCATAAGAATCAGAACAGAAAACATTCAAAAACAAAACTGAGTACATGTGCTGAATAAAGGCATACAATGTGTATATCAGAATATGAACCCACAAGTTTTAACCTTTTTATTTGTATGATCATAAGTACAGTCTGTTAAAAACTTGTTTATTTCAACAATGATATGATTGAATCAAAGTAAGAAATATTAGCAAACCTCGTATTCCATGAGTACTCCAGCCATCTTGTTGTAATTTCTCACAATCTTCTTGGCCTCTGAATTCTTCAGGATTTCTGGTTTTGACTTGAATGCCCTCATTGGCATCTCTATTTTCCTGTACAGCTGACGAGCCCAGGCAATACGACCTGCCACTGGTGGCAAGTTTCTGGGAATCATGGGTTCTTGCTTGAATTTCTGGTACAGCTTTCGAATGTTTTCTAGATCTTTTCCGTATGCAGTCAACACTTTCATGTATTTCTCATTGATGTCCAAGTTGGAGCCAGTGATTGCCTCAAACTTTCCAAGGAGCTCAATGGCTTTCTCAGTCTAATTACAAGAAATGGAATATGCAAAATTATTTATAATAATTATAAACAGGACCTCTGTAGTCTATACAAAATCTATTTTTTTCAGAATGACATTTTCAAGACATATCTTAGAAATTTATAAAGCACTAGCAAATCATGACATTTTCTACATAACCCTTTTTTTTAAGAGCTTTGAACAAATTATCCCTTAACAGTTGTTCAACTCAAGACTTACATGTGTAAGTCCTAAGATGATGATAGTTATTAAAGAGCATTATTAAATGGTTTTCATGCTAATAACACTATAATGACACAATATCATTTTAATAACACCATAGCAACATTGAGTTTTTGTATACTTACAGTGAGTGGTTTCTGGAACCAGGTATCCATGAAGTTCTGAAGCATCCCACGCAGGTTCTCAATCTGGTTACGGAACTCCAGATAATCATTGTCAAACTGTAAAACAATTATTTGGTAAAGTATATCCTCAGCTACTATATATAAATATTGTGCACTATGACCAAAGTATGGAAAGGAAATATTCTAGTAAGGATGGTAGCTTCAAAATAAACCATGAAAACTTGACATTTTCAAGATTAAAACCTAAAAATTACAATCAATGCCATTGCAGTTTTCTGACAAATATGCATCTTCATTGAAAATATCCATGACATATTTCATGTGTGAAACAGTTTACACTTAATATCTTTACAATAGTCTAACCACAGTACCTCAGCTTTCCTGTGATCCAAGATGTCATAATTCTTTTTCTTGGCCGCGTCACAGATGGTCTTGAACTTGACGGTAATGATGTCAATTCCCTCAATCTTCACATCACCGAGTCCGGAGAACATCTCCATGGTGTTGATAACGTCAGCAATACGTTCTAGACGCTTGCAGAATGTGTCAAACTTGCCAAAAATGTAGTTCTCACTAAAAACAGACACCAATTGGTTGATTTCATTACAATAAATTAATTTCCATAAATTTAAAAAAAATAATTTTTAATTTGATTTATGGACCCTGAAGAAGGCTGTCTAGCTGAAACTTTGGTACATATTCAAGGGAATTTTAAAAATTTGCAGTTGACTACCTATTTTTTCACTATTAATGTATTTATGTTTTTCTTTCAGTAATAATTGTACATTTTACCAGCTGCATACAAAGTCATTATAACAGCAATCACTCAGACAAAAAATATTAAAATAAAATCACCTGAATTCAAACTGCTTCTCATTTGGATTCTCCTTCAGACGTTCCTTTGTTCTCTGGAACTGTTTCTGGTACTCTTCATTCAGTTGAGTGCACTCATTCAACCTCTTCAGAACAACTTCCCTACAAGTATACATGGTTGCATTATATAATATGATCTCATGGTTAATTTTCAACAATTTTTAGCAAAGGACGCAAGCACATATTTTTAAGATAACATAGTTATAAGAGTTACTGACTTAAAAAAACTGATTATTCCCATATTTATCTTGAAATTAATACACTACAAGACAGTTTAAAAAGTTTTCAAACTAAAATTTATCCTCATATTTCATAAAAGTCAATCTTTTCTGAAGAAGACTAAATGTCAAAAGCTTAAGAAAAGCGTTTGTTTTCATTGAAATGATTACATACCTCATATTTCTTGAGATTATTTAACATTTATTTACACTGCAAAATATACAGTGAATGTGATGGACATGTGCTAGCGTTAATCTGACTTTGGTTATTGTTTATTTGAAAAAAACACCTTTACCTTTTATGATCCCAGATTTTGGAGACATCATGCATGATGTAATGTTTACATGTTGTGATCATCTGATTGGTGACCTTGACAAAGAGAGAGGTCATACGCTCTGATGTGTTGTAATACTGGGAAATACTGTAGATCATCCTGATGGCATTCATCAAGCTGGGTATATGCTCAATCATGGTGGCCTACAATCATAATGCAAGAATGTTTATACATGCAAAACCAGGTAAAGGAAAATCATTCAGCTACTGAGTCAACTTTTTGCTTCAAACAAGAACAAAATAAAAACTTAAATCTTATGAAAACATATCATTTTCCTTTCTTATAGACCATACTTATTGCTTCGAATATTGGTGTTTGTTGTAATAATTAAGGATTCTTTTAGGTTTTTGAACAATCATAACCTTAATAGGAAATACAGACACAGCAAAATTGTCATTTACAACAAAATAACGAAATTTGTCCATTGTCAAATTAGATACAATCAACAAGTTCAACTTAATAAAAAAAATCATAAATTATTAGAATAAATCACAGTACAAAATAGTTCAAAATGTAGACTTACTGGTGTACACTTGACAAGAGGTCCGAAGAACTTGTCTAATGTGTACAGATACTTCACGTTATCCTTAGCTTCGTTAGCATAGTCAGTAATGTACCCATCCTGGAAAATCAAACCAAATCAAGCTTAGTAATATCTCTTAAGAACCAACACAACAAATGGTAAATAAACAGTACAATTATCAACATCATATTATCCTAAAATCAAATATTAATAGAATAATTCTTAACTTGCAAAAGAAAAAAATCTGATTATTGCCATTCATAATTCTTTAAGCTCTTCAAAAATACAATTTAAAGAAATTACCAGTTCCTTCCACCTTCTGAGAGACTTGGACTTGGCAACCTGCAGGACACCTAGAACTGCCTTCACACGCTGGCTTTTCATCTGCTCCAACAAACTAAAATATAAACATTGGAACATTAAAAACAGAAGGACTAACAATTTCCCCTTCCTTTAACAAACAGCATATTTTCTGATTCTTATGTTTGTTTACATTAGATATAAGTTCAAAGGTTCATTACTATCTGGCTATTTTACAGATCACAATAATATCAAATTGCCATGTAGATATCATACTTGTTGAACTTGGCCATTCGTGACTTCCAGTAGGAGAGTTCAGCAGTTGGTCCGATGTCGTCTGCTTCACGTCTCATCTGCTCACTCTCGGCTAGAACTTGCTCAATCTGTTTCGACCACTGAGCACACAATCCCTCTAGCTTCTCCAGGTACTCCGTGTTACCAGCTGTAATGACAAAAACAAGATTACACACAAATCTGTAGATGTTTTAAGATAAAAAGAAAAAGGCAAACCATTTGAAATTATAATAAAGAGTAATATAGGCTCATAATAATGTGACTTATTTGATTAAAGGAATGGGATGTGAAGAAAATTAATGCTTCATAGTATCTTTCATCACGTAAGTTATTTCTCTTTCTTTATGAACCAATGTAAACATGCTTTGTTCATCACTTGAGCTTTAATGGTAGATTTTTTCTCAAGAAATTTATAATGTATAATGCTTGCTTAGTTGTTAACTTTTTATTAGGATCTAAACAACTCAGTTTTGGTAAACATATTGCATATACCAAAACATTTCATTCCAAACTTCATCTAAATCATATGATCAATATAGGTACATGTACCTACCTATAGACTGATAATCTGCCGGCGTTTCAATATTGTCGATAATTGGTCCGATACCATTCTCCTCAAGGGTTATCTGCCCCTCCATATTTGACAGAGCTGTCGTAAGATTAGTGATGAATTTCTCGAGCTGCTCCAAGAAATCTTCTATCTGGGCATTGTTACCATTACCATTGTCAATATCACCCCATTGCTGAATACATAAAGTATTATACATTATATTGTCTTCAATACATTTCAAGTCAAATTTCCTTCATCGAAATTTATGAAGAGTAAAGAGTAAATTAATGTTCATGTATAACAAAAACTGTTAGCTGAACTTTTACATTGTCAAACTACCCTTTAACCTGACTAATCACAGCAATAATTGTAATATTTATATCTAAATGATAAACATACCTCAAGGCATCTGAGTGAGGGAAGCACAATATTGGACAGATGTCTTTCAAGTCCAGCAAGGATCTTTCCATTAGAGCAATCCATCAAACCAAAGTTTACCTCATTGGCAATGTTGTTTACAGCTATCGCCTTGTTTGTTATGGTACGCAGAAAGTACAGACAAACTCCATTCAAACCCTGTCAAAGAAATATACATATTCATTACAAACACATGTATTGTTTTTCGATTTTTGTTTACAACCCAATTTTTTAATTCAACTTGGGGTTATTTGGACAGAAAAGGAATAGCCAGGATTATGATTCTTAGGTATTGTTAATGATAACAGAGTCTGAGCATTCTAAAACAGTTTGACTAGCTAGCTACCTTATAACAGTAAAAATGTGTCTATGATCTAAAAGTAAAATAAAGACCATTTGTCACAGAATTATATTTAAAACTTAAATCTTAATGGTTTAAGAAAATAATTTAAGTGCATATTTTGATAAAAAAAACTTTCAAGTAAGAAATTGTCTTCTTTTATCATGTAAGATTAGACAGTTTATATACTTGAACCTCCCAAGTTGATTAGACTAAACTGCAGTACAATGCCAGGCCATACTGCACATCCATGCAGTCCAACCAGCATCTATACTGTTGGCTAACTTACCATCTTCAAACTTTCATGTAAATATCCCAAAAATAAATAAAGGACAGTTTCAACAAGAGCTGTCGGTAGGACAGCAACGCTCAACTATTCTTAGTGCTTGATAGTAAAAAAAGCCTTAATTATAAGGTCAAATTTTCTAAGTAAAGAAAAAGGCAAAATTTGTCTTTAAATCCATATTACAGTTATAAGCCTTGGAGAGAGTCTTACTATGCTCTCAAAGAAAAGTATAAAATTTCAACATGTTTCAAAGCCTTATGTCAATGAATTTTAAAATATTTGAGGTATTATAAAAACTTTAACGTAAATTCTTAGTCGAAAAAGGGGCATAATTCAGTCAAAATGCTTGATAGAGTTACCTCCTTCTGTCCACATGTTGGGGTCATGATGATGAATAAGTGTGCAAAGTTTCAAAGCCATATGTCAATGGACTTTGAAAATATTTGAGGTATAACAAAAACTTTAACGTAAATTCTAAGTTGTTAAAAGGGGCATAATTCTGTCAAAATGCTTTAAAGAGTTACCTCCTACTGTCTACAGGTTGAGGTCATGATGGTGAACAAGTGTGCAAAGTTTCAAAGCCATATGTCAATGGACTTTGAAAATATTTGAGGTATTACAAAAACTTTAACATAAATTCTAAGTCAAAAAAGGGGCATAATTCTGTCAAAATGCTTGATAGAGTTACCTCCTCCTGTCTACAGGTTGGGGTAATAATGATGAACAAGTGTGCAAAGTTTCAAAGCCATATGGACTTTGAAAATATTAAAACTATTACAAAAACTTTAACATAAGTGGTTACGCCGACGCAGACGCCGACACTCGGGTGACTACAATAGCTCTACTTATTCTTATCGAATAGTCGAGCTAAAAATGGAAGCTGGACAAATCTATATAAGAAACTTGGCATGGTATTAGTTTAAAAGGAGATGAATTAATTTGTGGATTAGTTTAATTCATTAGAAACTAAAACAATTTCAAGCCAGCTATACCCGGTATATATAGTGTAACCTTTATGTTATAGCAAACAATTCTGTTGCAGCCTTATACAATAATCATGATTTTATGGCCTTTGAAGTAATACAAAAACTAACAAAGTGGTCATCATTTGTTATAACTAAAACTTTAAAAGCTGAACATCGGGTATGTAAACAAATCTCAGCATTTTACAGAGGCACCTGTATCATAAAACATACAAAATCCACTCAGCCACTGAATTACATATTGATTTCCTATAACATCAATCACTTCAGAAATGTTAAGATCACTTAATAGTTTCCCTGTTATTATACTAGAACAATTTGTTCTCAATTATAGTTCATGTAAAGAACAGTTTACAAACGTTCAATAAAAAGAAACAGGCCAATAACTAGGAGAAAGATTTCAGGCTGGTTACTTTATTAATATCATCAAAGAGTTTTTGTGTTCCTTTTACAATTTTTAAGTTTCTACCTGTATCCACTTTACTGTATTATATAAACATAATCATTTACAAGTCATTTTTTTTTAAGTTAATTTTCAGGTGTGTATTGCAACACTTTTGTGAACATTTTATTCTTGAAATATGATCCTGTCACTTAAAAATATTTATTATTATATCATTTTTGATTAGCAAGAGGCAAAAAATGTCCAACAATAACTGGTACCCTGCAGTGTTTGTTCAATAAAGTTTTCCTACTTCAAATTCTGAAACAGTCTTTTTAGTTTTAAGGAGTTCAATATGAAACTATTAAAATTGATCAGCTATATAAAATTGGCAGTATAGAGCTAGCAATGTTCAAGCTTGCCTGAATTAACAACTGGAAGCATAGATCTGTTATTACCACACCTAGCACTTATAGGGTTTAATACATTGTTTACAAATTTCTAATACTGTATAACAAATAAATATGACTGTCATAAACTTTTCAATTAAGATAACCTTTCAGAATGTGGCAGTTTACAGTTACAGTAATGTTATGTATAGCTGTGAAAAATAAGCTATAAATGGTATTGTATTGTATTTAACCCAAACTTTACCACATGTTACATCATGCACAGACTGCTTTTATAACAGATAGCATTAAAATTTCATGCCCTGAATTCTTGGGACACATTCTAAACTATTAAATTTCAAATTCAATTTGAAGAACAGTAAAGAGCCATAGTATAGCTGTTAAAGAATCTTTTCAAACCACCCAAGGTAAAATAAACTATTAAATTTTATGTTAATGTCCGTCAACATCTGTAAAATAAGCCAGTTAACGCCTTTTACAAATAATAAAAAAATCCTTAAATGAAGGAAACGTTTCCTACACATACAGAATTATTTCATGAATGAATATTTAGCAAGCCTTAAATACCAGCTTGCAGTTACTAAGCAAAGTTACTCAAAAGAAATCTCAGACCCAATTCATTTGTTCAATAATTTGTTAAAAAAACACTAAACATTGATATTTTCTTCAATTATTTGTGTAAAAAATCTCCCTATTCACTGCATAAGAAGCCTAATATATTTTCACCACCAACAAAAAAAAATGATGGTCTTTTTAACAGGAGCTGGATTTTTTTCTTTTTTTTATTCTAGTGAAAAAGAGTGGTCATATTTCAATCTGTCTTTTCTATCTTCTTAATATCAATGTACAGTAAAGGGAAATAGAACACTCTGTCATCAAATGACATGAAATCAATTTAATAAGCTATTTAGCAATATACCCTGGCATTCCATTGAAGGTAAGAAATCAATGACAATTTTGCCCAACAGTAACTATGTTCCTCACTAATTGACAATCAAATTGGTTGTAAGCAAACCTTAATTGAATATTGACTTCAATTGAATTACCACTGGAAATTTAACCTGTTCAGTATAAATAACCAAAACAATATAGAAAATATCAAAACTTTACTAAATGATTTTTTTCCTGGTTATAATGTAACAACAAATCAGTGCCCAAAATACAGAAATTTCCCACAAATCAAATTACATCAAATATTTTAAAATCATGCAGAGTTGAGCATTTTATAAGAACTAAAGTCTGCAATGATATACCATTCAGAGGATGGTTTCAATATTAAGAAAAACATTTTGTACAGTATCATAAACAGAAATTAACTGGTTTCAGAGACAATAACAATGTTGAACTTTTTGAAATAGGGGCATTGACCAACTATTTAGATTTTTAACATGAATCAATCTGTACCACTGACATCTAAACAGATTTGCATGGTTTGAAGCAAATGTAAAAGACTATATAAAAATATTATATGACTAAAAGTAAAATATAAAATGTTGGCTTGATACTGGTCTATCTGAAAAATCATTATCTATTGATCTAGTTGTTCTAAAAAAGTTTGAATCCAATGTAAACAGCCAAAATACAGAACAGTATATGTTTAGATAAAATATGTATCTTCATAACTTAATGCATTGTTTTGCTGAACAATGCCACTGATAAACCTCTACAATAAATGGCCTAAGAAAAACAACAGATTTCAATGAGGCAGGTAATTTATAATCAATTAAGCAATAAATAATGCAAACATGAAAGTTCTTGTATTTAAAGAGTCTGTTTAATTGGTTGTGATTCTATTTTATGTGAAATCAATGAGAAATAGAATGCTATGATTAAAGCGAATCAACGATGGTGAGAAATCAGTACCTTCCTGCGGAAACACCTAGATGAAGTTTCTTCAATATCTGTTATAGGTAATTATCATACAATTTCTAGCGCATATATTTCTCAGACTTTGTTTCAAACAATGCCAATTAATCAAACTATAAAACTATGTGCTTGCGTGGCCTTTTCTTGCACTATTTTCTCTATTTTAAAGCTTTTATTTAAAAAAAAATGATTTTTTTTTAAAAATTGTCAAAAAACTTTCTTTAATTTACTGTTGAAAAACAAGGACCAAAAATTATTAATTATTTGGCATTAAACTTATCTATGTAGTATCATTCTACTAAATTCCTGCCAAGTTTCACAAGCATAAAAATCTTAAGACAAAAACAGAACACAACACATTTTCAAAAGTTAGGACAATCCCACTAAAGAGACATCCAGAATACCTTTCCTCACGCTACATTTTTAGACCACAGTGAAAGTATAACTAACCTCCGTATCTCCAGTTGTCAGGAACAATTTCTTTGTTGGTGCTGCAGTACTACCTGCCTTCTATAATGATACATATAAAAAATATAATAGTATCATATTTTTACTTTAATAATCAACAAAAATTTTGTTCATATTTTACAAAGATTTCAAGGTTCCCAATGTAGCAAAAAAAATATCTACATTATTATAACTTGTTTGCCATAAAGCAATTAACTTTACAAGTGAAAAGTAATCGCAAGTCCACTTCTCTGATTACTTCATATTAACCTATAACCATCATTATATTCATCTTAACAAGTATATGAATTTAAGATTATTCAATTAATCTAGTATATGAATGTAAGATTATTCATTTCAACTGGTATATGAATATAAGATTATTCATTTTGACTGGTATATGAATATAAGATTATTCATTTTAACTACCATATTGATGTAAATTAATTCATATAATATATTTTTTTAAATAAAACTTTACCTGTACATCCTGGTAAAAGAACATAAGTTTTCTAGCTCCATCAGCAGCAAAGAATGGCTCAAACAGATCAAACTGAAATTGACAAACATACAATTTTGTTACTTTACATGTATCTAGACTATTAACAGCAAACTCTTATAAGGACCAGGCTTCAGGGAAGCCTCAGCTATGTGGTAAAGGTATCTGCTCCTTAGTTTGGTTTATACAGAATTCATTTTAATTTGTGTTGTGCCGAAAGTGATTTAACTCGTAGAAAGCTCTCAAATTCATACCTGGAAGTCAATAAGTTAAAAAGCTCCTTTCTCAATGAAACAACTGAGCTTGCCCCTGCTTGGATTTTAACCCAGTCAACCTCTACATGCAGGGATATCTAAGGGTTCACGTCCTACTGAATAACAATCATGTTTCCTCATATGACATCTGTTATATTCAGTTTTAGGAAGCAGACCTGATAGTGGTTTAATAAGATAAAGTTTTCTTCACTATTAGGCTTAAATAAATAAAGTTTTAACTATAGATCAGGTTTTAAGTAAATTAGCACAGTGGTCTTTATCCACAGGGGGTATCTCTAAACAGGTCAGTTTTCACTGTCTTAACTAATAATGAAACAGTTGCATTTTGGTTGGCTAATAAATTTAAGAGGTTATTTTATTTTATTTTGTATTTTTGTAATACCTTTATAATGTTTTTTTCTGAAAATTACCGTCCGAAATATTTTAATAAAAAAGGCCTGGGTTTATTCTGAAGGCTTTTCTTTCAAGCTTTCTTTGACATCGAAGCTTATACATGTAATGTACAAGGTTATCATTTAATGCCTAGATTCACAAATCTTTCTTTAAACTTTCAAGTTTATCTAAAATTGACACAATGTATTTAAAACAAGCCCTGGTTTAATACATGGAAACAATTCTTGTACACTTGAAAGTGTATTGTAAGATTTCAAATACCAGTAAAACTGCACCTTGGAAACTATAAACTTCAACTGGACACAATTCAGTCTAAATAAATTATTGACACAGTGTCATAGTGAAGTGGTTTAATAATTAAACCACCCCTGTGTGTGCTGTTCCTTTCATACAGTAATCATGGACTGGTGTTGAATTACAAAATGTAGTTTACTTTATCTAGTACAACTAAACCAATATGTAAATTCCATTCATTAAACATTTCAATAAAAAAACCTACCTCAAATGTAACTAAATTATACAGGTATTCATGAAGTCAAACCTTATACTTTTACAACTTTCAACATATATAAAATCACTCACCTTGTAACAATAAAATTATAATACCAGAACTAAAGTAAAATTATTATAACAGTACTAAAGTAAAATTATTATACCAATACTAAAGTAAAATTATAATACCAGTACTAAAGTAAAATCAGATGTACATGTACCCGTCCTAAGGTTAAATTAGTATACCAGTACTAAAGTAAAATTATTACATTGTATACCAATTCTAAATTATTATACCAGTTCTAATGAAAAAATTAAAATACCAGTACTTAAGTAAAATTATTACTAAAGTTAAGCTTAAGAATAACAGAAATAATACAATTTTAACAATACTACTACAATAATTAGGAATAAAACAGTTTGAAATACAGCATTAACCAACCTTTTCATCAGAGAGTATATGGTCCTCTACTTGACTGTCATCTAGACCAAGAGCATCACCAATCTGAAAATCATATACAAAACGTACAGTAATTTTGGTAATATTATAAGTCTTATAATTATAATTTTTATGTTATTTTTCTTGTCTTTTTTTTTTTAAACACATTCAATTGCAAACGGTGATAATATTGGGCATGTATGGGCTTAGTGTAGGTCGGTCTGTGCAGACTTATAATATTAGCAAGATACTGACAGCCACATGATTTTGTATTTTGATACTGAAATAGGGAAGATTTAATTTCTAAATGACTGTTACAAATTCAAAGTAGAGCAAAACCATTGAAAAACTCCGAAGTTCATAAAAATAATACAGACTTATTTCAAGACACTAATGGATATCAAATCATATTCACAGAACTCTTTAACTATTGGCCTGCTGATGTAAACAGATTCTTAAGAAAATTCTTATGCGACCAGTGCAGACCACTGAGATCCATGCCATCTGATCATAGTCTGCACTGTTTGCTGTTCAGCCTGTCTATTATTTGAAATTACCCTTAAATGATGAATGGTTTAGTCCAGATTGAAATACTGACAAAATAGAGAAAACTAGAACTATCACTAAATGTGATTAATACCCCCACAAGACTGCTTCGGAAATGAGGATGTTACTAGTAACAGAATACCTTGTAAAAGAATTGAAATATAGAGTTATGGTTGTGGGCAATTAAAGATAGTTGTGGTTCTTGTATATTGCATTTCCTTTCAATGTGGTTGGCCATTGATGAAGTTTTATTTAATTACTCTGTAATAAGTCCAGAAAGACAAAGAAAAGGAACAAAGGGCAATAACTCTATAAATACTGAAGATGGAGTTATAGTTCTTGTGCACTGCACTTCCTCTTTTTGTGCTTGACCATTGTAAGAAGTTGTTTTGAATTTCAACCAGTACGTTTTAAGTTATGCTCCAGACAAGGAAAAGTATCAAAGGGCAGTAACTCTGTATTTTGTCAAAATGGAGTTATGGCTCTTATGCACTGCACTTCCTTTTAATGTCCTTGACAACTGTATGAAGTTGTATTGAATTCCAAACAGTAGTTTTCAAGTTATGCTCTGGACAAGGAAAAGTAACAAAGGGCAATAACTCTGTAATTTGTCAAGATGGAGTTATGGTTCTTGTGCACTGCACTTCCTCTCAATGTGCTTGACCATTGTATGAAGTTATATTGAATTCCAACCATTAGTCTTCAAGTTATACTACGGACAAAAGAAAGCAATGGAAAAGTAACAAAGGGCAATAACTCTGTAATTACTTTAGATAGAGTTATGGTTCTTGTGCACTGCACTTCCCCTTACTGTGTTTGACAATTGTATGAAGTTGTTTTGAATTCCAACCAGTAATTTTCAAGTTATGCCCCGGACAAGGAAAAGTAACAAAGGGCAATAACTCTGTAATTAGTCAAGATAGAGTTATGGTTCTTGTGCACTGCACTTCCTCTCAATGTGCTTGACCATTGTATGTAGTTATATTGAATTCCAACCATTAGTCTTCAAGTTATGGTCCGGACAAAAGAAAGCAATGGAAAAGTAACAAAGGGCAATAACTCTGTAATTACTTTAGATAGAGTTATGGTTCTTGTGCACTGCACTTCCCCTTATTGTGTTTGACAATTGTATGAAGTTGTTTTGAATTCCAACCAGTAGTGTTCAAGTTATGCCCCGGACAAGGAAAAGTAACAAAGGGCAATAACTCTGTAATTAGTCAAGATAGAGTTATGGTTCTTGTGCACTGCACTTCCTCTCAATGTGCTTGACCATTGTATGTAGTTATATTGAATTCCAACCATTAGTCTTCAAGTTATGATCCGGACAAAAGAAAGCAATGGAAAAGTAACAAAGGGCAATAACTCTGTAATTACTTTAGATAGAGTTATGGTTCTTGTGCACTGCACTTCCCCTTATTGTGTTTGACAATTGTATGAAGTTGTTTTGAATTCCAACCAGTAGTTTTCAAGTTATGCCCCGGACAAGGAAAAGTAACAAAGGGCAATAACTCTGTAATTAGTCAAGATAGAGTTATGGTTCTTGTGCACTGCACTTCCTCTCAATGTGCTTGACCATTGTATGTAGTTATATTGAATTCCAACCATTAGTCTTCAAGTTATGGTCCGGACAAGGAAAATGCAACGGACGTCTGGACCGACCGACCGACCGCCCGACCGACCACCGGGTGACTCCTATATACCCCCCCAAACTTCGTTTTTGGGGGTATAATAAGAATCCCTAAAGAAAGTCTATTTCAGATATTTAGCACAGTAAAGGTTAAAGAATGTTGAATAAACATGTACACAGTTTTTCATTTAGGGAAAAAAATCTTTACATGAAAGGTTGCCACCTTCTTACACAATAAGTTTGCCATCAATTTCATTTCATAAAGACTTGTAAGAGAGAGTAAAAGTTGAATGTCAACTGTTTATCTCTCAGGGGAAATTTGTACATGCAAATAAATAATCTGTGTAGTTGAGGTGTTTTTTTTTAATATTAAACCAAATTCAAATGATTTTTAGATAAGAATTATCAATATTTATGTTGTTTACCTTAGATTTGATCAAAGGTGATACAAATATTCATTAAAGTTGAATATCTGTTTATTTATATTGGAGAAAATCTTATTACATGATCCATTCATCAAATTTCATACTGAACAATGAAAAGCTGTGCATTTAGTGACATGAAATATTTGTAAAAGCTTTTACAGTGTTTATTCTCTGTCAATATATCTGGCAATCAGTGGAACAAAACAGAATAGAATATATCTCAAATAAAGTAACATGTCTATGTCCCCACCAGGTCTGGCAACTTTTCAACTTTACTGGTGGAGGTAGACATCATGTTTGCCTCTGAGCATTATTTTAGGCAACTTAGTACATTAGAACCATCTAGAAGGAAGTGAGGATTTATATAATATTTCAGGATAATGACAAATGTGATAGATAGAAGTAAAGTACTAATACAATTAAGATTACTTAAGTTAAGGAGCAACTTACCTGTTTAAAGATATGCTTGTGCCTGGCATCAACCTGAAAATGAAAAATAAGAAGACAATGTTGAAATAAATGTTAAATCAAACTTTCAGTATTATATATTTTAGTTAGTGATCAAATTTGAAAAATATAATGCAAGTAGTTTGAACATGAATTTGATTTTAGATTGAATTTAGCTTGGAATGGCTAACATTCACAAAATTTATAAAATTCTAAAATTACATTTTGCTTCAATTTCATACCATTTGGAACTTCTTAGGGGCAACGACCAGACCTATTATTTAATACATTTATTTTGAAACCATAACAAATTGGTGTTTAGTACATAAATAAATATATAACTATAGGTAGAAAGGTAAAAGATGGCCTCTAATTCTAACATGAAATATTAGATTGTTTCTAAGAACATCAAATGTTTAATCATTTGTATATGGTATTTAACATTATCTGAATACCAAATTTTTATACCATTGATTTAACAATGTCTCATTATAATAAAAGTGATAATCTTATAATATAACAGGGCATATCTTATGCTAGTAAAGATTTTCTACTTGAAAATTTGTCCTTTAATTTCTGTCCTTAAAAAGACCTCTAATTAATTGTCCTGATTTCAAAAAACTACCCCAGACATTACCATACATAGTATATAAATGCAATATAAATACCCACTTATAGAAATGAAATGTAAAACCTGCTATAATAAAATATGGTAAATCGTATATGATGAATGGTTTAATCACGTTCATTGTGTTTTTCGTCAATAACCGATCGGTATCGGCACACCGTCCAATAACACAATACAACAGTAGTCAAATTTATCAAACCTAGGCTTACCTTATCTGTGAAACATTACAAAAAGTAAATATTTTATTATCTGAATTTTGACATTATCGCTACAATTATTTGTTTTATGTGCTCAAATAAAATCATTCAAACATGTTCAAAAAATACCTAGGGGACCAGTTATTTGTCTTGTTAAAACATTGAACATTTTATTGCTGTTTTCAAGTATTAAAAAGTGCACTCAAAAAAAAAATTCAAATTTAGAATAAATAAAAAAATACAAGTGTCAAATTTGTGAAATCAGTGGTTCACTAAGAAAATGAACTGAATGGAAAGGTCAATATATCAATTTTAAATAATTAGACAGGCGTTCTTAATGGTACAAATATAAACCACTAGGTTAACAAACAGTACAATGCCCATGACATAACATATTTAACATTTCAGTCACACGAAAAAAAAATAATCCAAAACATAATCTACTAGGGGGAAAAATATTTCACAATCATTTGAAGGTGACTTTAAAATCTTTTTTGGCAAGACGAAAATTAATCATTCATTCAATCAATTAAAGTTTTTTTTTAGCTATTTTTGTTTCATGACTATCTACATTACAAGTATTGTATGGATTACAATAAACTGTTTATAGCGTGACTAATTAATCAGCTGTTTTCAATCTTACCATAGATCATATAATGGCCGTTTTATCGATTAATGCTTCTGTCTAACGGAAGATTATACCTTCAAAATAATATTTTAAATCCCTCCTATCCATACAAGATTTAATCCCCTATACTCGCAGTTTAATAGCTGCTTAAACAAAAGCCTTTTTCTGTGCAGACAGAGTGGTCTTTTCAAAATTGTGCTAAACAAAATTTCAAACAAATTTTTTTTTGAAACGATTAATAAGTTGAGAATACAAGCTTATGACGTGGGGTGGTGGGGTGATTGTATTACACAACATGCCATTCAAAATTTTAAGTAGATTTATTATACAAATATTGCACATATACAAAGTAGAAATTCTTTAAATCATCTAAAGATTATAATATATTGTTTATCTGTATACTTATGAAAAAGGGGGTTTATACATAAAGACTGCCTTATAATACACACACTACCTGTTTGACATATTATCTATCTAACACTATTTTAAGACAATTGTCGGGGAGGGGTTATTATATACATATATGTTCAAAATTTCTGAAAATAGTCTTTTTGTAATTGAACAGTTGTTAATCAATTATTTAATCAAATGCACAGAAAGTAAAAAACTTTTACAAATTACTAATAATATAAAATATTTTAAGAAGGTATCTTTATTAAGCATTCCAGTTTTTTTTTATGTGAGTTACATTATATATTATACTTGGACAAATTTTGTGCGACTATTTACATAATGTTGGTGTGGATTTTTTTAAGTTACCTGCTTAAAATCAGGAATATGTATATACAGAAATACATAAGACAAATTCAAATTGAATTCAAGGGAGTGGTAAATGTTATATTAACAACTTGTTACTATGTGGTGAAATATTAAAGGCGTTATGTATTATTAAAGCAGTAGGGGGAATTTTCCCTGACAGCCTGCCTCAACGTTATAATGAATTAATGCTAATCTTCAGCAGACTAAAGTTCTACTGGCCTTTATTCTTAAAATCATTTGTCTTTCAACATGTTACCCAATCAATATAGATCTGCTGGCACTAGATTAGAAAAAGACTTATCAAATTGAAATCCCCTCGTCGATAATCAATATATATACAACAAAAAACCTACTCTGTACTAATTGTTCGTCTATTGAAACGTGGTAAGATTCAATGCCTGGTACTTAACATTTAAGATTTCAAGGGTAAATTCTCGTTTGATAAGCAATTACGCAGTTGAGTACTGAAATTAATAATGAAACTATTCTGATTATCTTATATGAATAGAAGCTTTTAAAATCGTCTTTAAAAAGGAAATTAGTACTGGGCTATATTTTACCAAATGTTGGCCTATATTTTTATAAAATTATTCATAAGGGCCATTGTGTCACACAATACTAAATATACTCCCACCTTTAAAACAAATACGTTTGCAATTAACTAAAAATCTATCAGGCAATTAAGTGCAAAAAAACTGTAACTAGTCGTTAGAAATTTGGCAAGTTAACTTATGCTATTTTCATTACACATTTATTATGCAACTCTTTACATTTTAAAGATAACATTAATATAAAACAATTTGTCAAACATTAAACATACATCGTTTTTCAAGGATAATATCATTAAAGATATGCAGAAACCTAAATTTTATGCTTTATGCCATTTGAGTGCAAAAATATTAAAGTTCAAACTTCACAATAATCATTAACTACCCAGCGCTTGCAGTTTTGAAAAACTTGTTAACAATCCACTCAGTTTTCAAGACTTATTATTGAAACATTTTTATTAAAGCCAGTCAAAAAGTTTTTTTTTTTCACCACACCTTATCATTAATATCACACAGTTTAAAGATCTACAAATCTACAGGTTCTTAGAATACACACTTTTTTTAAGAAACCTATTTTAGGTATTGTATCATTCTGGTGTTTTATATAAAATATCACAATAACTAAATCTTTACAGGTCACAGACCACTATGGATTTTTTATAACAGAACAGCTAATGTTAGTACACACTATCAAGTAAATACAAAACTCAAATTTGACAAAAAGAAGCATTATTAATTAATAAATTTTTCTGTGTTAAAACACACTTTAATGGGGTTTTTGTTCATATATATTTTACTCGAAAATACACAAAGAGGGCAACGCTGTAACAAACATTTCTTTGATTAGTGTTCATTTCCAAAATGTTATTCCATACTAAAATTACACACACATTTTCACACAATGCTACCCATGTATCATGCCCACAAAACATGCACTGTTAACTTACCATCAATTGATTCTAATAGTTTATAAGAATTAACATTTAATTTCATACTAAAAATCATGTTTGAAAAAAATTGCAGAAAATGACAACAAATGGTTGCTAGATTGACCTATTACCATGTAAATCTGCAACAGGCATTTGTCTTTATTTCAAAACTGTATTGCATTATAAGAATATATTGTTACAAATGCTGTGATCACAAAAAGATATATAAGCAATTTATATCAGTTTCCTATGAACTAGATTTCATTGACCATCATAAGAATGTTTGAAATGTAGTTCTGTTTTTAGTATGAACGATAATCATGCTCGCATTTTAATTTGAAGATATTAAATTTGGTATAAAATAAATGTCATATTATAATAGTTAGGTATAGGAAGGACAATATAGAAATTTGGGTATAATACATTAATTATAATTGTGATGGTTTACCTGGGATTTGCGTTCCTCCCGAACTTGCCGAGCTTGTTTCTGCATTTCCTTCATAGCTTCACCAGTCAGTATAACATTTTTCTTCGCTGGTCCCTACAACAGAGGGTAAAAAAATGATATGAGCCGCGTCATGACAAAACCAACATAGTGTGTTTGTGACCAGCATTTAGTCTGCGCATCCGGGCAGTCTGATCAGGATCCATGCTGTTAGCTATCAGTTTTTCTACTTGTAATAGAGTAGGTAAGCGAACAGCATGGATCCTGATCAGACTGCGCGGATGCGCAGGCTGGTCTGGATCCATGCTGGTCTCAAATGCACTATGCGGCTCATATTTCATTAACAAATTATCTCTATAAAAAAACTATTCTATGAAACACATAATACTGTTGAGCTCAGCATACAGCTTGTCTGTGATCTTTTTATGAGCCATTGGCCTAATGAGGAGAAACTTCCATGTCTCAAATTATTCAGTCTCCTTTCATTATATACATTAACCTTCACCTTTCTGATGGGAAGTGAATATTTTGTTTTTTGGCTTTACGACACATCAACACAATTTAGGTCATATGGCGCTGATCTTGGCCGCTGTGGGGTGTTACAAAGAGAACTGATTATGCCTTTATGACTAGTGAAGACTAAGATCCATCTGTACATTGGTACAGTCTGATTATAATTTGCACAGTTCATTGTTAATTTTCATAAAAAATTTGATCATCATAATAATTACTGATTTGTAATAATTTCACATTGTACAACTGTAGAATGTTGTATAATTAATAAATGTAACAAAAATTCTCTCTGTTTTAGTTTCTAAATATCAATTAAATATTTAAATTTTTTAGGATGCATTTTACTGTTAGCATTTAACTGTTAAAGAAGCATGCCTCCAGATTCATGCTGTTTTTCTCGAAAATTTTGGAAATGTATTAAAAAAGATAGAAATATTGTGAAGTTAACAAAGTAAGTAATTTACACATTGCAACTTTATGGCACTTAAAATCTATGTAAATTACCACACAGAGGTCAAAATATGGTTGAAAATACTGCAAAATCAGTCATTAATCTCACATGTAAATTAGTACATAATTACAGCATTTTTTCTTAAGTTTGATTTTCTTGGAATATTTTGGCTCATCTGGAGGCATGTGGCTTAAGCCAAATAACAAAACAAACTTACTTTAGCAGCCGGCTGGTTCTTAGTTGGTGCTGCTGGTTTCTTCTTATCAGCTAAAAATAAATAAAACAATAATTTATTATAAAAATAATTTATTATAAAAGGGGATCATTTCAAGATGGAGGAAGATGAAAAGTGTTTCATTGTGCATAACAGTCAAACAATGTTGTGCAATGTTGTATAAAAACTACATAACAACTTACTACAGACCCTAAATTAGACAGACTCTAACTAAAAAAGGGTTATTTGAAAAAAATGTTCACAAGTTAAGAAATCAAGTTTTAAACACAGTAAAATATAGGCATAATATTATGTATATAAAATAAAGTGTGAGTGGCTTTGTTTATATAATACACAAGTCATTGGAAACCAAAATGTTTGAATAATTAATTTAAAAGGTAAACATTCAATAAGAATGGCATTAACTTGAAAATGTATTATGTGGACTAGGTTGGATTCGCACAGGGTCTTTCCTTGAATTTATATGACAAAATACCAGAGTATGTGGCACTTAAAGAAATTTGAGAAATTTCAAAAACTTGAAAATCTACATTAAACATGACTTGAAGCGTTATTCATGTGTAAATAATCGAATGACATTTCACTTCTTTTATGAAACAAGTCAAAACAGTTCATTTTTCCACAGAAGTTGAGGAATTATAATTAGTTTGATTTTTTTGTTGTTAGGAATATCTGTTTAAAAATGGTAAAGCCAAAGGTTGAATCAGCTCATATCAGCCCCTTGGGTACTGAATCTTTATAGGGTAAAATGCCTTGACACTTTAAACATAATGGTAGACAGCAAATCACTTAAGCCTAATTAGAATACACAGTCTACATATTAACTTTTATGATTGGTCCTTTAAAATCTTATTTATATAAACAATTTGGTCAGCAATGTTAATATAAAATATACACTTGTCTACTGTCCAAGCATACGCCTGAACTTAACAAATACCCCATGTCAGTAGCAAGGTTAAAATTCTGATCACTCCATTTAAAGACATTATATATTTGAATAATACAAAGGTCAATATTGAACGTCTGTAGGCTATCTGGCTATTGTAAATAATCTTAAACTATTTCAAGATACCAGGACCGCTTAAATCTACTTAAAACTGTGAATTGATAGTCTCTTAAATTGATAAATATTATATTTAAAGCGAGGCAACTGGATAAAGAAAAATCAACACATTTTAATCAGTATTTAAAGTTTTTGAAGATTTTTATGTATCAACAGAATATGAACCTGAAAATGATATGCATACAGATTTTGTATTTAAGAGCAAATCTTTTGTAATTTTATTTCGAGTTTGATATATTTATGCTTGTAAAAATTTAGATTATGCTTCATGATACATTTAATAAATATATCATTAAAATATACATTGATTTTTGTAACTATATAATGTTCTTTTTGGGACTTAATTTATATATACAATAAAAGACTTGAAATACAATTAAATATGTTTATAATCAATTGTACTTGAATTCAGAGTTGTTATCTTTTAAATATTTAAATAACAGGGATTTGAACAAAAATTATTCCTTATACAAACAGATTTTAAGATGATGAAAAGGACCTCCACTGAGGTCCAAAAGCCTTAAATCATAAAATTTAAAAATTCTTTAATAAATCAACTTGTACACTTAAAACTGAAAACTACTGTGTAATAGATAATATATAAATATACTCAGTTTTATATTGATGATCAATTTTAATGTGATTTTTGGACGATTTGAGTGAAAAGCGTTGCAGCACATTTTATTTATATATCTCACTTCAATGAAATATATATGATATCTCATTGTTGTGTACCAGGAAATTTATCACACTAATGATTCAAGAATTTATATCTTACTAACTGCTAAAATTGAATTGTTTTAAAACAAGTTTAATAAACAATCATTCCAATTTAAAGAAAGTTATACTACAATACTTATGTGTTTAAATTAAATTTCTCAAACATCAGTATATACAAATTTTGTTATGTAAAGGTTATGGCCAGAAATTATGAAACAATATTACAAATCTAACATAATATTACAAAAGTTTTAGAATGGTGATATAAAATTCTTGACTCCATTGTCATAAAAAATAAAGAGATCCTTATCAAATAAAACAAATAATAGGTATGTACTTGACTACATGTATGTACAAATTTTACAATGATTTATTTAGGAACTATAGCTGCAATATAGGCATTAAAATGTTATAATAAAAATTCTTCTATTAGTAACATGAATAGACACAAATTTTAAAAACTAGCAGAACTCTGTAACATGATCGCCAATTTCATTTATAAAGAATGTGTAACTTTAAAGTATATATAGTATAACCCATTTTAAAATCCTAAGAATTATGTCATATACGAAAAAAACTTACTTTTAGTTGTAGAGACCAAGGGTGGTGCAACTTCATCCGTATCTGGTTTAGGGCTCGGGGGCTTATTAGCCTCCTTTTCCCCGGGCCCCGGGTCGGGCTGCTGCTCCTCAACGTCCGCCATGATTCGTTTTCAACTACAAATCTACTGTTAACTAATAGTAAAACACTAGATATATACTTTCTGTTAAATAAATAACACACCAGGCTAACCCTGGTAGTGTCCTCAAGTAACTGAGAAAAGTAGTACTTCAATTACAGACACCTGCGCATGCACCTGTTAAAAAGTAGTTCTTAACTTTTTAAAAGTGTGTATTTACAACATATTTTATCCATAGGTGACAGAACCATTTCTTACGACAATATCTATAATGTTCTCGAAGTAAATTGCTTAATGTCTGCGCATATTATGCAAAAAATCGAAAATATCAATTAAACTAACTACCGGAAGCGACAGAACACTCCATTGCTGCGTTGGTAGTCATGGAGACATGTATACATTCATGTCGTCTGCCGAAGTTTGACACGGATTAGAATAGTTCATTAAAAACTACATACATAAACCGTTTATGTAAATCACTATCGAAATCCTATAAAAACCTAACAATAGGCATACAGATTTATCAAACAGATCTACTTTGACAAATAATTTGTGTTATTTCGTCTGTTATGATACCATAACATATAGATCTATCATGTAAATCTAAAGATCGTGCAAATGAAAAAATGGAATTCGGCACGTGTGGCTTTTTGATACAGTTATTTGTTTGAAATTGATACCTTAATCATTTACATTTACAATTGTAAAAATAAATCTTGATTTAAAAGATTACGGGATTCCTTTTTAATTGTACTTATTGAAAATGGCACCGATTCATGGGTAGCAACGCTCAAATAGATTAGGTTGCCAATAATTTAGTACATGTGCTCAGAAAAGTTCGTTTTTCCCCTAGAACATAACTTATTTCACCAGATAACTGTTATCACGACCCGCCCCTCCTCGGGGAAGGGCGTTGATAATGGTGGAAATAAGCAGGTTTTATTTTTCAGTTGTCCCCGCACTGTCGGGCAAATTCGATGGTTTTAAATTGGCGCCAAAATGAACGAAGTTGCAGTGCCGGCATTTTACCATCTCCCAGTTTCCAAAGGGCGGTGCGTTCACTCTGAAAGCCACGATATTGCCCGAAGTAGGATGGGTCTTGGTTACAATTGACCCCTGCAGTCGAAAAGTGGTCATAAAATATTTGTTTACTGTTACCATGTCCGTTCAAAAACTGGTACTTAGCAACGCGATATATTTCGATATTTGATAATATGAAAAGACGCATATAGTCCGCTGTCGCCTACTTACTTTTTCGTTATGAAGTGTATAGACCTAAGCTATCTTAGAGCTAAATTATTAGAATCTATCAAACTATTTTTTCAACATTAGTTATTAGAACAAAACACAAATTTTACACATTTTATAAGCGCCATTTTTAAACAGACATTGAGATTTGTAAGTAATATTTGTAAACGGAAAATCTAATTCATATTGATTTTTAATGAAATTGAATTGTTCAATTTCCTTTATTTGTTGTACTATTTAAAATTGCGTCAAAATTAATTACTGGGCAATCTTAAGGAAAAAAATATTCATACTCCTCACTTGACATTATTGCGATTTTTATGATACAGGGGAGACAATCCAGACAAATTATTTAAAATGGTCATATCTGACTGATCTGCATTGTCTCCCCTGTAGTGTTTGTCATTCAGTCAAGTTTCTCTATATTAATATATGCTCTTTTCCAGATTGAAAAAAAAATGCCAATTCTGTTTAACATATTTTAATAGGAAAATGTTTCCAGACAGTTTGGTGACTTACTCATTATCGTTGTCGCTTGCGATGTTGTTACTTTTCAACATTTTCGTGTTTGCACTTATTAAGAAATGAGAAAATATTCATATTTACACTTTGAAACTATTTCATTTTTTTCACTCCAGTATCACTTTATATCCAAAAGCAAAGGGGAACGCAAGTTTCGGACAAGACATTACAATGCGTAACTTGTGCGTGGAACGCAACTACGTTGAAGACAAGGTGTGCAAGACTGGGGAGTGTCTGCACAAGACATTACGGTGCGTAATTCTAAGTAAACGCCTGGATACTAACAATTTAGCATTCATATGATTCTTAGTTACATTAAGCAAAACGTATTTTTTACAATAATTTTCGTAGATGTCAATTTTTATAGAGTTTACTGGTTATGAAATAGGTCTTACAGTAACTATCACATGTATGGAACATGGCGAACATAGACAATAAAAAGACGCACACGCAAAGAACCTAGATGACGACAGACGTTCAATGGCTACTCGAATGCTACGTAAAATAAAATAATTCAAGTTAAATGATAGTCATTGACGCGGTGTAACTTTCAATCATTTAAGAGGAGTTATGGTATTTGAATCATGCCATAAAGAAAGAAACGAAGCACTTTTTATGTAAATTTACAAATTTATATAGATCTACCGATTCATAAAATTTAATTAATACGTAAGCAAATAAAAAGTTCGACAAAGCTAATTCACAGGATTTTATTTCATGGATAAATGGAGGATATAAAATTCGTTGTTTATCGTGAATATGTTATAATTATACATATCATAGTTCATACTGAGAAGTTTTCATTTTATCCCTTATTTATAAGTGTAATAACAACCATTTCCACTGGTTCCATTGACAAAGCGCGTAAAAAGACATAATTATACATGTATGTAATGAAGATGACGTCCGACGTTCAACGGCTACGCGAACATTTTCATACGATCATTGATGGAAAATGTAAGAATTGCCGGAAAAAGCAACACTTTTTCTACTTTGAGATCATGATTTCTGTCGGTACTGCTCCAATACTGCAGTGAGTTAAATCCATAGATACAAAAAATGTATTTACTTTGGGTGACATGGATTTATCACATGGATTAAATCCAGCATCTCACTGACCAGTAAGCATAAAATAAAACTTGATATTGTCTTACCTGCAACAGCGTAATTAAATAATCTTTTCTGTATCTTGCGTATCATGTTAACCCTTGGAAATATCACATACTGGTCAAGTAAATGACACAGTGCCAGGCAAAATGACTTCATCGCCCGTGACACGCTTGGTCTTGATAGCTATCCACTTGTGCAATTACAATTAATGCGGGGGCGTCCGTGGCCGAGTGGTTAAGGTCGTTGACTTCAAACCACTTGCCCCTCACCGCTGTGGGTTCGAATCCCGACAGGGACTTTCGATTCTTTCATGTAAGGAAGCTATCCAGCTAGCTTACGGAACGTCGGTGGTTCTACTCAGGTGCCCGTTCGTGCCTGAAATAATGCACGGAAGGGCACCTGAGGTCTTCCTCCACCAGTAAAGCTGGAACGTCGCGATATGACCTATACTGTGTCGATGTGACGTAAAACCCAAAACAAACAAACAAAAACAATTAATGTGATGACCATTAGATGCCAAAAAATGCAAAGACACAATTTAACAGCAAGAAGTGGTGGCAGTGTATGGGAACGCTTGATCTCCCTCCTCATTTGAATCAATCAAATTAACTATCCTCAAGGTGGTTTGAGGAAAGAAACGATAGCGTTTACGGACTTCCTCGCTGCTAATGTTCACCAGTGGGTTCGAGTGACCTCGAAACACCCGCCGATCAAACGGTAGGCTATTCATATAAAGGGCAACCGACGCTGCCTTGATACACACTCAGCCATTGTTTTTAGATTGTTCCTTAATTTGATCCACCTAAATAGAGGAATCTACGAGAATCAACATTTGGATCAATTTGATCCAGATTTCCGGATCAGATTTGAGAACTCCACATTTTGATCTTGATCCGAAAATTTATCCAAAAACTTTGTTAGTGAATCTCACTGGTTAGCTCAAAATAAAATCTAGTATTTCACTGGTAAGCAGATCTTTAGAAGTACTCTGCAGTATATCTTAATGCATCTTCAATATAAAGTAAAACGGACAAAATTACTTTTCTTACTCTATATCTGAAGGTCCGGTTATTTACTGATGACACTGCCATGACTGCTGTGATACCACAAGAAATAATTTCTTGTACATCAGACAGGATTTTCTACTGTAAATTACGCAACACATCTTACGCAATACAAGTCGCATGCTTTCAATGACGTCATTCCCGCGCGCATTATATGAAAATATTATTTTGCCATATTCGTATCAACATTGATTTGTATAGGAGAGAATAGAATACCGTTATTTGATATGGAAATGATATCATACATCTTATGAAAGATGTTGAAAATTCATCCGCTACCAGAAAAAAAGTATTTCCGTAATATATATTGCTGTGCATGCGCCATTGGCATTAAAGATAATATACTACATGTACCATATTTCTTTCATAGAATTATTTTGGAAACTTGTATTCTTCTTTAAAATTAAAACATAAAGTTTTGCTGTAAATATTACTTTTATATTCAAAATTCAAAAAAAAAGTTTATAAATACCATGCATATAGCACAATATACAATTTGACATTTCATGATATGGAGCACAGAGAGTACATTAGATGTTTTCAGAAGAGACAATAATATGTGTATAAAATTTGAATTCAAACACAATATTTTTTGGTTTACTATACAGTCAAATTAAAAACAACAACAACAGTATCAAACACACTCTATAAACGTATAATAGAAATTATGTAGAATATGGTTTATTTAATATGCGTTTCCTTTTAAAATTAATTTAGATAAATAATTTAAGTTTTATATAACTTTTATATAAACTAGGACTTAAAATCGTAATGTAAATTTATACACTTTAACTGTGTCAACTTCTGAATAATCTTTTAACTGTAATGTGTATTTAATGATTTTAAACGCTATCAACTCTTTTTTTTTCTCACAGATACAATTATTTATTACCTTGGTTACTGATAAACCCGAGTAATATTTATTACTCCTGTTCATTTTTTCTTTTAATTTACCTGCATTGGTCAGCGCGCATCGAATAGGCGTGATTGAAAAAGTTGACGAATGCCACTTTGGATTAAATCGACTGCTCGCCGTGTTTTTCAATCAGTATCACGTGATATACCCCACGTGATAACGCCGGTATTGACAGGTGCTTACTCGTGTCAAATTGGGATACACAAATCAATTTGAGATCTTCCCTAACTTAATACCAGGAATCTAACATCTTCCGATTACAAAGTGAGTATTGTCAATGTATAGAGTTTTAAACTAAATATTAAGATTTATTCTGTTTTGTCAGTTATTCTAAAACATCGGTATAATTTGTTTAAGCAACTAATTTCTAAAACGGCTAAACTGAAAGTAAAATTCTGTAAGATATTTTTTGTCATATATCAGTTAGTACACATTGTCATTTTTAGATTGAAATATACCATTAAATATGAACATAATATATTCCTGTTTTATCTAGATAACTGACATTTAACAATTGTATAGAATAGTTGAGAAATCTCCATTTGCCATGTGTTTTCGCGATAGGGACTTTACTGCTTGTGAAGGTAGGAAAGTAAGATTAAGGCTACTGACATTTTTAATCTATGACATGTATGAAAATTTTCAAATTAGACTTGCTTGCATCAATATACAATGTATATTAAATAATATGAAAAAGGTAAAGCCTCAGAGCGAGCTTGATTTCCTTTTACCGTGAAATAGTATAAAATAACCATTCAATTTTCATTTTACATTTTCTGTTTTAAAACTGTCATTTGGTATTTTATACACTGCTTCCGTTCATTCTGGTTCCCTGTCCCATTATGGTTCCCATAGAAGTGCGCGGGTGACCAGTCTACGCTTCCATTTTCAGTCAGAATTTGGTTTTTATCGTTATCTTGTAATTAGAAAATTTGCTTTTCGTCAATTCAGTACTTCGGACGAAAGTTTTTAAAACCATCACTTTTAGCATGTATTTTGTAAACATGACCCATTGAATTGATGAAAGCAGTTCACATACAACAATTGTCACATTTGTTACAGTTCTTTAAGTTTTGAATTATGAGCTGTACATAGCACTGAATGCTTAACTTGCTCCTTGCATATTCTCTTTCCCCGAGTCTTTGGGCATAGTTCTGTTCACACTGTACAGTAATTGCACCTACATGTATTTTGTAAACATGACCCATTGAATTGATGAAAGCAGTTCACATGCAACAATTGTCACATTTGTTACTGTTCTTTAAGTTTGGAATTATGAGCTGTACATAGCACTGAATGCTTAACTTTCTCCTTGCAAATTCTCTTTTCCGAGTCTTTGGGCATTATCATGTCACATTATCTGTTTTATTGTAAATATTCCATTTGTTGTTAACACAAAATATTTGCTACATAGGAGCAGAGAACCATTTCATTTGGTATAAAATGGATCCATGAATGTTTTGTTCAGTAATCTTGACATTTACTTAACATTTATAGCATTCTTGTATTTATCTCTTATATATGTATTCACAGCGACAGAGTTCTTCCTCCACAAATTAATTAGAAGAGTCAAATCAGAAATTTCAGATTTGCTAATTTACTAATTTCGAAGATATTTTTGAAACAAAAGATAATAATTTACACCAAGTAGAAAGATGGCTGATGTTTAGTGACTGTCTTATTGTTGTCTGCATTGTTCACTATACTGTCAAAAAATATTCAAAACTTCCCCTAAAATTGATAAATTTATGTTTCAAAAGTATAAGTTTTATTTAAAATTTTAATTTTCTTACTCTTTATAGCGAAATAATTGAACTTTCTGATTCTGATAGTACAAGTCATTGTCCCAAATTCAGATTTGTTAAGAAGATCAGAGAAGGAATGTTGTCTAAATCAATGCATAAAATAGGGATAACTTATAGTTATATTTACAGTGACCCTGTAAATTTTAGCCTGCTTATTAAGTATTGTTATCATAACCACTGTATCATAGTCAAGTTATATACATGTACTTGTACTGCTATCCACTGGGCCTTTATCGTAACATTGGTTTAATTGTACTAAATTTTCTGATTTAAATTAAAATGTAATGAAAATTAAATACAAAATTGCAAGTTAATCAATATAATTACGTTGTTGATGTGACTGAAAATAGAAATAAAATAAATAAATTTTTCTAGGGTCTAACAAAATATGTCAGAAAAACAAGTTATCCTAGTTACTGGAGGCACTGGTCTTGTCGGCAAGGCGATTGAATATGTGGTACAAAATGGGGAAAAACAACCAAATGAAGAATGGATATTTGTTTCATCTAAAGATGCTAATCTTAGGTAAGTGAGATGTTATATAATAAGTAGAGAATTAATTTCTCAGAATAAAGATATTGTTTACTGTTAAGCATTTGATTCCTTTTATATGCCCGAACGTCCTTTTGCCTGTCTGATCTTAGATGATAGACATGGAATTATAGTTTTGTACAACTTATCAATATCAAGTTCATTCTATACAAAATGTAATTCTGGGGGTTGAAAAAGTAGCTTGTGGGGTTGAAAAAGGTCAAAAGAAGATTTAAGGAACAACCCCAAAATGTCTATCCCCTAAAGTATAATCTTTAACAAATGAACATTTATATTGTTTAAATGCCATAAAGGTATTAAACAATACTGTCCGCTCAATAACTATTAGATGTGGTGTCTTCATACTAAGTAGAGGGGATGGTCATGACTTGTAGATGACTCCTTGAAAGTCTTTTTGATTGTGTCAAAGGTCACAGTGACACTTGTGTAAAATCCTTGTCCCATCAATAACTTGTACTTGTTTCTGTTTATTTTTCACTTGAAGTTCTATCAGCATTTTAACATTGGTCATGTTACAGCATATGATTTTAAAAAAGAAGAAAATACACATACATAGGTATAATGTTTTGTCACATGGTTTGTCACATGAGTGCTTGTTGCTTTATGGTATAAATGTGAATTGCATAAAAGTCTTAAGAGGCATGATCAATCAATCAATCAATCAATCAATCAAAGTTTTCACTTCAGCATATCTGAGACAATTATTATTGTATAACTGTTGCATGACTCTTTCCTGAAAAAAATATATCATTGATAGAGAAATTTTATTGACACTTAAATCATAGAAATTCTTACAATTCATTAGGCAGCTAAATTTTTGTAGTGGATGTACTATATTAATTTTAAAATTGGAAATGTACATTTTAGTTTTATGGATTTCCATTTGTGATGGAAGTGAAGTCTGGCCTGTTATGGTATAGTAGTAACATAACCTAATCATTATTTCTGTTTCGTGCTTTGGATGTAATAAGAGAACAATCTGTCAGTACAAAAATATAACAGATTAAAATTAGAATTAAGCCTGCATATGTTAGGGATTATAGTAATACTTTAAGTTGATTCTTTCTGCTAAAGTATGTGACCAGACACGTAAAGTCGTTTAGTTCAACAAAATTAATGTATTAAGCACACAATAAAGATCTCTATGTAAATACTTGTAGCTTTAATCTGTAAATTTTGGTATTTTTGAGCTCTGTCAATAGGCTATGTCCATGTTTGATATAAATAAAATTTTCTGAAAGTAGGTTTTTCTCACCAGGGTTGTTAGAACGCTTATAATGTTTAAATTTGATTTGGATAAAGGTAGTTATGAAACAAAGTTCAAAGAGCAACTAAATTTAATGGCATATAAAGAACAGAACAGAAAAATTTCATATAGTTTAAATATACCAGTCATCATAAATAATGGATCTTCAGACAAAAACTTTGATTTTCCTAACCTTTCCATCCAAAATTTAAATAAAAAAAAATTTTTTCACAGGTTTCCCTTTAATTACCTTTTTGACGACATTGCACATTGAACTATCCATTCTAGCATACTTAATTTCTGACAGAATTTAATAGAATCAAACTGCAGATCTGTATACTGGAAAAGAAATGGCTAATTTTTCGCATATTTCATTGACTTTGTCATAATTTTATAATGTAAAATGATTTATGTTAATGATTTGTTTGATCTGAATAGATGTTGTCTTGGTTGGATACACATGGAATAATTTACTACAGCAAATGTTTAAAAAGGGTGGAGACACTGTTTTATATATGAAAATATAGGAAGAAAAGATAAACTGTTCATGCTTATATTACTACTTAAAATTGTGTACAAGTTTAAAACATTTCTGAATAATTTTTCACCTTTTACATTACAAACTTTTTTATAACTTCTGGAAACATAACTGACATGAATACTGATTAAGGATTATATTCATGTAAACATATCAAAACAAAGGTGGCCATGTCATATAGATGTGATTTTTTTTTACAAAAACAATGATCTAAAGTTTATGTAGTTATTCTTTCCTTGCATTTTTGTTAATTCACTTCAGATGAAACACTATTTAATTAAATGAAAGAAAATTTTACCCCAAATTTATCATATTTTATTAAATTATGAGCCCAAATGAGGCTTATATTCCTGGTAAAATTGCCACTAGTATATATTTGGAATAAAATGGTCTTAATAACATTGAATATTGACAGTTCTTTAATCTGTAATTAAAGTAAGAGAAGTCCTGTTATATTTTAATAATATTGAAATCCCTTAAAACCAACAATGGACCGCTCTATAATTAAAGTAAGGGAAGACCTATTATATTCTAGTAGAGAAAAGGCTTAAGATGCACATGTTTATAAAAAATCTGATGATTAAAGCTGGCAAGTTTTGTTTTATTTACCACACATGAATTGCATAAGAAAAAAATAAATAAAGAATCTCCTTAAAAAATATTTAATTTCTAGTTTTAGTAGGTTAAAAAGGATTTTGGAAATGTTCAACTTCCTTTATCAGAAATTGAAGAATATATTTCTGTCAATGTTAAATGCTTGTAAAGATATGATAATAAAGCTATTTAATAAATTTATTAAATTGTTTTGTTATCTAAAATAAAAACAAGGATTTTCAAATATTGAAATTTCATTTAGGGTTAATGCCCAAGGCATTATATAAATATAGATATAGAATTATAGATAATGTCAATATAATGATTACAATTTCTATATTTAAAAATATTTCTTTGGGGGAAAACCACTTTTTGCTTAACTGACACATTTACATGCAATGTGCATTGAGTTAAATGAAAAAAAAATGTTATTGGGGAAAAATCTGTAAATTTTGCAAGTTGTATCTATTTTCAAATGATTTATAAATTATATTCAACATTTTCACCAAAAGCACCACATAGAAACATTCAGTGATGTTTTTTTTTTAAAGAATTGTAATTCAATTTATACATTACTATAATGTGATATAAACTACACAAATAATTTGTAAAATGCTGCCAAGTGTGTTTAGTTTTTGAATACTCTTTCATAACATATCTATATCATTATAGATTCCTTTAAATGGATTATTTAAAGTTTAATATTAGTATAAACAACATTTTTTGGTATAATAATTAAGTATTAGTTCATAAGGTATTTGCCAACATTTGAAAATTTGTGACAAACATTTACAGCTTTTACAATAAATTATCTTCTGATTGTTGGACTTGTACATGTAAGTAGGCCTGTACACTTATTTTCTAAAATGAAATCTTGCCAAAATTGATTGAAAAAGATCAGGCAATGTTGTATCTTGATACATTGTAACCCTGCTTGACTTTACAAATTCAGGGATGACAAGGTCGATCCCACACTGACACTGCTGTAACTTACTTAGTATTACTTTTTCCTATTAAGCCATTACCTGATGGATTTGCCAAGCTTCAAATATGGAACAGTCCTTGCAAAGTTTATGGGAAATTAATATCAAAAAACAATAAATGAGCCACCAACAGTATAGAGCCTGGTAAGACCATATTGAGGTGCAGGCTGGCCTGGCTCTATATTGGTGGCAATTAGACACTAACTTATGGTTACTGCAGATTAAGGATTGATAAGAGCTGAAAAATAGAGGTTTAAATAGGATATATATTATAACTTTACACCTTGTACAGTTGACTTCAAACCACTTTTCCCTGTAGGTTCAAATCCAGATTGGAACTTTGGATTCCTTCATGTGAGGAAGCTATCCAGATAGCTTACAGAACTTTGTAAGAAGTAGAGAAGCAGTAATGTTTCTTCAAGACTGACCTTGAAGTTTTCTTAAACCAGTAAACATTGGAAAGTTGAATGAAGTTTGAAAACAAAAAAGTGAAAGGATAAATTTACAATGATCAAACTTTTCACTATTTTACGGAAATTCTTAGTTTTATTGAATTTTCTGACCGAAGGTCAGTAAATACAAAGCTGACATTCAATCTCTGACACAGAATTTCCCGACAAACCTAACAACAAGTAGTTCCCAAAACAGCTTAAAACTAGCGATTTAAAAGAAAGAAATATTTTTATTTTGTTACAAGTATCCAACAAATTACAACACATTCAAAGTTTAAAAGTAGCGTTGTCTTATAGAATTGTCAATAAATGCACAATCACAAATTACGCGGATGAATTTGATTTTAATCACTGAAAATGTTATTTTTAGCGATGTCGATTACCGAATACTACACAAATAAATCTGACTGCCGAGTAGTGGAATATATAGATTCTACATGTCGGACTGTTTAGGCAAGAAGATTTTCGCTAAATTATTTACTTCAATTTTAAACAACAGGTTTATCCTGAACCAAATACCTCGAAATTAATAAGGATTACAAACCTGGAATGCAATGGAAGTTCTAAAATTAGAATGACTAGATTTTATTCAGACAACAGTTATATAAACTTCTCCGTGGTGCAGGGGTAACGCGCTCGTCTAGTGAGTGAGAGGTCTGGGGTTCAAATCCCAGTTGGGGCAACTTTTTTAAAATTCTTTTTTAAGTGTCTTTGTTAAGGAAGTAGCAATGATATGCAATGATAAAGTGTGGCTGTCATAAAAAAATGATTTTTTGATCCAACTCTACTGTAGTTATGCAAAATTCTGTATGTATCAAACTTTCGTGCTTTGCAAGATGAATTACTAGTATAGTACATAAAAATAAACTGATACAGGAAAATACATACAAATATACAGTACGATTTAGATTGCAAAGATCAGAAAATACCACAGAGCTTGCAGCCCTTTGATCTCTTTATTGTCATTACAATGCAACATCTATCTTGCAGTGATCTAGCATCAACAGAGGCAATGTTTGAGAAGTATAAACCTACACAAGTTATACATTTAGCAGCTATGGTTGGAGGACTCTTTAAGAATCTCAAATATAATCTCGACTTTTTTGTAAGTATACAAATCACAAAGTTGGATATAATGTAATCAATCTATGGTGTTCTTACAAGTGCTTTTTTGTACAGAAGTTACTATTTGAAAATTGATTTTATACTTAAACCCTTGATCCACGAATTAGAGCTGATTAATTGCTTTACAGTATGAATATATTAACCAAATTGGGCTAAATAAAAAGATGCAGTTGAACCCTTTGCATAGAAGCCCTCTGTAGGGAAATAGACTGTTTACAATAAGTTGAATCTAGCATTATCAATTCTTCCTAAAATAAGGTGTCATAATAAATTTAATTCTTTAGAGCAACACCCTCTCAACAACAACCAAAGCCTTTATCTCCCAAAAGGGTGTCACTTTGTGTAGAGGAGCTTGGACTGTAAAACAGCCAAAATATTTATCCAGTGTCCAGATTTATATGGTTTAAGTGAAAGGAGAATAATTATCTGAAAAATTAAAGGTTGGAAATAATGCTGATAAAGTTGAATTTTCAGAAAATAAGGAGTGTTTTTCACTTTCAACCCAGCTGTTGCATGTATTGTGTAAAGATAAGGCTTGGTTAATGGATTTTATGTTATATGTCAATATTTGATTTATAAACATTGTTTTACCAGTATTACATGCCTCAATTACACTGAGTTGGCAGACAGAAAAACAAGACTTCAGTATGCTTTTCAAAAAGTGAAATGAAATTGGGCATTTGTTTTTAATTTAAAACCTAAATGGCTCTCTTGGAATGCACAGTTATTTCTCAATAAAAGATAACCACAGTGTACGAGGGTTGTTCGGGAAGTTCTTAGAATTGTTTTATAGCACACGTTGTTGTCGGGTTAGCGTAAATATAAATATATACGCATTTATTTCAATATATACTGTACAGTATCTGAAAATATCATCATCATATACACAGAAACTAAAACATACTGCATTTCTTGTATTTTCCTGTAGAATTGATCATTTTCATTGTTTCTGTGGAAGACTTTTCCAGCGCAACACAAAATTTCACGATGCTTCGCAATTCAACGTCACCTATCGACGTCATGTTGTTTACTCAGTGGCTCTGGGCAACAACTTTAAAACAATGTTGATCTGTAGAGAATTTAAATAACGTTATTAATGATATTTTCAGGAAATGACTTCACGACCAGCGTTTTCGCGCATTTTTTACGTTATCAAAATTACGAAATATTATTAGTGTAGCGCGTTATATCTTTCTTTAGAGTCGGACTGCTCCGGTGCGCATTTTAGTGTTGCTATGGTTACTGCTATTTCCGGCTATTGTTGTCTGATTCTATTCAATTTTTAGAAATAGTTCCGTGATATGCTAATCTTAGTATGTGCAAAATATTACGTCTTAGAAACAAAAAATATAGGAGATATGACAAAATTCTCAGAACTTCCCGAACAACCCTCGTATTTAGGAAGATTGTACCATTTTTTATCTCCAATGCAATCTTTTGGGAAATTTTTCATAATAAAGTATTGACTGAAAAGGGGGCAGTCCAGACCAGTATCAGCAGGACAAAAAGTTTCTTAGAAATTTTTATTTACATTCTTTAAAAGGAAAGTTATGATTTTAATTCTGTATAATTTATATAATATCCATATTAGTTATTCCCAATAATGAGACAATTTTACAGCTAGATTACATATTATCATTTAATAAACAATTTTGGTCAGGATTTTCTTTTATGTCTCATATATTATATGATATGACTTAATGAGATGTAAATAGCTTTGGGAAACATCTGGTAAAGCTAAAATAGTTAAGCAGTAAAACAGAATATGCTTGTTAGATGTTAAGCTAAAATCGATTGAGTATGCTGTAACCAAAAGTGATAAGCCTATAGTCAGGCCAGCCTGCACACATGCACAGTTTGATATTAGCCTATATTGGTTGGTAGTTCTGTTTTAGTACATCTCATTTTGAATGGATTGTGTCAAATTCAAAGCAGGGTAAAATCAATAGGAAAAGACATATAGTCATTGTATTTCTAAAATATGTAAATTCTATAATTATATTTAATATTCAGTTCTTAATATGCAAAATATTAATCCTAAAAAATGATTAGTTCTACATTGTCTTTATCATTTCACAGCTAAAATTATTAAATTAACCTTTCCTCTGTAGAATTTGGAATGTTCCATTGTTTGATTAAGGAATGTCAGCATGGAAATACTGGGATGGACTGCCATCATTATAGTTTGAACAGATTGTGATGATTTATATTGTGACACTTACTAGTCACTATCAACACAAGTGTCCAAATGTTTGACCTTTTGGATGCTGCCAGCAGTTGAACATACAAGTCCAATCAACAAGTGCAGACCAAGATCAGCAGGTATGTCTGTGCCATCTGATTGTGGTCTGCACTGTTTAAAATAGATGTTATCCAAAATTCGGCAATGTGGGTTTTCCCAGCTAATCTGTAGGTACAAACAAATTTTTACCGTTATAGCGTCCCAATGGATTAGTCAACCTGTAACTGTAAAAACTTTGTTTGTACAGACAGACTAGCTAGGAAAAACCCAAAATGTTCGTAATTCGCCACAGCTAGTGTTTTCAGTCAGGATTCAACACAATGTATTTTTCTTTCTTTCAGAGAACAAACATACAGATAAATGACAATGTACTGGCTACCAGTTATAAGTTTGGTGTGAAGAAGGTTGTGTCATGTCTGTCAACATGTATATTCCCTGATAAAACCACATACCCAATTAATGAAAAAATGGTAGGTATAGTTTATATTGTAGCTCCTTGTTCAAAGTAATCCATCCATAAGATCAGACAAGTTTGGTAATTTTTTGTACCATATAAATGTATTTATTTTGAAAAACTTTACAAGACGTTGTTATTAATCTGGGTCATGTGGATGCTTGTTTCATCTCTATTGAGAAGCTTGCCAGATTGTATGACCTTTTGTTGTAGACAATAATCTTTGTGTTCATGCTTAACATTTATTCCTTTGGAAAGGTTCATTAAAGTACCAGATCTTCTTTTTTTACAAAATGAATTTATTCATTTAGTTTCAAAAACTATGGAAATAGTTGAAAAACAATAACATTAATGAAAATAATTTATCTCAAAATCATTTTTCCCCAATAATTTCAGATACACAATGGACCACCACATGACTCAAACTTTGGTTATTCCTATGCAAAGAGAATGATAGATGTTTTAAACAAGTATGTTCACACTTTTGTATCTTATTATTCATAATTTTATGTAATTTTTAAGGAAGCGTCTTACTTCATATTTTATAGCATTGAGATGGACCTGGTCTAGTGGCCTGGTGTTCTACATATTAAACCTCCATTGTTTTGTCCATAAAGCATAGTTTGGTTTATTATAATGAGCTCAAAGCTGGCACCACAGTCAGTCTGAAACAGGTCATTAGTTTAAGCACTTAATGTGGGCAGTACCATGTTTCCTTTACTGTGTCAGTTCTGGTTAAAAGACGGATGAGAAATGTAGCTTGTCAAACATAGTTTATGCCACAAAAAAAGACATGATCAGTAAGAATTTCCTAGATTTCAATAAATTTCAGCAATAAAAATATTTTACCCAAAGATGAGCATAGCATATCTTTAAAATGTGTTGCCTGTAAAAAATGTATCCATATTATTCTGTTAAAGCATTACATGTTTTAACAAACTTAGTTTTAACAACCATATGTTAATACATTTTTTATGCATGTTAAAATTTGTATTACTTTCTTTATACATGTATTTATATTGCCAAATAAGTTACATAAAGACATGTCAATGTATGAATGTTGATCATTACCAGGGGATACAACAAACAGAAAGGTGTAAATTATACAGCTGTTATACCAACAAATGTTTACGGACCTCATGATAACTTTGAGCTAGAAGATGGTCATGTACTACCAGGTCTTATCAACAAAGTATATTGTGCAAAACGTAAGTTATGCCAAGAGAAATATGTTCAGTTTCATAAACATAATGTGCTTAATATAACAATGTTATGTAAAACATAATGTGCTAAATAAATGCTAAATATAACAATGTTATGTAAAACATAATGTGCATAATGCATAAACGTAACTATGTTATGTAAAACATAATGTGCTAAATATAACAATGTTATGTAAAACATAATGTGCTAAATGCAACTATGTTATGTAATACATAATGTGCTAAATGTAACTGTGGTATGTTAAACATAATGTGCTAAAAGTAACATAATGTGTTATGTTGAAACATAATATGCTAAACATGAGTAATGTAAAACATTTAGCATATTTCTTAAAGCAAATATCCTTTACTGACAGAACTTGTTATATAATAATTGAATTATTAGACAATCAAAACAAACTTTTGCAAAACACAAGAAGCAGACTGAGCATTTTGTTTATTTATAATTCCATAATCTTAAAAAAAATTCTTGAAAAAAAAAAGAGTTGATTGCAGCTTTACCTAGTTGCTACATTTTGAAATCATTTCTGTTCCCAATATATTACCACTTTGAATTATAATGTTAAGTGAAACTGTATTTTAACTAATTGTGTTTATTTGATAAATTTTGTGTATTTGATACAGGAGATGGTACGGATTTTGTGATATGGGGAACAGGGTCACCACGTAGACAGTTTATCTATTCTAGAGATTTGGCTCGCCTAATGATTTGGGTGTTAAGGAATTATACTGAAATAGAGCCAATTATATTGTCAGGTAAGTTTTATAGAGACTTTCTAGGTAAGTTTTATAGAGACTTTCTAGGTATTCTTGCTGATGGTTACAATGTGTGGTCCCAAACACATCAACTGTGTACTGTTGTTTATGACATGACTTCACCTGTTTTCAATGAAATTTAAGAATTGTGTATATTTTTCTCATCAAAAAACTATCATTTTCAAATGAAGAACAAAATACATCTAGCTATATTTTTTCTGTATTCAACATCTTGTATTAATGGAGTTGTAATGTTACGAATGGGCAAGTTCAGAGAAAAAAAAGATTTTCTATTCAAACTGAGAATGAAGTTATGAAAGAATGTTGTGCATGATTATTAGATGTTAACTGAAGAAAGTTGACTTCCATACAAACTACTGATTCACTATGATAATACCCATTGCCAGCAGAGCAAATGAAGTAACAGGTAGTTTATCTATGTGGCAAATGGGTATTATTTTGGAAACTGTAAGAAATTACCAAAAATAGAAAGTTTTTGTAACATAAAAATGATAGCATTTCTGAGGCATAGTGGGCCTTTAAAACATTGTATTTATTTTCAGTGAGTGAGGAAGATGAAGTGAGTATAAAGGAAGCAGCAGAAGCTGTCCTTAAAGCAGCAGACTTCAAGGGCAATGTTGTATTTGATACAAGCAAATCGGATGGGCAATTCAAGAAGACTGCATCCAATGAAAAACTTAGGTCTTATCTCCCAGATTTTAAATTTACACCATTTGATAAAGGTAAAGGTTTTATCAATCTGGAATATATTCCACACAACAGTTGATCATAAAAGAGTAAGTGGTGACTCTTGGGCTAAGTGGTTAAATTTCATACAATCACTTGCTCCCACTGCTCCATTGCTGTGGGTTTGAATCCTGCCAGAAACTCTTGATGATTTTTTCATGCAAGGAAGTTATCCAGCTGGCTGTCAGAACAGTTACAATTTTGCCAATGGATAATCTCTTGATTGGCCAATTAGCGCAGTTGCAATTTACCTATGCCATTGTTGTGAATGCAAATTTCTCTAAAACTTCTTAGCCAAATTTGAAACCAGAAAAAACTGCATTATAAACTAACAAAGGGCACTGAAGATTAGATCAATGTATTTTGTATATAAAATTTTATATTTTAGAAGTGATTTCATTTTCTTCTTTCAGCAATCAAAGAAACTGTAGAATGGTTTGAGACAAATTATGAAACAGCAAGGAAGTAGACTACATCTGTGATAGCTTCACTTCAGAATTCCATTTTTTCTGCCATTTTCAATTCAAGTCATTTACTCTGGCATTATTTAAAGAAAGAAATCTTGATAGCATTCCTGCAAGTTTAATATTAGTTTATTTTTCAAGAAAATGTGTTTTATGTGAAAAAAAGTTCAATGTTTTATTGTGTGCAATTTTTTTTTATGAAAATCATCTCTACAAATATACCATAACCTAAGAAAATATAATACTAAAACAGTTTGAAGACAATATTTTAATTGAGTTTCTAATGATCTGAGACTTTTCTGGACTCAATTATCTTATGGTTTTACAATGTTTTGATTCTTTGTGAAACATTTACCAAGCATTATCAGTGTTCATCATTGATAAGCATTTCTCCTGCCATTAGTTCAATCATGATAAAATGAAATTTGGCATAATTATTGATGCTTTTAATAGATTCGTTACTTCTGTTCACGTGTTTCTGTACTTCTTTATAGAATCTCTAATAGCTATTGTTATCTATTTATTTTGTACATAGGGATTTTTTTGCATGTTAATCAATACATAAAGCCTACATTTATTTTTGATATATATATTTTTTTTGAGGGGATATAACTTACATTAAGTAGTGGTTTGTATATTTAAATTTAATCTAATATAGTGTAGGCTTCTGATTGCTATAACCATGGAAATATATACAGGGTGTTCCTGTTAATTTTGATTTAAGGGATGTAAAAAAAACAGGTGCTAAAGAATCATTCAGTTTTGCTTGTTTTAATTGTTTTATTCTAAAAGTAAAAACAGTATGCTGTCAAGCTAAAACCATCTATATTCAAAATGAATTGTTACATTCAAATATGGCTTAATTTTGTTTTATGGGCCAGTTGATCAAAAATTATTATCAAGCGCCTTTAACAGCAAAAGATACATAGGCATGTGTACCTGACACTGGTAAATTGTGAATATCTGAACTTTTAATTCATGTTAGATTTTTAAAATTTAGTTCATTTATTTTATAATTTAGAAAGTTAATTTTGTATGCTGATATCCATATGATTTCCTTCAAGAGTTAAAAATTGTGAAACATAGTAAATTATGCCTAAACATTGTTCATTTGTTAAATATTTACTGGTTGTGCAAATTTGTTATTTCATTTGAGAGTCCCATATAATATAAGTAAAATAAGAGACTGCCTTGAGTATCTATGTATAATACATGTAATATAAAGTTCTGAAATTTCTAATGAGTGGTGATACAAAAACTAGAAAAAAACTTTTACAACTGTTCTGTTTTTAAGAATGATTATTAAGATTTCAGATGTATAATAAATTAAGATTTTAGACAATGAAAACTTTTTCCCAATCACTTAAATATGTTCAGTGTATGTTCATTACTGTTTATACATGTACCTTTTCTGCATAATTTTAGTAACAAATTTACCTGATCTGTATTATCTTATGTTTTGTTTACCTAGTTTGCAATATTTACTTTAGGTAATATGACATTGAGCTCAACATTTTTATAGGCAGTTAAAAAAGTGACTATAATGTTTCATGGAATATGCTTTCTATGTATTGTTTTAAGTCTCAATTGCACAGCATTTTTTTTGGTTACATACTGTAATTATGGTTTGAAGTTAATGTTTGATTTTTAAGGAGAATTAAATTTACATGAACTAATGGTTTTTCTAAGATATTGAATCTCTTGACACATCCAGTGTTTTAACATGTCTAGTCTTGCAGTTATCTCAAGAATGGTACAAGTTAAAATAAAGAGGCTCGCAAGAAAGGTACAGTGATCAGATGTAACAGGTGCTTGTAATCTCAAGAAATGGTGTATACATCTGATAATATATGCTTGCAGGACATGCTGCAGGGATTTATTTTATCCACTGTAACATATGCTCAAGTCTGAGGGACTTCCACATAAAAAAACTTGTTTATACATGTATTAAAGACTTGTAAAAGGCATGTTACAGTGTTACATTTAGTTACATGTATGTTATATTTCAATCAAATTTGTGGTGCTTTACTAGTAAATGGCAATCTGTCTTTTCTAAAAACTTAAAATGCTCAACAGATTGAAGTTGTAATTTTTTTCAAGACAATCATGTATATCCAGTACATTTTTGTATCTACTTAGAAAGCTGCAGTTGTAATGTTATTCAGGGACATTGTTATGGAAAAGTAAATTGTTTTGTTTTTGATACTGTAAGGTTTTAAGTGATATTATGCTGAAAGAGCACTTGGATGCCCATCTTTTAATTTGCTATGCTAACTTTTCTTACCAATCATCATGAACATTTTAGTTGCTTTAAGTCAATCATGTTCATTTCTTAGCATTGTCATTGACAGTATTTGATCATACTGAAAAAAACGTTTTATGATTAATATTTAATCAATTTTATCTTAGTAAACACCTAAAGAGTGACACTAAATTGTCTAAGCTTCCAATTAAAAGTAAGGTCTGTCTACATCTATGTTGTCTGACTAACTGTATTATGTTGATTCCTCTATTTATAAAATTTCCTTAAAACCAGTAATAGACAGTCAGGCTTTTTTTTTTCACAGGTAGAGGATGGAGTCCTTCACTTAAATTTGGAGAAAAATAGCATAATGTTTTATTTTGCAAATGGGGAAGAGGAAACTATGTAAATTGAATTTTAGAGCAAAATCAGATTTTTAAGAAAGTTTCTTGGTGGGAAGCTGCTTATAAATGGTCCCTGCTGTAGAAGGAAGAAAGGCTCTGGACAGTTTCAGATTGAGCAAGGCAATGGTTATGAAGCAGTTACATTGTTTTGAATAACATAGAATTTAATGGTATCTGTTGCATGTTGATAAAATTTATTCATTTCGGACAAGACATATTGATAAAATGTATTCATCTCGGACAAGTTACTCATGAAAAAGGAATAAGACTATTGTATTAATCATAAATGGAGGGTATATTTAAAACATTGCATTATTTCATATCTGAGTCATTTACAGTTATTGTATTTATTATTTTATGTACTCTGATGGGTTTGAATGAAAATTCGAATAAAATTTGGGTAATTCATGTTTGTTTCATTTGTATGTTCCCTTGAATAATCTTATATTGATAATGTTTGTTGATGTAGTTAATGCTTTAAAATATATATTTTTTAGTATAAAAAGAAAGTCCAGCTCTTTTTTGGGGAGTGTAGAATTGAACCCTTACACTATCTTACACTTTCTTTAAGGGTACTCTTCAGCACTGATGAAGTGTAATATTTTGTTATTTCAATTAACAACAGCTGACTGAGGAGCAGTGCACTCTCAGTGGTGGATAGTAAACTGTAAATTTTCTAAATAGATTATTTGAATGTCACTTTAACTTTTGGACCCACAAAAGGTATAACAGGTTGGACTTGCCAAGATGCTTCTGCACACAAAGTTTGCAGTTCCTAAGTTTCATGGCCAGTTTTATGTATTTTTAATTAAAAGTCCCAATGACTGGACTTATTGATCTGAAAATGGGTGTGGCATGTACAACTCCTAAAAGGTGCTTCTACATACAAAATTTGATGTTACTAGATAAATGCAGTTTGTTTTTATGGCCAGTTTTAAAGTTTTGTTTTTACAGGTCCAGTGACCTTTTACATGAAAAAACAAGGGTGCCATAGTCACAAAATACGCCCGTTTACGAAAGCTTTAGATGGAGATGGGGGCATTATGGATAAGTGTTATCTAGCAAGCAAGTTTTTATTCTTGGCACTGTGTTGTTAAATGAACCTTAAAACAAATCAGTAGGGAAGATATGCACAGGATGTGTGACCTTGACCTTGGTCGCAGGGACCTGAATTTTATGCACAGCACTCAGCCTCACAATGATGAACATTTGTGCCAAATTATATTGAAATCCCTCTATGCATGTAGAAGTTTTGCTCCAGACAAGCGTTTTTCTATGAGCTCTAACTGTGACCTTCACCTTTGACCTAGAGACTTGGTTCATGTGCAGGGCACTACGTCTCATGGTGGTGAACAATTCTATAAAGTAACATTAAAATTCCTCCATGCATGTAGAAAATATGCTCCGGACAACATCTGGATATTTTATCATCTCCAGTGACCTTGACCTTGCAAATATTAACCTAAATTAAATGTGTCACACCTGTAGTCATGATAGTTACCATTTGTGCTACAATCCATCAATAAATGATGACTAAATGGTCCCTATACACATCTTCAAATTTTTATCTGAACTTTGACCTCTATGTGTAACCTTGACTTTGGTCGCAGGGATCTGAATTTTGCGTGCCACACTCAGCCTCACAATGGTGAACATTTGTGCCAAGTTATATTGAAATCCCCCTATGAATGTAGAAGTTTTGCTCCGGACAAGCGTTTTTCAATGAGCTCTAAGTGTGACCTTGACCTTTGACCTGGAGACCTGGATCATGCATGGAGCAATACATATCATGGTGGTGAACATTTCCATAAAGTATTATAAAATTTTTTCCATACATGTAGGAGATATGCTCCAGACAAAAATCTGGATATTTCACCATCTTTAGTGACCTTGACCTTGCATATATTGACCTAAAGTACATGTGTCACAGCCGTAGTCATGATAATGACCATTTGTGTTACAATCCCTCAATAAATGATGATTAAATCGTCCCTATACACATCTTCATATTTTTATCTAAACTTTGACCTCTATGTGTGACCTTGACCTTGGCTGCAGGGACCTGAATTTTGTGCGCGACACTCCGCCTCACAATGGTGAACATTTGTGCCAAGTTATATTGAAATCCCTCTATGTGCATGTGGAAGTTTTGCTCCGGACAAGCGTTTTTCAATGAGCTCTAAGTGTGACCTTGACCTTTGACCTAGAGACCTAGTTCATGTGGGTGACATGGCTTCTCATAATGGTGAACATTTCTATGAAATTTCATTAAAATCCCTCCATGCGTGTAGGAGATATGCTCCGGACAAAATCTGGATATTTCATCATCTTTAGTGACCTTGACCTTGTATATATTGACCTAAATTATATGTATCACAGCCATAGTCTTGATAATGACCATTTGTGTTACAATCCCTCAATAAATGATGACTAAATGGTCCATATACACATCTTCATATTTTTATCTGAACTTTGACCTCTATGTGTGACCTTGACCTTGGCCGCAAGGACCTGAATCTTGCGCGCGACACTCCGCCTCACAATGGTGAACATTTGTGCCAAGTAATATTGAAATCCCTCTATACATGTGGAAGTTTTGCTCCGGACAAGCATTTTTCAATGAGCTCTAAGTGTGACCTTGACCTTTAACCTAGAGACCTGGTTCATGTGCGCGACACTGCTCCTCATAGTGGTGAACATTTCTATGAAGTTTCATTAAAATCCCTCCATACATGTAGGAGATATGCTCCGGACAAAATTGGACGCCGCCCGCCAGGGGCGTTCCCATAATACGTCCCGTTTTTCAAACGGGCGTATGGTTTGGCAGGTTAAAGAAAACCAGCACCAACACCGACAAATGAGCCTTCTTATTAGCTCCAAATTTTTAAAGAAAATTTGGAGCTAAAACTTGTATGTCTAAATCTGTTAGTATGCTAAAACTTGCTTCATAAATATGCCCCTCTACCCCAACCATTATAGCTTTATTTTGTTTGGTTTAAAGATGTGCCAATATTGTTATGATCATCTAGTCTGTTTCACTTGAAGCTTAATGGACTGTGAAAAACCATTGCCTACACCTCTATCATTCATGATTTGATAATATTTCTCAAGGGCAAATTTGGGTAGAACAACTAAATAACTGGTTAAAAAATGACAAGACAGATATTAAACTTTAATAGTAGGACAGGAATCCAAACAATTGAGATAAAGTATGGGTCTCAGCATAGACCTTTATCACTTTTCAAATGAAACAATAAAACATTGATGCTTTTTAATGTGTTTTATTATTCATTTTTTTTATCATAAATCAGTTTGATAATAAGTTAAAATAATATTCTTTATTAGGCTTTTGTAAAGAAGAGCTGTCAGGAGACAGAACACTTGACAAGTAAAGTCACATCTTAGAAACCCCAAACTATGATAAAAAATCAATGATAATACTACAATATATATTTTTCTACAATACCATGAAATTATAATAAAACTCAAATGTCCATCACATAACAAGTATGTGAACATGTCAATGGAAGTGAAACAGTAAATATCAACAGAAATTTCTATTCTATAATGGAAAAAAAAAATAATTTGAAATCTAAAACAAATCTCTTCAGTACCGTAGATGATGAAGAGTTGAAGAGAAATACATGTCAGTAAGGATAAGAAATAATCAATTTAAGTAGACACCAAAAGTAACAAAAGAGAAAAAATATGAATACAAGAGCATGCTTGAGTGATCTCAGAGCTTGATAGTAAAACACAAACCTTGAAAATGTAGAAATATCAAGTTCAAAAAGGGCCATAATTCTGTCAAAATCCATGTCCGAGTTATGGGCATTGAACAGTGACCACCTATTATACTATCAAATAAGTATGTAAAGTTTCAATCCATTTCCTTTCGTAGTTTTGGAGATACCAACTTGGATGCAAAAACTTAACCTTCAGTGTGACAGCCATGCCGACACAGACAATAGTTCTCACTACTTTTCAAATAGTCGAGCTAAAAATTAACAAACAAGTGGGCCATGATGGCCCTGAGGTCGCTCACCTGTATATAGTCCCCCCAACCCCCACCCCCCAACGTTGCAGGGCCAATTTAACCCAAGGGCTTTTATTTGCACAAACTTGGTAGACACCCATAAGACTAGATGTTTCATGCTAAACATCTAAGCTCTAGCTCATTGGGCTTTTTAAAAGAAGATTTTTTTAAAGTTTTTACTATACACATATAATTAAAAACAATGACACCCCTGGGGCGGGGCCAGTTTTGACCCCAGGGCTTTTATTTGAACAAACTTTGTAGACACTTACTAGAAGATGTTTCATGCTTAATATCTAAACTCTAGCTATTTGGGTTTTTTCAAAGAAGATTTTAAGTTTTTGCTATACACATATAAAGAAAATCAATGACCCCCGGGGCGGGGCCAATTTTGACCCCAGGTCTTTTATTTGAACAAACTTTGTAGACACTCACTAAAAGATGTTTCATGCTTAATATCTTAACTCTAGCTATTTGGGTTTTTTCAAAGAAGATTTTTTAAGTTTTTGCTATACACATATAAGGAAAATCAATGACCCCCGGGGTGGTGCCAATTTTGACCCCAGGGCTTTTATTTGAACAAACTTGGTAGACACCTATTAGAACATGTTTCATGCTAAATATCTTAGCCATAGCTCTTTGAGTTCTTTAAAAGAAGATTTTTTAAGTTTTTACTATATGCATATAGGGAAAATCAATGACCCCCCGGGGCGGGGCCAATTTTGACCCCAGGGCTTTTATTTGAACAAACTTGGTAGACACTTATTAGAACATGTTTCATGCTAAATATCTTAGCTCTAACTCTTTTGGTTCTTTAAAAGAAGATTTTTTAAGTTTTTACTATATGCATATAAGGAAAATCAATGACCCCCTGGGGCGGGGCCAATTTTGACCCCAGGGCTTTTATTTGAACAAACTTGGTAGACACCTATTAGAAAATGTTTGATGCTCAATATCTTAGCCATAGCTCTTTGAGTTCTTTAAAAGAAGATTTTTTAAGTTTTTACTATATGCATATAGGGAAAATCAATGACCCCCCGGGGCGGGGCCAATTTTGACCCCAGGGCTTTTTTTTAACAAACTTGGTAGACACCCATTAGAACATGTTTCATGCTAAATATCTTAGCTCTAGTTCTTTGGGTTCTTTAAAAGAAGATTTTTTAAGTTTTTACTATATGCATATAGGGAAAATCAATGACCCCCCGGGGCGGGGCCAATTTTGACCCCAGGGCTTTTATTTGAACAAACTTGGTAGACACTCACTAGAAGATGTTTCATGCCAAATATCTAAGCTCTAGCTCTTATGGTTTTTTAAAAGAAGATATTTAAAGTTTTTTCTTTTGGTTGCCATGGCAACCAGAGTTCTGCATGGAATTAAATTCTTTGAACAATTTTTAAAGGTGACCACCAAAGGAACATTCCTGTGAAGTTTGGATGAAATTGGCTTAGTGGTTTATGAGGACATGTCATTTAAAGTAAAAGTTTACAGACGGACGATGGACGGACGGACGGACGCCAGACGAAAAGCGATCACAAAAGCTCACCCTGTCACTTTGTGACAGGTGAGCTAAAAAATGGAGATAGTTCTAGGAATATAGATGCTAAACTTATGAACCTGATCACATATGATGTAGATGTCTATGGCAAGATAAGTTTTTAGTTTGAACTTTATCCCTGAAAAAAAGAAGGGAAAAAAAAGATTGTTCTCGAAATATCGGAGCAATGTTACGAACTTATCATATATGATAAAATCACAGTAAAAAAAAATAATAATAAAAAAAAGAAAAAAAAAAGAAGAAGGAAAATTGTATGTTCAGAAGATTACAGATGGAGTTTTTCTGAAAATATTGGTGATAGATAAACAAACTTTATCGCATCTAATTCGGGTGATTTTACGGAACATAATTATATTTGTAGTTTAAGTTAATTCCTTATGAAAGAAAGAAGTTTTAGTAAAAAATATTTTATTCGAGCTAAAATTCAATCTTTTTCAGAAATATATCTGAAACATTTTCAAAAATTTCTATACATTAGAAAGATACAGAAAAATACATATTTTATACATAAGTATTAACAAGCTCTTATACATGTCCAAAAGTTCTTATTTCACTTAAAGTTGTAACTTCCAAACAATTGTGGTGATGGTGGCATATCGTCATTTAACGTAGTGTGGATTGGTACAAATTCTTTAGTGACCTTAGAGTCTTGTTTAATGTGAACTCTTTTAATACGTTCTGTTAACATCTCTGGTTCAGGAGGTGTAGCATTCTCTTTGTTGTTGATGGCAATATCTACACTTGATGGAAACTGCTTAACGCTTCCCTGAGCGGCTGGATTTTTTGCAGGATTAATCATGTACATACCAGTCATATCTGACAAAGCCTGAAAATACAAAACAAATTGTTAACAAACTATTATAAATAAAGCTCTAGCTTGACAATAATTCTAAATGAGGTCACTTCTCCCTCAACTCCTATCAGGGAGAAGTTTGAAGACATAGGGAGAAGTGAAATGGTGCTAGGGTCATTGATTTAATTTAAAAAAGGATGTTTTATCAATTTACTCATACACATGTACAGTAATATTCATATTCAAACAGATGGCCTGTCTAACCAATATAAAAACAAAACAAAAAATTTAATTATGTTTTCAAAAAAGTGCAAGTTATTTACTGTTATTATTTAAATCCATATTTCTTTATATAGAATTGATATTAATATTGTAAGTACTACACACAAAACAATAAAATATTACATTACATTTACACAGTTGATGTGGCACTGTGTAATGTGGTAAGGTTGATTCAGGGTGTAAACTTTTTTTTAACTCTCTAATTAAAAAGTGGCAGGTGTTGCACAAATTATGCTCAATTAATAGAGATGTTAACATCGGCAAATTGCAGGGACACTAATGTCCAATGGAGCTGCATGTTATATAATTATGTTAATTGCAGTCAATTATTATCGCCAAAAAGTTACACCGGGAGGCGAGGATTAAATTTATTTACAAACGCTGTGTGATACATACAAATCTTTACATGAGGTAGGTAAAAAGAAATGGCTAAATCGATTTTGCTTTGATGTTCAAAAACTTTAGGCCACTTAGTCGCTGAAATCTCCCAGTTGCAAAAGCCCTTCTAACGCTTTCCTATGACAAATCAAGAAAATCGAACTTTGTAAAGTTTTCCTATGACCACCAAACTTTTCTATTAGTATCAATCTTTCCTTTGACAATCAAGCTTCCTATGTCTCAAGCCTTCCTATGACAATCAAGTTTTCAAATGACAATAAAACTTTGTTAAGTTTTTCTATGACAATTAAACTTTCCTTTGACAATCAAGCTTTCCTCAGTCACAAGCTTTCCTATGACAATCAAGCTTACCTATATATGTATAATGACAATCAAGCTTTCATCACAATCAAGCTTTCCTAAAACATTCCAATAACAATCAGGCTTTCCTATGACAATCAAGCTTTCATCATAATCAAGCCTTCCCAAAGCTTTCCTATGACAATTTTTTCCTAAGACAATTATGCTTTCCAATGACAATCAAGATTTCATGACAATAAAAAAAAACAACAGCTAAAAACAGAATAAAATGAGTATACATAGAAATTATCTTTACTTGTTAGCTTGTTATTTTAAAAACTTGTAAAATTATGGTGAAAACTCACCTCGAGACTGTATGTAAGTTCTGGTTCGACCGGTTCACCATCATCATATCGCGTCGTCAAATCCGGTACATTCAGTTCTTTCTTTGATTCACCTGATACCAGTTTATCCTTTTGATCATCTTGAAACAAGCTAACATGCAAGGGCCGCTTACTTGAGGTAATCAACATGCTAGGTCCATGCTCCTTTGTACCTGTTAGAATTTGTTTGATTCCTGGTGTTTGAAACACAGGTGATGCTGGGCTGTCGGAGTGTTTTGTATTGAAGAGTTGCTGTTGAGATGGGAATGGAAGTGTTGACTTCTCTTCCTTAACAGGCATTTCTTTAGTAGATGACATGAGGACAGGACTAGCTAATGCTGGAAAGAGACAAACAGAAAAACAAGGTATCACATATAGCTCTTATCAAAGTATATCTATATTTGGCTGTCTGTAATCTGTAGATATATTTACTTGAATCATGACCAAACAGCTTGCTTGACTATTCTTAGTACTTAAATCTAAAACAAGAGCCAGATAATGTAGAATTTTCTAAGGTTAAAAAGGGCCACAATTCTGTCAAAATCCATGTTAGAATTATGGGCCTTGGATAGCGACCACCTATTATGCACTCAAGTGAAGTATCCACCCATTTCCTTTAGTAGCTTTTTGAGAAACCAAATTGCATGCAAAAACTTAACCAAAGTGTGACGCAGATGCCAGGATGAGAACAATAGCTCCCCATATTCTTTGAATAGATGAGAGTGAGTACAATAGCTCCCCATATTCTTTGAATATATGATATAAAAATCTTAATTGAAAGAATAATGTTCGTAAATTTCCAAGTAAGCAACTGACCAATGCACAAACCATTGCAAAACCATTGCTGGGCTTACTCTATGCTATTGGCAAAGGCTCATCATTTATGGTTCAACTTCCAATTGTTGCAGTAATTTTGAAAGTTTTACCTGAATGTAAGTCAGTGCTGTATGAGATATCTGAACTCCAAATTTTCCCAAGACTTGGTGTACATAAGATACCATTATGTCTGAAATCAGGAGGTACATCTCCCCAACCACACTTCTGACTTGCAGGTCTACAATAACACACAGTACTGATTATATTATATAATGTTGATTGATATAACTATTCACCAAACAATAACTTAATAACATGATATATTTGGTAGATTTAGTTCCCAGTTTTAACAACATTTTAAACATAAACATGTACCAGCAAACAGATATAGTTATACGTAAGTTATAACAGCATTTTCAAGATATACACATAGACAGATATAGTTCTGTATCAGTCATAACCATTCGCCTTAACCATAGTCATAAACCAATTGAAATAGCTTTGGAAGGAACAGCTAACAAGATCCCACATATAGCACTTCCAGATTTCTCTTGGTGTAATTTTGTACATTACTATACATGTACACTGTCAACTAAACAAACTTAAATGTAATGATCATCATAACTGTTAAGAAAACAACAGAACTTTCAACTTTTAATATGTATTGTGAAAGCAAATTTAGCAACCCCTAGTTATAACACTTATTCTTTTAAAAATTGCATGTAAGTACTGAATAAATATGATATAATTAGCATAGATTGGTTTCAATCTAATTATGGTAATATGACAGTCTTGCATGTATATATACTGTTTTAATAATGTTATGCCAAATTCAAAAGAAATTAGGAATAAATATGAATTCGAACTGAAATTTTAATTTAGACATGTTAGATATAATAATTTCTTACGCTGCTCTATTTGGATGTTGTTTATTTTTCTGTAAGCTATTGAGGTACTGCATTGTTTCCATGGATATCCCAGCATCCTCTAATCTAGGTGTGCGATTTGGATCAACCGGTTTGGCATTGTTTGGAGGTGTTCTTTTAACAGTTAAAGAGTAATGTATACAACAGTAAATTTTAATTTATTTTACGAAAAAATAAATAACAAGCCAATTCGTTGAATTTATATCCCCCGCCGAGTACTGGTTTTTATTAACACAACAACTGAAAACATGAGGCTTTATTTATATATTAATCATGGCATAAACAGTAATATTCTTTGAACTTGATAAATATTCAGGGCAATAACAGATCCATAACTTTGTGTTAAATAGTAATATCTGGAAATGCCAATAAGATGTATGCATACTACATAACTAATCAAGGGCCATAAATCTGAGTTATAAGTATCTGACCGGAACAAGGCGACTATATGCACATCTCCTCTTAGTATCCCATAAAGTTTCATTGAATTCCAGCCAGTAGCACGGAAACGATTATTTCTCTGGTTGTATACTGCCTAAGTTATCAAGGGTCATAACTCTAAGTTAAAATGTCTGACCCGAACAAGGCGACAATATGCGCATCTCCTCTTGGTATTGAAGGTTCCAATAAAGTTTCATTGAATTCCAGCCAGTAGTTGCAGAGAAGTAGCAAGGAAACTAATATTTTTCTATATGGATACTGCATAACTAATCAAGGGCCATAACTCTGAGTTAAAGTGTCTGACCCCAACAAGGCAATGATATGCGCATCTTCTCTTGGTATTGAAGGTTCCCATAAAGTTTCATTGAATTCCAGCCAGTAGTTGCAGAGAAGTACCGCCGTAAAGATTTTTGCTCTATATGCATACTGCATAACTAATCAATGGCCATAACTCTGAGTTAAAGTGTCTGACCGGAACAAGGCGACGATATGCGCATCTCCTCTTGGTATTGAAGGTTCACATAAAGTTTCGTTGAATTCCAGCCAGTAGTTGCAGAGAAGTAGCGCAGAAACAATTTTTTCTCTATATGCATACTGCATAACTAATCAAGGGCCATAACTCTGAGTTAAAGTGTCTGACCGGAACAAGGCAACGATATGCGCATCTCCTCTTGGTATTGAAGATTCCCATAAAGTTTCGTTGAATTCCAGCCTTTAGTTGCAGAGAACTAGCGCGGAAATGATTTTTACTCCATATGCATACTGCATAACTAATCAAGGGCCATAACTCTGAGTTAAAGTGTCTGACCGGAACAAGCTGACGATATGCGCATCTCCTCTTGGTATTGAAGGTTCCCATAAAGTTTCGTTGAATTCCAGCCAGTAGTTGCAGAGAAGTAGTGCGGAAACGATTTTTACTCTATATGCATACTACATAACTAATCAAGGGCCATAACTCTGAGTCAAAGGGTCTGACCGGAACAAGCTGACGATATGCGCATCTCCTCTTGATATTGATGATTCCCCTAAAGTTTTGTTGAATTCCAGCCAGTAGTTGCAGAGAACTACTCCGGAAACGAAATTTTACTCTATATGCATACTACATAACTAATCAAGGGCCATAACTCTGAGTTAAAGGGTCTGACCGGAACAAGCTGACGATATGCGCATCTCCTCTTGATATTGATGATTCCCATAAAGTTTCGTTGAATTCCAGCCAGTAGTTGCAGAGAACTACTCCGGAAACGAAATTCGGACGGACGGATGGACGGACGGAAGGACGGACAACGCCAAAACTATATCCCCCTCCCGATTCCATCGGCGGGGGATAACAATAACACAAATTTATGGATTTTTAATTAAACTAAGAACACCAAGCCACTCTTTGTTTTTCTGTTAAACTTGTACATAGTACTATTTTACACTTAACTGCTTACTAACCTTTGTTTATATTAAAAGTGAAAATTTTGTTTTTGGTAAATAAAGTAGCTCTGAGTCTTTTACCAGAGGTGTAAACGAAGTTTTATAAGTCAGAAATTTAATTTAAATTGTCATAAAAAAATGAATCAAATGTCATGTTAAAATAAAGGATACTTTGGTGCAGCAGATTCCTGATCATGCCCATCTTCACTTTCTGTTTCTATATCTTTATTCTGTTTTTTACAAGTTTCTTCTGTAAAATAAACATTTAAAATCCACAACTCGTATTTTCTCTAAATTTGATATGCCTTTTCATTTAAAAGGCAGCATTTCTTTTAACAGTATGTATTTTGATTAAATCTTAGTCAGTGATTTTTTTCTTCCAATTTTCAAAACAACCTGTGGCTTTCTGATGGGGAAATATAGCGTGATAAATCAGAAAATGGGAAAATCAAATTCCAACAACTGAGAATGTAATTTACCCACACATTTTATAACATTTTCAATTTCAATTCAATTTAACATGCATGGTACAACTTTAGGGACAGCTTTCTGTCTTCTAGCTGATATAATAAGTCAGATGCTGTTAAGTAATGGTTCTGGTGGAGAAGTGCACAGGGCATTTCAGGGGAAAATATTAGCTTTTTCAGGGGAAAATATACCTATTTTGAGTTAGGGGAAACAGCCTTTATTCGGCTGTAAAATACAGGTAAAAATCATTTAAAGTGAAAGATGTGTTTAACTCTTTTAGCTTAGACTAAGTGAAAGAAGTAAAATTTACCATATGGTTTAAAGCCATATTGTGCCAAGTATTCCTCTATCTCTGTAACTTGTATTGAAACATAATTGTTCAGAAAATTGCTAACTAAACTTGCTGTTTTATTCTGCTTTTGTGCTTCATCCCTCTGTCTTTCTATTTCTGTGCGTATTGGTACCTGAAAAATACATATACATGTAACTACAATATGTATTTTTTTTAAATGAATATTCTATCAAGCTTATAGTTCAACATTGCTGCTAACAAAACTATAGCAGTAAGTTTGCATTTACATGATTGTACATTATCATATATCAAAGAGTGAGAAAAATGTGCAGCTTTGTTGAGATTCATCCTTAAATTTCTTAATGTTTCACAGAACACTTCTCAGTAAATCTGTATCTATAAACTGCCATAGTCCCATGTTGGGTGCCAAGTGTCACAAGGCAGAGCCTTTAATACCTTTTAGAGGACTGGCGCCAGGCCCTTAGGTATGGAAATTTGGCATTCTTTTGAAGAAAAAGGGGAATTAATCTGTCAACAACAATTCTCATAATGTTAATTTTTAACATGTTTTTTTTTGCAAAAAGCAATTTTCAGTATTATATTGATAAGGGTCTTCTGTTTTAGGTAAGGTAAAACATTTTAGGGGAAAATATATACATGTTCTAATTGAATTGGGGAATGCTGAACTTCTGAATTACTGAACTTCTGCACAAAAATCATGAAATAAAGGTCCTGAAGGGCAAGAAAAATGTGAAGCCTGACAAGGACTTCAACCTAGGACCCATAGAATACTCACACTGTATAAAGCTGCTTCATAGATTAGTGTTTATTGAAATTGACCATGACAACACAGAATGAATGTCAATGTCTTTCACTTTAAACAAGCAACACATCATATGATTTATTCCAATCAATTTTTTAAGAACATTGAATAGTTGGTAACTACCTTTAATTGTTTAACATCATTCTTCAAATCTGTAATATCCTTAATAGCTTGCGGCACTGCGCACTCGTCTTTTTGTTCAGTTATTGCCAGTTTATACTGCTCACATTCTTTGTCTATCTTAGCTGCAAGGTTACGTAACTTTGAAAAGAAAGTATCTGCAGGCTTCTCCATACCTGTAATTATAGTTTCAAATAAGTTGAGGAAAATTGAATAAAACTTTCATGAGACAAACGACAGGACTCTCTTTTGGGAGAAAAGTGCCTATACCTGTAAAAGGGAAAATGTTCAGGTCTTTTTTCCTTTAAAGGGTAATTTCATGCCACCTTTGTATCATTTCCACTTTTTCATGTTTTAGGCCAGCGTTTTTGTTGTTGTTTTTTTTTCAATTGTGAAAGAAGCACCGTAATCACATTATCCGTGAATAAAGTCCTATTTTATAGTCAAACTTGTCAACAAAGGGGGAAGTGTAAATGTGGCCTTTGTTCCCAGCATTATACAGTATTAATTAAAAAAATATTATGGGGAAGTCAAAGGCAGAGTCTGGGAAGTGAGACCAGGCTTTCGCTAGCTCGGCTATAGACAACACGTGTATATTTAAAAGAAAATCAAATAAAAAACAATTAAAGGACATTTACAATTCTATAACTATAATCAAATTTTCAGTGTCAGTTGTAGTCAGGCCCACCATTTTTAATGTGACTCAATGATAATTGGCGGTGTGTTCCCATAACAAATAATCACAACTTTTCAGATTAACAATAATTGTCGAGTCTTTGATGCATGAAATACCGAATGACACATCTAAAACAGAAAAATGACCTATATTAATTTTTTTTTACGGACTTCCCCGTTCATAGGCTTTGACTAATTTTATATTAGTAAACATGAATTAACAAATACACGTATATAGGGGAATTAAAATGCTCACAAACCATAATGATATTATCCCCCTAACAAAGGCCAACAAATATAGTAACAGTAACAATTATTCAAAGATATCATCAGTACGAAAATTCTTTGCACGAAACTCTTAAGCTTATTTCATATTATCAGAATATTAAGTCATAACCCTGTTGAAGATATCCCTTGAATAATTTGACAACAAACAAGTTATTTACTTAGAAAATGAAATAGATGGATTTTGTCCTGTATGAAACATAAATCTGTTCAAAATATTTTTATAAAGAAGTTTTTATTTTTCTCAAATAATCCGCGGAAAGCGCCTGTTAGCCCCAGATCATTTCTTTTAGACGCTTGAATTGACGCTGAAGAAACACGCCGAGCAATCTATTCGTTAAAACTTTGGTTCACAGGTCAAGAAAAGTATAACACACAAAACAAACCTATTAACCCTTTACCTCATATATACGCAAAACAACGCACTTTCGACCCCCCCATTTTTAGGCCTCAAATAGTGAAAAAATGTCCTATTTGGGCCCCAAACACATGTTTTCGTTTGAGAAATGTTGCTAAAAAAAAGAGCACTTTTTCGGCGGTATGCCTAATATACGAAAGTGAGATTTTTGACGAAAGTGAGCGAAAGTGAGCGAAAGTGACTTTTAAAATAGTAATTATAACATTTTAATAGACTTTTAAAACAAACTTGCAGTTTGTAGACGTATATTTTTACAAAATAATTATATTTATTAACAGAAATAATCATAATGATGATTTAATCGCTACTAATTTGCATAATTTCTATACACAAGTTCTTATATCTTCCTTTCGCTCACATTGAATAATACGAAAGTGACTTATAAAATATTAAATATTCTGTTTTAATTGAAATTTTTACTAAAATTACAATTTGTAGATGTATATTATCAGAACTTGATGATACCTATTTTTTAAAATAATCATTATGATGATTTAATCGTTATTTATTTGCATTATTTTAATACACAAGTTCAGATATCTTCCTTCGCTCAGATTGAAAAAATACAAAAGTGACTTCAAAATATCAAATATAGCGAATAATTTAAATCTATATTAATATAATATAATTATATGCATATTTTGCCTTAGAAACATTTTTTTAAACTTGAATATTAGATGCATTATATTTTTGTGCTATTGTGAAGTGTCTAGGGAGTGAAGGGACTTGGCGTGAAGTTCTGCTGGTGGTTAAGAGTCTGGTGGAGGTGAAGTATCTGGGGGGATGGTCGAAGTGTCTGGCAAGTGAATTGTCTGGGAGGGATAGGTGAAGTTTTCGGGGCTGAAGTGTCTGGGGGAATGAATTTTCTGGGGTGTGAAGCGTCTTTCAGCGCTATATTTGACATTTTTGAAGTCACTTTCGTATTTTTCAATGTGAGGGAAAGGAAGATCTTTTAACTTGTGTAATGCAAATAAAGGGCGGTTAAATCATCATAATGATTATTTTTAAAAATAAATATAATTGACTTCTGATATTGTACATCTACAAATTAATTGCAATTTTAGTAATACATTCAATTTAAACAGTATATTTGATATTTTGTATGCCACTTTCGTATTTTTCAATGCGAGCGAAAGGAAGATCTCTGTATATAACTTGTGTATAGAGAATTTGCAAAATAAATGGCGATTTAATCATCATAATGATTATCTTTGAAAGTAAATATTATCATTTTCTGATATTATACGTCCAATTTGTGCAATAATAGTAAAATAATTTCAATTTAAACGGTATATTTTAATGTAAGCGAAGGAAGATATAAGAATTTGTGTATATAAATTATGCAAATAAAAACCGAATTAATCATTAATATGATTATTTTTTATAATAAATATAAGTAATTTCTAATAATATACGTCTACAAACTGCAATTTTATTGTAAAAGTCTATTAAAACGTTACAATTAATATTTCAAAAGTCACTTTCGCTCACTTTCGCTCACTTTCGTCAAAAATCTCACTTTCGTATTTTAGGCAAACCCCTTTTTCGGCGCCGCCCCCCATCCAAAAGATACATCAGGGGGTTGCCAGAAGGGGGATGTGCCCCCTTCTGTTAGGGGGGTTTGAAGGGGGACGGAGTCCCCCTCATCGCCAAGAAAATTTTGGACTTGTGAGAGGCTAAAAATGACCCCAGGTCGATCATAATGTAACGTGTAACCAACGCTGAAAAGCCTTTGACTCTATCTCAATCCCTTGATAAGTTGCAGCACTTTGAAATAAATTTTGATGGAAAAAATCGAGGCAAAATAGTGATTTTTGGCAATTTTGAGATGTCCCCTCGTTGCCATGGTAACAGGAATTTTAAGACTGAGCATGTCGTTACAAAGGCAATGGTCCAGCCAACATTTGTGCCAAGTTTGATTAGTATTGAAGCATTTTTCATAGTTTCATATCAGTTTGAACTTGTAACAGGAGGCTTTTCAGTGAAAACGGCCATTTTTCACAATATGCTCATGGGGGAAAGGGTTAACGTATCCATGAAAGAGAAATTTAAAAATAAACGATCAATATTGGTTAGAGAGATAACCTCGACACAAAGATTATTAATTAAGTTACTGCACAGAATACTCGTTGCATCATATTTCGCGTTAAATCCCAGGCTACTCGTAATGTAGCCCAACAAATTGTGCGCTTTAGGGCTTTTTTATTATATAGACGATGTTCGCCCTTCGCGAGACATCTATGAAATATCAGATTATAAAATCGGTCTGTCTTGCCGTCTAAATATTGAGACAACTCGTAATGTAATCTCGTGGTACTGTGTTCTTATTCTAGAAAAAAGCAGTAGCTGCACCTACGAAAATGTGACTGACCTATAGTTATTAAAAGTAATAAAACTGATCATTACCAGTAATATATAATTATGGGCCGAGTTGGAATAGGGCCGAGCTGACCCTGATTCGTATAAAATCGGAACATTTTCCCTCAAATTTGGAAAAAACTTCTGTTTTACTTTATAATGAAAATTATCAAAAATTTATTTATGGTGGCTGATTTGGAACATTAGTGCGTCGTGTTGTCGCTATAACGACAGCACGACAAAACGCCAAAATACACGTTGTCGCACTGTCATCTTGTCGTCCCGTCGCTAACGATGCACACTGTTGTATGTTTTGTTTTAGTGACAAGTATATTATCAAGAATATTATATCTCAAATGAGATGTCCAGTAAAATATACTATTGTATAATTTGAACTAGAAGAGACAACAAGAGTACATCTTAATATTCCAAGATTTAATACACAAGTGATGTTACATGTAGCATGCTATGGAGGCGGAGCTTATCAGTAACTAAAGTCTGTTTCAATATATATCAATATAGAAACATCTCCCTTTTTTTATTTTAAATCATGAATTTTATTAAATAATGCATAATATTCATAGCTAATTTCAATAATACTGATTGAACTGTTTATTAATTTTCTCTACGTGACATAGTTTAGTTCTTTATTTTTTGATAGTCACGGTATATTACTGTGATAACAAAATACTTTAAACTCATTATTTTCAATAACTGTTATTATCTAACCCATTCATTATTATCATACTTCGGATTGCCACGCAACAATCGTCCAGCCCTTGTTCTAGCACGCGAGTTCACCGGCGGGTCACTTTGTTCCTGAGATGAGTTATTTTCCTCGAGAGGTAATTGAGGGGTACTTGAATTTATATCATGATATAAGACTTGCGCATGAAATGATTCAATATCGGTTGTGTCTTCCGGACTTTTGCAAGTAAAATTATATTTATATTTATATTTAAATTATCAAGCTCGTCTGACATATTTAAGTATGTATTAGGGAGACTTTGGCGTGATAGGCAGTCACTTACTGGTATTTCTTTACCAGGAATGTGCTTTACGATTAACTGATACTTAGACAGAGCTAGTAGCATTCTAGATAATCTAGGCGGTGCTGCGGACATTGGTTTTTTCATAATGGCAGATATTGGTTTGTGATCGCAATGTACGATAACTTCTCTACCATAAGTGAATTGATGAAACCGTTTGCATCCGAACAAAATTCCAAGCATTTCTTTTTCAATGACGGCATAACCGATTTCAGTTTGCGTCAGGCTTTTGCTTGCAAATGCGATAGGTCTATTGTCTTGAAATAAACAACAAGCGACTCCGAATTTTGAAGCATCCGTTTCCAGTATAAGCGGCTTTGTCGGGTCATAGTAACCTAATACTGGTGCCTGTGTTATAATATCTTTGACTTGAGAAAATGCTCGGTCATGAACATGATCCCATATGAACTCTGTATCTTTTTTCAAGAGGCTCCGTAAGGGGGCTGTAACTTCTGCTAGATTTGGCGCGAATTTAGAGAGATAATTGACCATTCCCAAAAGCCTTTCGACCATTTCGCGGTTATTGGGGATTGGCAATTTTATAATTGCCTCAATCTTAGACGGATCAGCTTTTAACCCACTTTCCGTAATGATATGACCAAAGAATGGTACTGATTTGGCGCCAATTGTGCATTTTTGCTCATTAAACCTGATACCTTGCTCGCGCGCACGTAATAAAACCTGTGTAAGACGTTTGTCATGTTCACCTTGCGTGTTTCCCCATATTAAAATATCATCAACAAGAGGGTGTATTCCATTTATTCCTTCGAATATCTGATTGACCTTTTGACAAAATATATCACTTGATGATGATATACCGTATGGTAACCTTAAGTATCTATATCTACCGAAAAGAGTAGCAAATGTTGTGACGTAAGACGATTGATCGTCTAGTTGTACAGACCAATATGCATGAGTAAGATCTAACATGCTAAAGTATTTAGCTCCAGCGAGCTTTGCTGTTACGTCATCAAGTGTTGATGTGACATAATGAGGTCTACGTATTGCGTCATTGAGCTGTTTTGGGTCTAAGCAAATACGTAATTTTCCGTTCGGTTTTTCGACCACAACAATGGGGTGTACCCAGTCCGTAGGTTCCGTCACTGGTGTTATAATTTCGTCTTTGACCATTTGCTCAAGCTCTAGCTTAAGTCGCGATTTGAGCGCTTCCGGTACTTGTCTCGGAGGTGTAATTACTGGAATAGCGTCATCCCGCAGGTGTAATTTGCTTTTACCAGGGAGTATGCCTACGCCCCTGAACAAGTACTCAGACATTACTGACTCTTTAGTCATGTACTGAGTATTTTGGCAGTTTATGTCATATGTGAGTTTAATTAACCCAAGGTCAATGGATGTCTGTAATCCTATAAGCGGCGGTGCGTCACTGTTAACGACATAGAAGTCTACAGTAACTTGCGCGGTACGATAGCTACAGGTTAAACTGATTTTTCCTATAACTTTTATTGTATCACCTGAGTAAGAGATAAGTTGAGAATCGGGGGCCTGCAAAGGGATTCTCATGTTGAGCGATTCAAATTTGCGCTTAAGCTACAGTCTCACTTACATCCCGGCAGAGCCCCAGTAGACGTCCGGGGTGATCCGGGAACGACCGGGGTACAACCGGGAACAACCGGGGTACATTCGTAACTCTGCCGGCAACGTCCTGGATGATCCGGGATGATCCGGGAACATCCGGCATTCGACCCCGGATGGAATAAAATATTTAATATCACCGGGATGGTCCGGGATGATCCGGGAAGGTATAGCTTTGCCGGCTTCGTCCTTAGCTCTACCGGGAACGACCGGGGTTATACCGGGAAAGCACCGTAGCTCTGCCGGCACAAACCGGGGATGATCCGGGGTATGATATAGCCGGTAGAGCTACGGTAGAGCTACGGTAGAGCCCCGGTATATGCCGGCAGAGCCCCGGTAACTACAGGCAGAGCCCCGGAGGATAAAGGTAGAGCTACGGTTGATCCCGGTAGAGCCCCGGCTAAGCCCGGATCATTTCAAAAGAATTACGACAATTTGCGATGATTGCACTTGTTTGTATTAAAAGCCTTCCCATTTCCCTTCTATCCAGTATAGCATAAGGATTTTTCAGAAAATAATCATGAATTACTATTCTGGAACAATATATATTATATCAAATAAAAATTATGTATCAATGTTATTATTTTCGGGAGTTTTCAATCCACCGGGGTTCTACCGGGGCTCTGCCTGGATCGTCCTGGGCTTTGCCGGGGCTTTGCCTGGATCGCCGGGGCTCTGCCTGGGTCAACCGGGGCTCTTCCGGCGTCATCCGGGAACGACCGGGAAAGCACCGGCATGGACCGTAGCTTCACCGGGGCTCTGCCTGGATGATCCGGAGCGCATCCTGGATGGTTAGTAGGGAACTACCGTAGTGCTGCCGGGGTAAGTGTGACCGCCACAATAATTTCATCCCGTACCGTCCCGGATCATCCCGGTAACTTACCGGGATGGTCCTGGGCTCTGCCGGGAGTAAGTGAGACCGAGGCTTTAGAGAGTATGTTAACGCTGCTCCCTGTATCAAGTTTGAAATTAATGTTTTGGCATTTCGGGCCAATCTTAATGTCAACAAACGCGCGATGTGGGGCTGGCGATGTTTTGTGACTTACCGTATCAATGAAATAGTTATCCATACAAGAATCATCACTATTTTCACTTAAATTGTTCGACAATTCATGAACATGTTTCTGTTTGTTTGAACGGCATACTTTTGCCCAATGATTGTACTTTTTACATGATTTGCACTGCTGTCCATATGCCGGACATTTCCTTCTTTGAGTGATGTCATGGTATGTTCCACAATTTCTACAGGTAGTTGTTTGAGACTTCTGTTTCGTGTCGATCCTGGCAGCGCTCTGTTCCGGTTTGGCACGACCTTGCCTTCGTCCATGTTTGACGTAATTTATGTCTTGCTTGGGGTTAAGAATGTCCATTTGTTTTTTACAGTATTCGAAATTTTGTGAGATTTGGATTGCTTTGTCTAATGTTAAGGATTCTCCTTCGTTAATTAATTTTTCTCTCAGTCTTTGGTTATTTACCCCGAAAACAATTCGATCTCTGATCATTTCGTCCTTTGTTCCTTCTTGGTATCTGCATTCATTGGCTTTCAATTTTAGTTTTGTGATGAATTGGTCTATGTTTTCATCACCCTGCCTTTCGTTGTTGAATTGGTACCTAGCAAAAATTGGGTTTAATTTAGGTTGAACGTGGTTTTGAAATTTTGTGAAGTACGTATCGATCTTTTTTCTATCATCTGCGTTTAAATTCCAGGATTGCATAATGTCTTGCCCCTTTTCTCCTACCCATATAAGTAGATATGAAATCCTCTCTTCTTCTGATTTTTCTTTGAGGGGTCCACTGAATATTAGTTTAACATTTCGTTCAAATTTTTCCCAAGTTGTTGGTAAATTAACACTGTCCCAGTTCATGTTTGGTGGGTTTATTCCAGAGAGTGCCATTTTGTTCACTTTTTTTTTTTAAAGTTTCAGTTAATATGAATTTGATCTAAATGTCAGGTGAAGTTAAATTTAATTTCCATTTTTTCTGACACCATGTTGTATGTTTTGTTTTAGTGACAAGTATATTATCAAGAATATTATATCTCAAATGAGATGTCCAGTAAAATATACTATTGTATAATTTGAACTAGAAGAGACAACAAGAGTACGTCTTAATATTCCAAGATTTAATACACAAGTGATGTTACATGTAGCATGCTATGGAGGCGGAGCTTATCAGTAACTAAAGTCTGTTTCAATATATATCAATATAGAACACACACCAAATGGCGCGTTGTAGTGCGGTGTGTTGTTGCGATGTCACATTGTCGCTCGGCACAAATCGAAGGATTGGCTATTTGCATAATATAAACCAAGCGACAGGGCGACATCGCAACAACGGCGCCGCGCGATGTCCAACGCGCCGTTTGGCGTGCTTCGCTAGCGACAGGACGACAACGCTCCGTTTAACGCGTTTCGCTAAGCGACAAATCGAAAAAGCGATCACGAAATCGCTATCGACAACGCAAGGTGCAAAGTGTACCAAATCAGCCACCATAAAAAAGAACATACATGTTTTATCAAATCGTTAACTAATACATGTAAATTTTGTTGTTTAGGCCAAATCGTTTTTTCCCAACAATTACGTGCTCACCCGGGACAAATTCTTTTCTAATCAGCTCATGCAGCTTTTTGTTGGTCAAAATATTTTGACATTCTGAGATATTTTTAGTCTGGGTCAAAATCTCTCTTCTAGAGATACACAATCTAGCACAATATCCCAGCTAGGTTGGACAATTACTTGGACTAAACTTTAAATTTGGTACGCAAAAACTTCAAAACGATCTTATTACCTAACTTCCATTAGACCCGTTATTAAGCATCGTCTAAACACAATCAACGGAAAGAGCTATATGAAAAATTATATAGTTATTATACCAGATATCTATGTCTCTGATTATACCAGCAATATCTCAATCTTCTCACATCATCTCGGTGCGTGCACGTTGCTGAGAAGACACGTGCAGGACATCAGCAGCTAGACGATTGAAAATCCACTGCAACGTATAAGACGGCAAGTTCTCGTGTTTTCTACAGCTCCGGGTAACGTTTAAGAAGGCACGACTTAGTCTGCATTAATTTAACTATTTATAAACCGAGGGTTGTGGTCATACAAAGTAGGTAGGGACGACTAGGAATGTGTGCTAGGTTACGTAAGCTCATAGCACAGAGAGTGACGACTTGAAAGGCAGGCCATTTGCTTGGCACCAACAGCCTTTTAAGGGCTTTCTCACTTTCTCCTTTTTGAAAAAAAAATCATATTTCAACGTGTATAATAATAATACATTATTATAGACGTTGAAATATGTTTTTTTTTTCAAAACGGCTGATATTATGTTTTTTTGATATATATGATCAATACATGTGCTGAGAATGACAAATATACATTTTATTTGGATTTTAAAGGCGTTTTGAGCGCCACACCCCGAGTGTCTGTGGGATGCAGTACTCGAAACACGATTGTGTTATTTCTTCATTGCGCGCATTAAATTCCAAATTAACCACCCGTTTATTGCAAACGGAATGGTAATATGTTAAACGATAACTTTTACGACATGGTACATGTACGTATGTATCTTGACTTTAACACTTTCTTTATGCTATGTCATTAATTAAAATCAATTCGTGTTTAGACAAATACGTACAAATCCTATTTCTGCATTCGACATTTTCCCCATGAAATTTGAAAGATGAAAAGTTGAATGCGCTTAACTGTGACTTTTTTGGTAAACAGACGTATTAGTTTAATTTTGTTGAAAGTACAATTTATTTTAAAGTTAGCAACTTGAAAACGTAAAAGCGTCTATTTAAAGTGCATATAAGCGTACGATGAGATATTTATGATTTCTTGACCAGCTGTTAAAGACCCTTGACCCGAAATAATTAACCACAACTAAGAAATATGTGTAGGCAAAGCATCAGTTTTAAGTCCTAAAAATCTAGTATAAAAATAGATGTACATGTACTTTGGAATGATATTCAATAGCTAGGTGTTTACAAATCTTTAGATATGCCTGAAAAAAATATTTTTTCTTCCGTGATCATGTTCCTTATACTTGTACATAGATTTTTTTTAACGTGTATGTACTAATGGGAAAAAACATGTCTAAAAAATTAAATGCAGAATAATGTTGTGGTCGTGTGATCTTTTCTCGAAAAGTTGTAATATTGAATGTCTCGTATAAATGGTGTATGTATACAGCATAAGATGTTATGTGTAGGGTTTTAACAACTTTTAAGGAAAGATACACATATATTTCTTTCATATAGGTATTTTGGAAGTATTCTTTTTTCAAAATTCATAGTTTTTTTCAGCAGATATATATCATTGACATATTACCGGCCAAGTAAATAATAATAATAATAATAATAATAATAATAATAATAATAATAATAATATTAATATAAAAATAATAATAATAATAATAATAATAATAATAATAATAATGATAATGATAATGATAATAATAATAAAATTAATAATAATAATGATAATAATAATAATAATAATAATAATAATAATAATAATAATAAATAATAATAATAATAATCGACTATTTTCGTAATAAAGGTTTAAAAATATCAAGTGAATCAATTTGAAAGCAAGGAAAATACATGTATATTGTTTAATGTAACATTAAACAAAATTACAATATGAACAAAACGAGTGCATGTTTTATTTATTTTCGACATTTAAGGTTTATATGAATGAGTCACACACACAAACCAACAATTAATTGGCTGCTTGTGAAATCTGATAAACTATAACATGTTAAATCACTGCACTTGTAAACTAAAACTAAAATATGATAACAGTTAACTTTACAAGCTGACCGACCAATCAGTTATCTACTCGAGATACGCCCCCCTTCTTTGCTACATCACCAAACGGTACGGAAAACGTTGCTCGGTCAACTTTCTTTTTTTATGTGCAAGTAAAAGTATAAAAAGATAATATTTGAAATCAAACCATGTTGAATAAATCAGTAATGAAAAGACGTTATACGGATTTATAACGGTAAGAAATCATTTTATTGCTTCCTTAACCTTATTTGTTAAAATGCATCAGTCTAATTTGAGTATACTGCTTTGCTTCTAATACCGGTGCTAGGGGGCGTGAAGCTAGCTTCCATTTTCAACTAGTCTTCCGTTTGTAAACAGGCTCGATCAAACTGAGTCTTTTCAATTTTGTCGTCTTGGACTTTCTGTAGGGACGCGATCTGTTATTTTTTCTAATCTGCTTGAAATTTATTTTGCTGGTATTACACATGTATAGGTAGAAGTTTATATTTGTTTAATTATGATATTTACAAAGAGCATTGCGTATAATTGTCATAAAATGTTGAAATATTACCACGCTGGCCGGATATATAGGCAGTCCATTATTATTCTCTATCATACAATTACATATGATTTTGATATACATAAACTACAATGATAACTACTTTCAAGGTAAAAAACAACAACAAAAAACAACATGTTCAGCAGAATTTATCTTTTCTGTCCTTTTTTATAACTTCAGATCTTTTGAGGTTATATTTATCGATAAAGGAAAGCGAGTACATTAAAAGCTAAATTGTATACTGTACATGTATGTATACTGTCCCAAATATCTTATAACGAAGATAAAAATCTATGCTGATAAGATTCAATTCTTTTGCATAAACAATTCATTTTTTTGATATACAATTTATTTTTAAACAAACAAGGAAGATATTACCGGTACCTGTATATTATAAAGTTTAGGTATGTTATACATCGTATTATCTGCCTGCTTCCTTCTTTCTTGACCGATATCTGTATTAGATTCATGTCTTGATGAACCACCTGTCAAACCCTCTTTGTTAAACAGATTGATTTATTAAATAATTATATAAACATGTTTCTGATAACTTATTCAATAAAAGACCGATATCTGCATTGACTTAATAAATCCTCGTCGAGCAGGTTTTTGTGGTAATTAAATATATACATGTTTCTGATTAAATGAGGACCAAATTAATTCTATAACAGTTGTAGTAAAAGGCAGTCCGCAGACGGTAGGAGGATGCCACCATTATAAAAAAAATAAAACAACATCAAAAACAACCGAAAACAGTAACTCGTTGCAATTCAATTTTAAATAAGTACTTTCAAATTTCTAATTCAAACATAGAAACACATTTATATTACAGCTGTATTATTATTGTACATGTACACCATTGAGGAGATTATTTCAAAGTTCGTACACAATATATCTAAATTAAATCATATATAACCTGTCAAAAAATTGAAAGTACAAGTACTCAAGTACATCTGGTTTTTCCTACCAGTCTCAGCATGAAGTTAAGGTGATAAAAAATACTTTTACATGATTCAAACAGGCTATAAGAAGAACAAAGAAACAATTCAATTAACGATACAATGTATAGTGACTCATAAAGTTTGAAGATATATATGTATTCACATTTAAAAAATACCCTCAAGTCTATTTGAAATATAACTAAGATGACACGTTATTTTAGTACATGATATAGAAAATAGTTTTACTGCCTTTGTTTGAAAATTAAACAAAGCAATGACGTCAGCAACTGTATATCTTTGTTCTTGGGTATGATATAAATATTTCCAATCCCTTTTTCACAAAGAGCACATTGCAAACACGTACCTTACATAGCATTGTCGAAAAAAGGTAAACTACTTTTGTACTTTTTAAAGAAAATATTTTCATATACTTTGTATTTATGAAAATCTTAATGTTAAAAAATATAAAATATTTTTTTAGTTTTTTTCTTTCATTTATACACGTATATGTACTTTAATAAAATGAACCACTAAATGTGCTCTGAAGGATGGACTGTTAAATGCTCTTGAATTGTGTTCCTATGGTATTTATCATCTGTTTTATTGTTGATGTTTTCTCTGCTGTAACTCAAATTAGGAAATGGAAAATGCAAAAAAAAAAAACCTAAGCATTTTTAATCTATGTTTTAAATTGTGTTTCATTAGTGAGCTATAAAACGATTTAAATATCAATGTTCAATGTCATATCGTACTATCTTCATCAATATCAGTATGATGATTGTATCTGAAGCGTATCTGATAGTTTAATATGATGTGTGATTAAACTAAGAATATTTGTCTTAATTTAAGTATATATTTGATTTATCTATTCCTTACAATGTATAGACTGGAATAGCTTGTGGTTCTATTTTCTGAAATGTATGAATTCCATTTAACATCATAGCTAATAAATGCAAGGGTTTTATTTATAATTTTTATAATAACTAACATTATCGGACACTTTTACTACTGGAGAATGAAATTTGAAACACTATTCACTCTATGGAACAATTTATTTATTAAACAATTTTTGTTTATCATGTATATATAAAGAGAGATCTATACAGTTTTTAGTGTTGTTTTTTTTAAATATTATCTTTATCATACCACCGGTATCTCATATGTTTATTGTCACGCAGAGTTTTATCTTGTAATTTTTTTTATAGATCATGTAAAATTTTCAATTCGTATTGACACTCTTAGTTCTTTGCAATATAATCTCAGTGTTAAAAAGTTTTCTTTCTTATCAGATAAACAATATGAAGTGAAAGATATACGGTATACCAACTAAAGACAAGATTGGTTTTACATTTGCACGATATCTGATAACTTTATCAACACGGTGACATTTTTTATCCAACACCTATGACATTGTTTTAAAAAAAGTTTTGAATAATTGTTGCAGGGTATGGCCACCATGAGGACACCAAGTAGATAAAAAATTTACACAATGGCACCGCTAACACCAATAGGGATTTCCCCGATTTCACAGAGTATATCTGTAGCAAGTCGGCAGCAATCAACTGTTCATGTCGTAATAACATCGACTCAGAATGTACCAGGCGGCAGCTCATCAACTCAAAAGCTAATGACACCTGGAATATCTTCAAACACCCCTGGTGTGACCGACAGAGAAAAATCATCAACTGTCGGACTTTCGTCCACAAGGATATCAACTATAAATAGTAGATCTACCACACCGAAACCTGCTTCTGTGACTCTGTCAACGGTACGAAGTAATCCACCCAGTGTCCCTTCCACTAGCATTGCTAGCTTATCCACAACAAGAAGGAATCCATTCATCAGTGTACAATCCCCAGGAGGAAACCATCCAAATTACTCGACGATCCTGCCTCCTATCTCGCAGGTTCTTTTTAATACTTTCAATTAGTAGCAGCATTCTACTATGATAGACATAACAAAATCAATGAATAATTTAACGTTTTGTGTCTATATCTGTGTGTCAATTCAATATACATATTCCAAGTATATCAGTTGATTTATCATTAATTCACTTGTTTTCAAAGTGTGTAATGATCTATTTTAACACATATTTCAATGTACAGAGATATTCAATTAATGACTGAACTATGTTGTGAACCGTAACTTCTCTTGCTAATTTTTGGTGTAATTGTTTAATCAGGGTCAACATGGAGCAGCTAATGGTGATGGGGATGGCGCAAACACATCAACTATCATTGCAGGAGTTCTTGTTCCACTGATTTTAATTGGAGTAGCTGCTCTTGCAGTATACATTTGGTATCGGCGGAAGTATCCGGTGAGAATGGTACTTGGACGTGACTTTAACAGATTCTCTAACCCTGCTTATAGTAAAAGAGCATCGACATTGACTTTGGTAAATATTAGATTTATATACAAAATCTCCGACAAACATTAATAAGGCAATGTGGCTTAAATTGTTACAAGCTTATTATAAAAAAAAAATGTTAATAAAAAGGTTATCAAATGCAGATATAACACTGTAATAATATTTTGATGTTTATGAGTACATGTATGACCTGTTTTAAATGTTAAGATTTTCAATAACATTTTTCAACTGCAGGTAAGAAACGATGAACGAAAGGAATGGGATACATTATGTAGGAGAAACCCGGATCTTTCAAAAGTAATTGAAGATGAGCAAGGAGGAATTGAAAACGAGGCATTTGATTCTGAAAACGAAGAAGGCAAAGGAAAAGACAATGATATAAGGCCGGAAGCAGACATCGAAAACCCTGCTTCAAATGACATGGATAAAAAGTTTGAGGAAGACGGATTACAGAGCGAAGGTATACGTCGTGAACGACCAAAAACAAAAAAGGCAATTCTAGTTAAAACAAGTACAATGGAAGATTTTGAGAATGGATTTGAACTTGTCACGGAATCTGATTTAGGTCAGAGAACAGAAAGTGAAGTTAGTTCAGGAAATGATAGTACTGAAACCCATACAATAAGTTTAACATTTTCAGAAACATTTGATGAAAGACATAAGACGGAACGAAGCGTATCAGATATTGGTGATGTTAAAGATTCTGGCGCGGTTTGTGTAGAAAATATCGATTTAGATAATAAAGAAAATATAAGTTTAAAGTCTGCGTCGGAAGATACAATCGGGGAAGGCATAGATGTACAAGACGACAATACTTTAGATGTAAGTGAAATAGGGTCTTCTCAAGGTAATCAATCATTTGAGATTGTAGGCAATGAACAAGAAATTGATGCATTTGCCGTACAAGACGAGCCAGATGTCGCCGAAGGAATGACTGACACATCACAAATGCTTACAGACTTCCATTCTCAAGAGAACTCCGAAGAAGTCTTACAGCTAGAAACACAGGATATTGACAGCGGTGGCGAGTCTTGTATTCCTGAAACAGTGAATTTTACATCGCCTTTGGACAAAGTCGGGATTGTATCTGAAATTGTAATCAATGACATGGAACAACAAGAAAACATTCAAGAAAATTTAAATGCATCGCATACTACAGGTGAAGATGAAAGTGAAGACGGATTTCAGGACAACAAAGTGCAAGCAGAAGACGAAACATATCAACAACCTTCACACAACACCAGTTATGATAAACAGGAAGTGATAAATGAGGACAAATCAAAGGATGATGATATCAGTCAAAATAATATGACTAATGAATACGATAGAAACGTATTAGAAAAAGAAAAAACTGAAGTTTTAGAAAAAGAGAAAAATGTAGTCGGAAGCAATGATTTACAAGTTCATTCTTTAATAGACTCCGAAGGTGCACTCTCTGAGGGATCTGCTGATGAATTAGATTCTCAATGCTTGATTGCTCAAAGAATAAAGCCGTCATTACAATTATCAAATGAAAACATTGTTCTTGATTCTGTCCCACAAAGTCCAATAGTTCTTGTCCAAGAGTCATTCATTCTTGAGAATGAGTCCCCACTTCCGGTGTACTTAGATAGCACTCATATGAGTCCGGGACGGGGGAGGCGAGCATTTACACTCAATGATATTGCTTCAAAAGGCACATCAAATGGTAATATCACCTCCGAATTTAGTCTGCCAAACTTAAACGATGAAATATCAAAATCGTCGCCTGTGATATCTGAGCTGAAAACTTTCACCCACAAACAATTTGAATTCGAATCAAAACATGAAGAAAGCCGATCTACTGACGATCAAGTGACAAAGAAGGGCTTGACCTCTGAAAGCATAAAATCAGAAACATTTCAAACATGTGCAGATGAAGAAGAAGGACAAAAACAAGTTTCAAGTTTCAATGACGTCCCAGAGACCAGTGAAATAAATGAAAATGAAGACAACCAATTAGTTGCCAGTATATTTGACTCAGCAAGTACCTCCGGGTTAGAGAACACACATGCCAAGAAAGACACATGCGATGAAAGCGATGAAATGTTCATATCTTTAGACAGCAATTCTTCTGAGTTTACTAATAACAAATCTGATAATTTTAAGGATTTAGATAGCAGTAATTTTGATGATTTTAATTTTGTGAACACTGGTTTTCAGTCAGGAACAGAAGAATTGTCCCCAAAAAATTCTTTAAACAGTCAGGATGACAGCTTAGATGCAAATGTAATAACTTTCGATGATAAATTAACTGATGATTATCCATTCGTAGACAATTTTCCACAATCGTCGACACCGACCGCTTCATTTGTTGCAGGAGAATCACATGACCAAGATGAGGATTTGATAAGAAAGAAATTAACACCGCAAACTTTTGACTTTGGTAATTTCGACGAATCCGATAGTGAGTCTTCGAACTCTGAAAAATCATCCGAAAAAAGTGAAATTATTGACACAATCTGTTCCACACCCACTGGAATCTTGGTTGATACACAATTTTTGGGGATAGAACCTTTTGATAAAATGGATAATGCTAGAGATAATTATGAGGAAAATGTTGAGAAGCAGACGTTAGCGTCTGCTGGAGAAATGTTTAGTTTAACTAGATCCACTGACTCATCAACAGAATTGTCATGGGAAATCCTAAGCGGAGAAAATAGTCAAGACTCAAAAAGTAACGATCTCTTAGATATCACAACAAAAGACACTAAAGAAAATACGTCAGAACACCAAGCTATTTCTATAAACAAGGATCAAAACAATGATCTTCTCTCGTTATCAACAAAGCCGGGATTGATCAATTTTGATTCTTTTGATATGTCAAAACAAAGTTCCGTAAATGATACTAGTATGGGAAGTTCGACAACGACTGATATATCTTGGGAAATTGTTAATGAAGAGGGAGATAACTCAGAGTGTTAACATCATGTAAAGCTATTTATATTGTTAAGAGATAAGTCTCGTGAAGAAATTGGTTTGAAATGTTACTCGTATTGATTCATTATCCGGAATTTTTCTTTTACAGCTCAGCAGAATGTATGCACTCAAGTAGATATATGTTCAAGTAAAGCAATCGTTTTGAATTTCGATGCCTTAGAAAGATATGTCATATCACGGATCTATATTACATATAAATCCGTGGTCTATTTTCTCAAACTAAGAGATAGAAATTTGTCATACTTTATAATTATATTGTTAACCTACTGTATATGATTACTATTTTCGATATTGTATTGTTAGAACCAAGTTAACATCAAACGAGAAAAGGCGAACATTTTTATCAAACAATATTACTTTTTGCTTTGTGATGTAAAGTTCCTGTCTGTTTGGAAAAGGATATGAAATCGAGTAATTAAAACACGAGTTAATGTAACATTGTGATAGAAAATAATTTAATATATTTATATATATGCAATTATTGTAATGATTTCTCAGCTTATCTTAGTTTTATAAACGTTTATGTTATGGAATGATTAAGATTTTTTTCAGCATTTTATTATTTGTATTTATTTACCAAAGCACGGATCTTAATTAATAATATAAACCCGTGACCAAAGAAAGCGAGTTATTTAATTAATATACCTTCTCGGGATGGACATGTATTTAAGTGAAAGCTTTTTATGTTTCTATTTTTAAGTCCACGGCCAGTGATATGTATTTACTTGTTTGTGATATTTGTAATATAACATATCTTCTATGTGCCTTTGTTACGGCCTACGTGAGCACTTTTTTCTTTATATGCTTGAGGTGAAAAAATGGGTTTTCTATTTCAATGTATACTAACTGTTTTTAATTCTAGTTATTTTCGACATTGTTATTTCATTTAATAAAATATTCAATCAGAATTTTATAGTGTCGTTTTGATTCGATTTTTTTTCGGAAACCACTTTTAGGCCTACTTCGGAAATTATTAAATAAGAACTCCCTTCGAGCTATATTAAAAATCCAGATGTAAACATCAGCAGTTATGTACGAATAAATACGACTATTGTTCAACAAATGTATTAATACACAGACAATGAAGAGCAACGGTTTCACAAATGAAAAAGGTGAATCTATACATACCTTTAAAATATGAAAAAAACATTTCATTTCTATTTACCGTGCATTTATCTTTTTTTGAAGAATTCGTACCGAGTATTTTCGTACTATATATTTATACTAATTCCTTGTCTTTTCGCCATATTTGTACAAGACACTTTCTTTTATTATCTGGTTATTTTATATTATTTTAATTGAAGGCTGGTCACTAAGAAATTATTTTATTCTACACTTATTTTGCCTTTGAGTGATAGGCCCTTATTGTGACAACTCAAGATAATACAATCAGTTGGCCAATCAAGCTTTAACAACATACTGATAGGTCATGTGATTCATTTTATACTGATTAATTCCTTTAAAGTACCCTATTAAAAAACGTAGCTGAAAAGTCTAGGGCCAAAACAACTAGGAGGTGAAGAAACAAACTCTGAAAGGTCCAGGACTGATGGAATGTCCTGTCACCTTGCCTCTATACAGAAAAGGTGTCATGTTTATCAGTTTAAACTGGTACGGTCAGTTTTTAGCTAAAAAACGGTTAGAAAATTCAATAATCGGTAACCGAGGTTACTGGTCAGTATTTGACTAAGGGCCGGAAAAGTTTTAAGTTGATTCGTTATACGGTATGACCCTAGCGGAAAATAGTTACTCCATATTCAGTTATGTGATGTAATCTTTTTAAGTACAACAAAATATGAAAAAAGGCATATATTGTCATAAAGATTAGGCAGGCAGGCAAGCAGGCAGGGTCGGTTAAATGTTAACTCCATTATGACGTCGCTGTTTAAATGGTTAGCATTTTTTCTAACCGTGACACCCCTACTTTACCAGTGTTTTTTTTCTTTATATAACTACTACCCTAAAACGGTACTGTTCCCAATAGAAAATAGACATTAAAATTCCCAATTTCCAATGTTTAAATTCCCAAAATGGCTGTTCAAAATTTCCACAAGGCCAAGTGATTTCTCTGAAATCATTTAAATCCAACATATTCATATAAATCACCACTCAATAGTTCTATCTGGACAGTGGAAGCTGTTAGCTATCTTTATTCATGATGACTAATCTTATTTGTAGCTGAAAAAATGCATAAAAAATTCCCAATTTAAGTCAAAATAACGCATTTTTTCCCAATCAGTCTGGTACCGGCACCATTCCCAAAGTAGAGAAAAAAAACGCTGTATACAGTATCCAAATAATGTCAAAGTCTTCATCTGGGTGCTGGCATGCTTGCCTGTCTACATACTATAGCTCAGGGGACGGCCATGGCGTGATGTTCGGGAGAGGAGGGTCAATTACAATATCCTAGCATCTACACATGTGAGTTCAAGTCTGTGAATATTAAGGGACTGGAGCAGGTCGTTGTGCTAGAGGTCTGACAGTTACCTTGCAAGACCCAATAAGCTGCTCTCTTTTGGACATTTGTGTAAAAACTTTGATCTGTTTGCCTTTTTGTGCTGGGAAACCATGCTTCAGAACCATAATTATTCAAGCTGGGGTCTGACTATATTAAATGTCTGTATCGTGAACCCTATCATATGAGATGAACTTATTGTTACACCCATACATGTAGTTTATCCGTAGCAAGTGGTAGACTGCTCTTTCGAAATTGACCCTAATCAGGTAATCTTACTAACCACTTCAATAGAATCAAGGGTGGCTATACATGTAGTGTGACAAGTAGGAAAGAAGTTTTACTAGGCATTATTGAGCATTGTTATCAAGTTATTTGTGATTTTGTACAAAAACGGTATAAACCTGTGATTAATGCATCATAAAGTAAGGCTGCATAGGTTAAAGATCCTGTATGTTATAATAGAGGTTGTATACCAAAAGTAAGTGAAATTTTATAGATGTATAAAATTATGCTTATAAAACAATTTTCAAACATAAAAGAATATATGTAAAATATGTGTAGCAAATATTTGTGCACATTATATGTAATCTTTAAAATACATGCATTCATTTCTTACTGAAAAATATGACTTAGACTTTATAGAAAATAAATTTATAAATAATGCTTTTTGAAACTTAAAATATTGATAAATCTAAATTTGAGCATCATATTTATGATACAAATTCATAAAAAAATTGAATTACAGGATCTTTAAGGGACTGAAGTATTTCTATAACACTAGGTGTAAAATGTTAACCTCGCTCCATTTTGATTAATACTAGAAAGTGCTTAAGACTTAAGTGACCAGAAATGTAAGTTTACTGTATTTTTGTTATTTAATCTTTAAGTTTCTGCAAAGAAAGTCTAGCAATTGAGTTTCCCTTTTGGCTTACTTATTGCATGTCATTGTGCATCCCTTGTCAGCTATTTAGTAGATATATTCCTGCCATAGTATTTGGCAGAGCTAACTGATTGAAGAGTATTATTTCGGAATATGATGTTAATTAGAGGAATTAAAATTGATGTCCTATTTGAATTAAGAAAATTCTAGGATGTGATTATTTTGAAGGGTCATTGATTATCTTAGCGTGTTGATTGAAAGGTATTTAATTTAGAAGTGTCGTCTGCAGAGATAGACTTGGAAGTACATTGTGGGTAATTTGTTTAAGGTCAGGAACAACAGTGTTCAAGGACAGATCCTAGTGGTATACAACATACATGTACCTGTTACTATACATGTAGGTTAATGTTCTGGTATCATAGTTAATGAATTTGTATCTCTAGGTGTCAAATGTTTTCATTTTTTTAATCATTATTGACTGGAGAGCTTTTGCATTTTATTCTCAAAATAGAAGGAGAAAAATACCTTTGTCGGGTTTCCTTTAGCACTTTTAATTTAAACAAGAAGTGATTGTTTCTGGTGGCAGGAATATTGATTCTGATAGCAGGAGAATTGTTCTAGGTTTGTTAGATTGTATTAGATGATAAACTGTAAGGAAGCCATAATAATGTGAAACACAGTAATGGACAGCGGAAACCTGAAAAATATTTGTGGTTCTGCCAGCCTGTACCACCATGCAGTACATGTATTAACACATTTTTCTTACCAAATTAGAATCTCTATTTGTCCAGTAAGTACGTATATTGGAGGCCAGTAAATGGCAGTATTGGTGAGTCCAGTAAGTATTTTGGAAAGTGATTCTAACTACTAGTATTAGGTCCCATGTCACAAATGAAATAAGATATATATTTCTGAATTTTCTCATATTTATTATTTAAAGATTGGATGTAAGTTATAGATACAAATATCCTCGATACAAGTCATGTAAATAAGATCAAAAACCCATTCTGATAACATTTTCTTGACTCAATTAGTGAGTATTATGAACATTAATAAGTTGACTTTCTCTTAAATTGATATATCCCGTAAGTCTTGTTACGTTTTGCAATATTTTTCAGGTACACATACATATAAATTAAGTAGGTGGCTTTAGTGATTGAATGTTGTGAGAACTATAAATATAACATTGTGCCGGTAATTTGAAATAATACTTCTTTGATAATTCAAGACTTCAATGCATTTATTTCATTTATCAAGAAATAGCGTAAATACATGTACCTGTTGATGTCAGTATAACATTATATTTGTATACCCTTATATTAACACTTGGTCTGTTTGTGCCAACAGATTCTACCCATGCAACCAGTGCAGACCAAGATCAACCAGCATAGATCTCTGCCAACTGGTCATGGTCTGCACTGTTTGCTATTCACTCAATTTTTTATTTAGAAATTTTCCCTAAAAATGGTAAATGGTATTGTCCAGATAGAAAGATGGACAAGTTCATTTATTTGGGTTAAAGTATTTGATTTATAAAAGAAATAATGTCTTAAAAAATGAGACTTAAAACTAAACAAACAAAAAATTTAAAGGAAGAAAATTGGTTAAAATTGTTACAATATTTGTAGAAAATCTTTATGTGACACTAACTACGCATTTATAGATCATTACTTAATGACAGGAGATTTTAACACACTGTTGATAAGATTGTTGATAAGGAGAGATAATGAGAAGTATTGAATAAGTTTCAAGCAGAAAACCTCTACTTTAATTGCTTGTTTTGTACAAAATTCTTATTCTGTCGGACAACATTGGAATCTTTGAAAAGTTGGGAATAAATTTTTGTAGTGATTATCTAAGGTTTACAATTCTTTATGTAAATGTGTACCATAAAATATTTTATTCGATTTTGTGAAAGTGGTTTTTGTGTTCAATAACGGTAGTGTGAGAGGAAAATGTAATTTACAGTGCAAATTTGGACATAAATTTTCTTTTAAACTTTGGCAGTTTAAATGGTTTGAAAGTGGTTTATGTGGTCTGGTAAATTTTTAAATCATTATTATGCGGGAAACTTATAAACATCATGGCTTATCCTGCATTTTTCAGTAAAGTTTAAGATGTTTTTAAGACACAGGTTTTCACTTGATTTCTTTAAGACATTCACTTGATTTCTTGAAGACATTCAATATTTTCTTGATTTAATTCAAGATTTTAGTTTGCTATCAATCAAATTTATAATTCTGTCGGATTATTAATATTTTTAATTATTTTGATTTTAACATTAAAGAATAATCATTATTATATTTTTTTTCAAATTCTTTGCTATTTTTATTATCAAATTTCTGAAGGATCTTAAGTTTAAATAAGGATGTCACAATTTGTTTTTAAGTTAACAAAAGATTGTTGAAACTCTGGTGTGTTTAGTGTATTAATTGATTTTATTATAGATTCACTTTAACAGCGCAAAAAAAAAGAAAGAAAAAAAAATCATATTAATTCTTAAAAATCCTCATAAAAATGTTAATGATTTCACTTAAGCAATTCTATACTTAATTAGCATTGTCAGTGCGTATTTCTATTTTAGATTAGGGATACAAGTACATGTAAATATTTCAATAACATCATCATATAGGTAATATTACAGCCAATAAACTTAACAAGTTTCGATATGAATTTAATAAGTTTTACCAAACTTCCTTTGTAATGTCAATAACAAAAGCGTAATGTCAACACTTAGCCAAAAGCTGTATTGTAAATAAATAATGAAAATATTCAATATACAAATAGAAAACTTGCCTTTGAATGTGGAAAGTTGAAAAGGTTCAGCGTGGTATGTTGATTATTAAAGCCAGAGGGAGGTTATAAATAATAGATTATTTCATTGGAATTGTGTTTTCTAAAAGAAGTCAAAGATCTCTGGAGATTATTGATAAATTTTCTTGATTGAAATACAACAGTCTTATAGTTGGATGTGAAACTTGTGTGAAAGAAGGATCTATTTTAAACTGTTAAAAACATTTCAATAAGGATTTAATTTTAAATCATGGATTCTCAATCATCAGACACAGGTACTACTTTCATTTATTTACTTTTATTTATTTCACACATTATAAATTGTAAACAATGTACATGTACTTCAGATTTTCAATTGCACCATGTGATAATCCAATATTGTTCTAATTTTATCCAATCTTATCAATTTAGCCTTGTTTGGACCAGTGTTTTGTCCAAGAAATGATATTGTACTCCATCTACATGTAACCTTGTTTTCATTTTCTGAGTCGAAAAAATCTATATCAAGTCCATATTGTACTTAACAATTTTTAGTTCTGTCAAAATTTTTATAAAAAAGTGGGCCAATATAGGAACTTACAGAGCTCTGTGTCCTTGTGTGATAGAATTCAGTATTGTACTCAACAATGTACATTGTATAAAAACATTTTTTAAGACAATATAGCTTAAATTATAAAGTTAATTTGGCCTTGTTTTTGTGAAGATATATATAATTAAAAGTCAGCAGTATTGAAATATTAAATTTTAGCAGATAGCAGTCTAGGACTGGGTATTCAGGATTTCTAAGACTATATTCAGGTGGCAAAGGTCTAGCTGTAATTATATCTGCTAGCTTTTAAAGAGCTAATCAGCAGGAATAATGGTTTTGTCCTGAGACAGTAATGTTTAATTGATCACAATTACATTGTAAATAAGGGGCAAAGAAATGTTGCTCTTTTAATCCTTGATCTGCCAAATGTTTTAAATGGAACTTGTCCATACACCTTCCATGTGTGTGTTTGTGGTAGTTTTCACTCCAGATCACGACAGTAAGCCACATTGAATTCACCAGAGCACAGTTCAACCACCGCATTGTTCCTGGGCCGGCTGTCAAGCAGTTTACCAGTACTAGTTGCCTTCACTTTCACAAGGAACTGAAACTTCTGTACCTGCCATAGCAGAGGTGCTATTATGACCGAAGAAAGGATTTCATGATCAATCACAACAAAAGTGACCTGCGCCGTCAGGGAATCGAACCCGGGTCAACCGATTCACAGTCCAATGCTCAACCTATTGAGCTAAACAGACGGCTTTGGAAATTGTCTATTATATCAAGATGAAAATTTATAGTTAGTCAGCCCTTTACAGTATAGATCCTGAAGTGTTCTAAAGGCAAAGGCTTATCAATTTTTGGTCGCAGCAGTGTATACTTGATTTAGAGGTGTGAATTATTTAAGAGACTTCATTTTAGTAGGAAGCTATAATTATAAGCTTATAGACACATATTGGAATCCATGCCTGGAACGAACCAGCACTGAGCAATAAATGTAAAAATTCTTGAGACACTTTTGAATCTCTTATTTGATAGTTGAAAATGTTGTACATGTTCACAGGCATTTTGATTAGTATCTAAATTTAACTATAAAAGATCATAAATGCACACAAAAGACACAATAAATTTTTAAGATAATTAATGAGTGTAGATAAGTGCAAGTAAATATGATATTAGCTTTGTCTGAAGAATGCAGAGACAAAATGTCTATGTCTCTTTATAATTATATTTAGCTTGAAAGCTGAACACAATACTCTGTATACAGGTAAACATGAATAATAATATCAATAACATGTCAGTGTCATTCTTTCTTGGACTGATCAATAGTGCACCGCAAGTCATCAAAAAAGAAACTATATCTTATAAGTGCAGGTATAAGTGCTTTGACTGAATTTCGTTCTTATTCATATTCAGACAGACCTCATGTAATAGCTATAAGTTTTGAAATAAAAATAATGTCATTATAATTTCAGAATGAATCTGTGTTCTGTACTCTGTTACAAGTGAGGTCGTCACTGATTTGAAAAAGCTTTTATTCTTTAAATATATCTAATAACAACGCAAATAATAAGAAAGCATACGCAAGGTCTCACTCAATGGAGAATCATTTATCGAGATGAAGAGATAAGCTATATACGGCAATAATTGATCGACGCTTGTCAATATCGTGTCTAGTTATTAAAACCATGAGCGATCACTTTATCTGTTTAATTTGATCATTTTAAGGTGTGAATTGATAATCTTATATGACCCAGTACCTACACAATCAATTTATTGAATTATTGATCACTTCAAATGTAATTAATAATCTAGTTACGTCAATATTTTCTTAAGTTAAGTCTTCAAACGTCATTTTTCTCACAAATTATGTTGCTGTATTATATATACAGGGATTGTCTGTGCTCTAAAATGACCGTAATTTATTTCTCTAATTAAAGTACAATTAAAATGTAAGATTGATTTGAAGGTTACTGATCTTTTTAAAAATATTTTCATGGCATTTATCAATATATTTATGAATTTTCTGTTAAAACTTAGACTCTATTTTATGTCATAAATTGACATGACTTAATTTGGATAATCAAATTGTTTATTCTTGCTATACTGTAGAGGAGGACTGTGACATTGATTTTCCACTAAACATTCAAATTAGGCTGTAAGTAATAGTGAATAATTGACTTTTGCGAGTAGTTATCAAGACACCTTTTTTGTTGGTACAACTCATGTAGGCCTATAACATTGAACACATACTGGTTCTTCTAACATTTCACCAGAAAACTTGTACTTTTTCCTGAAATTACGTTACCAAGAATTCGAGATTTGTGCCAAAACAGATACATTACATTTACAATTGCTTTCAGAGGCTAGATAAAAATAATTAGCATAAATATACACGATTTAGAAATTTATTATCATTCTTTCAACAATATTATACTAAGCATCAGTATATATTACAAAATATTATGCATCAACATGCATTTTTAAAAAAAAAATCTACGTCTTAGAATACCTTGTAAACTTAAGCTGATGAAAATGTTACTTATTAATCAGACTTGTTTATTCCAAAAACATTATTTACTTATAAAAGCATTTTAGGTCACTAAAAAATACTGATGTTCCATACTTATCTATTGACACAAAGTAGCACGGATTTACTTAACAATATAAATTTATTTCACTAAGTGGAAACGAATATTAAATCATAGTAACGTATCTGTTTCAGCGTTCTTCTATGAACAAAATTATGAAAAACCATAAACACGTAGATATGTATTCATAATGTGTTTTTTAACAACTGACCAAAAAATAATAAGTCTGAACCAGTAGTTTTAACATTGAACAATACACACAATATCATTTACAGTTTTTGTTAGGTTTTATTGTTTTATGTGTAGCTTCATACAATCAAATAACAACTTTTAAGACAGAATGAACTTAACAAGAATATAAAGACACTCATCTATTAGAATATGTAACAGCTAAATTAATGTGAGTGTTTCATAGTGCAAGTTGGCATTCTGTATTTCTTTCGCCTTCTTTTGGTTTATCTGCTGTTAAATTGTCGTTATTTATTTCAATATACCTTTTCTCTATATACTGACACAATCTCGATCCTTGCTTTTGTCATACTCGATGATATGAGTAAGCCTACATGTATATGCTTATCTACATTTAACAAAATTATTATGCCAGAAACAATAGTACCGCTTTAAGAAAGCCAACTTAGTAATTATCAATCCATATAATTATATGTGCCGCACCAAGATTTTGAGCTTTGTCCAATTAGTCCATCCCAACCATAGACAGAAAATCGTGATACAACCCTGATTAAAATTTAGAATCCAACGGGCATTCATTTAAAAGTACTTAAATATGTTTTATTAAATTACAGTGCTGTTATATATTGCTTAACCATATATTACTTATTCAAACCAAAGTTTTGTTGAAGATTTAATAATATATATTAAACAATGCTCAAACCTCTTTCTAAACAGATACGTTACTATGATAAACAGATACGTTACCAGAAGTTATACAGTCCTCTACATTCTATAATTATTACAAATTTTGCAAACCAAAAATAGATCAACATATATTTATTCCAGGAAATAAAACAGTAAATCTTTATATGTTTCTATCCTGTTTTTCAACATTTTATTTTCTAGGAAACTTTACTAATCCTTGAATTTCAAATTTCTGATTCACGTTTTCAGGTTTCCAATAAAATCGAGATCAAAACATTATTTATCGGCTACACGTACGTTATGCTGTTATTTTTTACATGAAACCATTTTAAGACTGAGCAAAAGCGACAGTTATGATTCAAACAGTAAATATTGGTAAAGTATCTGTTGGTAACGTATCTGTTGGTCAAAAAACTAAAATATATCAGATATACACATATGTTTGCCAAATATATTAAAATATTCAGTATTGTAAAGCATATATTTGAATAATGCATAAATGCGATCCTACTTTTAAGTGCTGATAACTGTAAATGTTTCTCAGTGGGATATCATGGTAATGTATCTGTATAATCCAAATTGCCTCAGCATTGCAAAGACATTGTGGTTCTAGCACGTATATTGTAGTCAATTTTTGTTTTGAATAATGAAATGTCATAAAACTTGAGTTAAATAGTAAACTATTAATACGTTACAAGTTCATTTTACTCTTACTCAGGTTTACCTGAAGTGTGGTAACATATCTGTTCAATATATGAGGGACATGCATTTCAGCTTGTAACTTTTTTCCAAATTCACTGTGGAAAACAATAAAAATTGCTCACTTAGACATTTAAACTAAAACTTAGTACTTAAGAGGTTTTTCTTTAACACATGTTTCAGGTGAAACGATGTAAAACCAACAGTAACATGGGCACCAAGCCTGGGGACATTACATAATGGGTTATACAACACCTTTGCATGATAATATTTTCGTATAAATCCAACAGACTAGATAATTAATTTGAATGTTTTACATACATGACCATGTAATGAAGCAATAAAATGCTCAAAAAGTATTTTGCAACTGCAGTGCAACAAAATATACCCGAGGGACAGAATATTTTCTAATTTGCACGTTTAGTGGAGAATCAATGGTGAGTGCCTTAGTGGTGACTGTGTCATCCTGTTAAGCCAGGGTCCCTGAGGGACTTTATGGTCCTGTCATAATTCCTAATGTCACAACATAGTGCAGGTTAATTAAGAGGGTATCATATTATTACTTAAGTTGTTCAAGCTC